GGGTTTATCAAATGGGTCTCTGCTAACCACTTTGTTAGGAGCCCTATTGCAGTAAGGTTTCAGTAAGAAACATGTGCACAAGGACATAAGAGCAAGCAATCAAATTATGTATTGTAATAGAAATCCAGAACTAGTACTGGCTACTATCTCGGACATGTAGTATCTTATTTCTCTATGTTTTCTTCAATAACATTGCAAATTATTTGAACCTGATTGCCAGAAAATTCAAACTCCATCCAATGAAAGGGGAAAGAAGCATGTGGGAATTATACTAGGCATAGACATTGAATACCTTTGTTTTTCTAATTTATAAATCAGCAACACTTACGATGAAATTAAGAAAAAAAAAAAGTAATAGCAATAATAATGTTCAACAGAAGACCAACAGGAACAAACGTGAAAAGTAGAGTAATAAAACCATAAAAAAAATGGTAATTCCACCTGCCAAAGAAGTCCATACAGAGTGCATATTATAAAATAGTAGCACTGCTTTATAAAAAAATAAAATAACAGTGAAAGTAAGCCTGTTTGTTGCTTAAATCAAGAAAATTTTCTAAAAAAAAAAAAAAAGAGAGAGAGAAGTACAAAATTGCACAACATTGTAAGCATCACAAGTGCGGACAAAGTTTTAGACACTTGTTCTAAAAAGGAGGTACGGAAGGCTTAACTTTTCACATCCCTACCTCATGCATTTTTAAAAGGAGAAAAAAATCAGTGGTTAGTTACAATGAAAGTAGACTGCAACTGCAGCTAGGCACTAGTGAAGGCCAACAATTGACAATAAGAATGGTTATTTTATAAAAAGCCTCTTACAGATATTAGTAATCACTTCACTTGCATATTCTCAAGAATGCTATGATAAGTTATTCACGATCAAACCAAGAAGAGAGGCATAAGAAAAACTCATTAAAGAAAGAATATAGCATCTGGTTATCAAACATAGCAGATACGGGGCTCCCTCCCTGACTGCCACAGAAAGAAGAGCCTTTTAGAGCAGAAAAAAGGTACACTGTCTCAGTAGTTCATTACTGACCCATTCAATGTATAGTCTCTGCCACATTACAGCTGCAAGATGGAAGTGCAAAATGACTCGCCAGTTGTCCCTCATCAACCAAATCCAGGAGGCACATCAGGGTCCTCATCACTGGCATCACATGGTTGCTTCTGGTCAACATCTTCAGAAAAACCAGGTGGCACACTAACATCAACATCATCTTGGTCCTGTCCATGCTGTGAATGGTGGAGCTCTTCCTTCCAGTTTTCCACGGGTTCATTATCATAAGGCCTAGGAAGCTGCCACTTTACCTCGTACTGCTGCCGATGGTGGTTGCTGCGATGATTATTTGACAGAGAGAAACCCGGTGGTTCTTTTGGATCACCATCAGATAATGTATCATCAACTCTACCAGCTGAGGCCTTAATGGAACCATTATTCTCAGCTTCCTTTTCAACAGGCATCATATCATTCATGGATGATTCACCCTTTTCTTTCTCTAGAGGACTTAGCTATTTTATCGTATACAGATAGTAACAGTTTCTGTAATTTCCCAACTTCTCATGCCACCTTCCGATCTGATTATTTCCCATAGACTATCAGAAAATTTGGCCGCATCACTTTGTTCCTAATGGTTATAAAATATTAGAATGGATTCAAATTTAACATCAATATTATTGAATAAATGAAAATCAAGTTGGTGAAGTAGAACTTGAAGATTAAGTTGAACATCTAACATAACTGTTGAATTAGCAAACAAAGTTAATCTGTTCTCCTGAGTTTATATTTTTCTCATTAAGTACTCCCAATTTATCCTGACATCCAATCTTATTCCCCAAGTCCAAGATTTTAGCACCAATTTCTCATACTAAATCATAGCATAAAGAAAGAGGGCAAACATTTTATGGCAGGACAAACATGATCTTCCCACTAAAAAAGCCAATAAGGATTCTTAATGTTCACATTCTTTATTTTTATAAAAGAACCTTATATATAAAGTCATTTAGAATTTGACAAGAGGAGGCACCTTACCCAATCTCAATCATGAATGGCATCTGATAGGTATGTCTTAGTTTCATGTTTTTCAGCACCTGGAGCGGTTAAGTGCTGTCTGACTGCTTCACAGCTGCATGATGTTGTTGCGTAATTCTTCCTGCAATTTTATTGCCTTATTCAGAAGAACTTATAAATACCCCATGGTTAGAAAATTACTATATGAATTCACATACATTTATGGAAACAAAAACATGAAGGGTTGCATTTGACATGTTATTAAGTTGATACGTTTCTTTAAATCCATTAGGAGTGGAAGCAATTATATTCTACATGGATCCAGCTGGACAACTGCTTGCATCTAAACAAGTTTATCAAACAGAGCTCTTTATTTCCATATAGGCAAGCAATAAATAATAATAAAAAAAAAAAAAGCACCACTCACTGTTAATCAGTTGATAAAGAAATTCTAAAACATAACCAGCCAAAACCTTAGCTATAAATTCATAGAAAATCAAGCACCATATGATCCTTTAAGACCGAAAAGGAATGTTTTTCAAAAACAAAGACTGATTGAGACAATACACAAGAATCAGATTGTCAATATTTCTGCAGCAGCAAAGCAGGTTAATCAACTTGCAGAGTGCCCATTGAAGTGTTTTAGCACATATAATAAATCACACTAATCTATTTCTTCACGAAAAGCTGTTTGGAACAGACTAGAACCTACAAGAATCAAGCTTTACAATCATAACAGCTAATGTAATGTAGAATTTTTGTTGAAGAAAAAATTTTTCCAGTCATCTTTCATTCAACATCGGGAAATTGTAATAGCATCAACCCAAAATCATAGCCTTGAATTTGAAATTAACCAATTATACCCATTCATAAGCATCATACTAAATCGCAGCAAAATATCCAAAACTCAAAATCAAGACAAAACCCACACAAGCACCCATGTTTTCCAGGGTACCCAAAAGTTCAGCATTCTAAAATTTTTAAATTAATTCAAAAAAAAAAAAAAAAACCCACAAACAAGATAGTTTTAACCTTAGGAAAGAAAAAAAGAGAATGATTTTGAATGATATCAGCATACGTTTTCCTTGAGCTTGCGGATGATTTTGAGACGGAGCTTGTCGAGTCACCATCGTCCTTGAGTTTTGGCAATTACCTCTTCTTTGGTAATCTTCTTGTTTTCTTCTCCATTGCTTCTTCGCATTTCAATCTGTTGGAGATATAAAACCTGGGTTTTTTTTTTTTACTTGTTTTATGGTATTTTAACTGTCAACGGAGACAACGTTGGAGTACGAAAACTTTATTTTGTGCGTGGCTTCCTACACGGAACAAGGTTGTCAAATCTATTCCGGATTGGATTCTAGGACAGTCGTCGAGCCAAGAAAATTAATTTAGAGCATTAAAAGCTTTGTTTAAATCACAAAAATAATAATATTTTATTTTGTTTAATCATCGAATTCTGTGACATCTGAAGCTTTTTATAAAATTAATTAAACATTTTAATACTATTGTTTTCTCTGTTTCCAATCGAAAATATAGATTTTATAATGCAAGTTTAAGATTCTTTTTATATTAAAGTCTGATGGTTTTAATAGTTTATTAAAACATAAAAAATTAAATTACAATTTAATTAATTCATATAATCTCTTATGATAATTTATAAAATTTAATATTTAAATTGTAATACATAATTTCCTAAATTTCTATTTCTTTATTAAAAAAACCTTAAAAAACATCATAATTCAATTGATAAAGAAAACCTTTGAGGATTAAAAAATCAAGTTAATTCCAGAAGACCATTGACCAGCTAAGCAGGCAGTAAAACTGTAGAACTATCTAAATCGTCTATTCTTTCTCTATTATATATATATTATATATATAGTATATATTAAAAAATGGCAAGTTAATTCCGAAAGACCATTGACCAGCTAAGCAGGCAGTAAAACTGTAGAACTATCTAAATCGTCTATTCTTTCTCTATTATATATATATATATATATATATATATATATATATATAAGGGCAAAATGTTAAGTAGTTGAAATTTGAAAACGAGTTGGTAAATGCTACGATCAGTTCATAGAATAGAGTATACAAATGTGTACAAGATGACGACACTGTGTCTGAATTGTATCTCAACTATCGGGATTGGAAGAAACAAATTTGCTTCACTCAATGACCACCTTGCGGCCAATTTGAGCCCCACCGGACGAAAGCCAACAGGAAAAAAAACCAATGCATCTCTCAGCGCTGGAGCTGGAAACAATATAGGACGAGTTATGTTTCCCTTGCGAGAATGGCGACGGTCAGTTACCAAACTTGAGTTTCTGGCAAAAGTCATCAAGCTAAATGAGTAAAGATGCATAAAATCAAATTCAAATATTCAGTACCAAATCCGAATTACTCACGAATCATCACCATGGTTTCTACTTGTTGACTCCTGTATTGTGTGATATGGTGCAGTCATCTACCAAGGAAACACTAATACATTAAAAAACATTGCATGAGGTTCGATATATATAATATATATATATAAATATATATATATGCCACACTGCAAGGCCAAGTCCCAGCTCCGAACTGGAGTGCTGACAAATATCAGTTCATCCACACATTGGATTTTATTTTCCCATTGGTTTCTTTTTTATGGTCTTAGAAATAAGTTCAGAATTAAAAAACTTAAAGTCCAATAAGAGAAACATGCAAATATTCCTATAGGCAATAGAGGGTAGAGGTTGCAGGCCAGACCTCCTAGTATGAAAGAATGTCCAAAAGTATATATTTACTTTTCATACAGAGATGAGCAGGTCGTCTACCTAATAGAACTTCAGAACTCTAATGCAATCAATCGAACTTCCAATCAATAGGACCCAACATCTTGCCTGGTGCAATCAGCAGGTGATAACACGATCATATTCATAAGCAACTTATTATTGGATTATTGACACATTTACTGACCCCCATTCAACTAACCATATTAAAGTAATAATCATTTGCTGGTTCTGTCATGGGCTTCCAGGTATTCTTCATACGTCTACAACAAAAATCAGGAGTAAGACAATAACATGAAAGATTCAAACATAAGCAACCAGGACTACTCTGCCAGAGAGAGAGAGAGGGATGTTCCTTTTTTCTTTTTTTTTTTTCCTTTTGGTGATAAAACAGCAGAAAACACAGAGCTTTGTCTACAGGCAGATTATGCACAGCCAAAATATGAATAAGGTGTGCTAATCCTTATGTCCACAGTTGATTAAGGATAAACAGCAAATGGAGCACATGAAAGATGTTGCAGGATTCACTATGCTAAATTCTTACTAGTCCAGAAACAGAAGTTAAGTGGGAATTTATGGTTTAGGGGCTCTTAGTTGAAATAGTATCCTGATAAATCTAGCTTCTCTGATGAGCATGACTGCAAGGAAAGTATCTGCTTAGGATAAAAACACATAAATTAAACTGCATTGGAATATAAAGCTCAGATAGGGTCCCAATAGCATTTCAAGAAAATCATCCTCGGTCAAGGTACTAGCAGAAGGGCTTTCTGCAGATAAACCCCAAACATCAAATTGAGTAGACATATCATGATTTACTTGTAGATTGGTGAGATTTCTGTTGATACTATAATTTTTTGTACTTGCAACTTTTGATGCTCCCATGGTAGTAGGAAAATATTCAGTAGCCAAAGTATGTGGATGTGTTAAATGAAAGCTACTTGGGCCAGCTTGATGTTGATGGAAAAAGGGATGATAAGAGATGGGTGTACCAGCCCAAGATACACTCAATGGAGGCACATTATAATCTTCATCTCCCAAAAGAATATGGAGGTTCCAGGCAAGCCCTCTTTAAAGGTAAATCATCCCTGGTAAAAATTCACGAAATTCAACAAGGCTCATAAGCTCAATTTAATAGAAAAAACAACTTCAAGATACCTTTTCAGTGAGGCATCCACATCAGTACTCCCATCAAGGAGCTCACAAAGACTTGTAATTCCTACAAAGAAACATGTATGAAATTCTTAGTGTGCAAGGGATGGATGCTTAACTTTCTTTTCCAAAATGAAAAAAGGAGAAACAATAGCAATTAATATAAGTTGCCAAATAACTGGAAAATTCTGTACACTACAAGCACTTGGAAAACAGTGAAAGGACAACTCATGGACTGCACTTTAATACACAAATGTTCACTTCATCAGTCACTTCATCATAGTAAAAAGTATTTATAGAGAGAGAACTCAGTGCTAATGCCTCCATAAACTTAGATTGATTATAATAGAAGTACAGAACTTTGCTCATCAGAAGTTCAGAACTGATTTCCACAAAAAAAAAAAAAAAGATTTAATAGTTTCATTACTGTTGGCAGATATAAAATCCGAAGTACTGTATCACAAAGTCAAGTGAACGAGTTACAATGAAGTTAGATCTCTATCCTGCTTGTATCTTGTTTTTTAGGTCAAAGTTAATGTCCTGTTTAATGTCTTATCTGTATACACCATCAGCCAATCCAAACTCACATGCAGGGCAAAAAAAAGTTATGATCAAACAGCTATGATGCAACTAATAATGCAAATAGAGGAGAAACATCGAGTTTTATTATAATCATTTCATGCATTAGGTGGCTACAAAATTTACACTTCTGCAAACCTGATAAACATCAACTGCTGTCATTGTCCGTGTCAAGGATAACAAGGTTGTTCATGTTTCTTGCACTAAAGTGTACTGTAGATGGATATACTTATTAATAGCACAATAGCGCTTGCAAATTATATGAGTCCCAAAAAACCATGAGTTTGTTCTAAGCAAGTTAAAGGGAGAGGGAAATCATAAAACTTAGTCAATAATCAGACTCTTTTTTTCTTAAATAATTCTAGTTACAACCACAATCATGCTCAACACAAGATGCAAGCTTACATATGGGGAAGACAAATTCTCATCAATCAAGGTAATTAAAATGCAAGAAACATATAACAATGTGTTAACCAAAAGAATATGCACCATAATTTTACCTGGATCATCTAAATTTCCCAAGTCATTTTTCCATTTGGCCTCATATCAGAATGCAGATATAGGTAAAGATTCAAATTGGTCTCTGCAGCAGTTCAACGCAACTGTAGTCAAAAAAAGAAAAATACAGCAAAATATTTAGCAAACTCATTCAAAATGGACAGGGCTCCAGTATAAGAAATCTTATAGAAAAACCAGATATAATTCGGAAGCTCCGTTCCAATTTCAAAAAACACTAGCATTAGTAAATTACAAAGCTGCACCGAAACAGATAACAGCACAATTAAAACATTATTATCGTATAGAAAAGCAATTGAGTAAACAAAAAGTATGATACCATATGTTAGGGTTACACTAATAAGTAAATATATATTCTTCTGTTCATTCTATTTATTGAGTTTTCACATGAACATTTTTTAAAATATATTTAATTTTCTTTCGTCGTCCATTTAACATGCCATTAGGGCCAATCGCGTAACAAATGAATTCCTCATGAAAGAATAAATTAACTGATATTAAGATAAATTACGGCCAATTCCTTACTAATGTAAATATTAATATCAACATACAATAAAATAAAGTTTCAGAAAAAGAATTAAAAAGTAATTATCCAAAGGAATTCCTCCCGTTTTCATTCTACTACTTTTGTTTCTCAGCAACCAAGCAGAACATAAAACGAAGAAAAGAAATTTTAAGTAGAAAGAAGTAAAAGAGCCTACCTGTTTTAGAGAGAGAGGACAAAACCAAACAATAGAAAGGCACCGAGTAATTGTCTTGAGTTGAGGCAAATAGCAATGAGCCCCAACTTTCCTTTTTTTTTTTTTTTCAATTTTCCTTTCCCTGAATTCAACCTTCCAAATTAGACACTGTTTGGAAACGGGTTTTTTTCCCCAGTTGCGAATCGTCGATCGAGCGGTTTTTGATTGGTTAGGGGGTCTGTTGAAGGTTAAAAACCTACGGTGATGCGTGCGTCTAAGAATGAGCCATGAAAAAATCTCTATAAATTTTGGGCTTAGAACATAATGATTATTGCCATTGGGCATGTCTAGTTTGAGTTTCATTCCATATATCAAACATTTTTTTTTTTTTAATTTAATGATTAAAAGATCGATTGAAAATCATAAAGACATAAGTTTTATCTCGTTATCCCTCTCTCCCTTATAAAGGCATTAGTTCTTCTTCGTAACAAAAAAAAATAATTTTTTTAAATTATAAATCTAAAATCTAAAAATTAAAAAAAATAACATAATCAGATTTTTTTTAATAAATAAGTATTTTTATTTTAAAAGAAAATTGTCATTTTCCCATTATTAATATTAAAAAAGATTTTTTTTCTCATGTATATTTTAATAAATAAAAAGGAATAACGCGCTATTCAAATTAAATCTTGTTCTAAAGTCCACTTTTTATATACACATTGATATATCACACTTCAAAATAATTTAATCAAAAAAGATAGATAATTGGTAACTTAAAATGAGAGATTAAGTATTTTTTATGATAAAAATCACTATTGCTGCCTAATTGATGTCCTTGATTAATTAATACTTCTATTAAGTCTATTGCCAAGATAGCCTGATGCTAATATTTGTTTTACAATATGCTTATAACCCTTAATATTCTTATGGTACTAACATATTTAAAATAATTTTATCTTTACCCCATCAATAAAATTTTTAATCATATCAATTTATTTTATAAATTACTCCTTGTCTCAATTAAATTATCACATTTTGATTTTTTAATCAAAATTTTAAACTTTGATATCCTATTATTTTATATTTATTATTGATAAAAATATATAAAATATATATTTTAAAAATTTTGAATGAATTAAATTTTAAATATATGGTTTATATATTTTAAATAATCTAAATATTTATAATAGTAACGAGCAAAGTACAACAAAATTGTGATAATTTAATTCAGGGAGAAATATATTAATTTATTTTTGAAGGCTGCCTCAAACCCGGCCCGAGTTGGAATGCAATGAAGGGTCCAAAGAGTGAACGACAAAAGCCAACCAACAATAAAAGCAATGACAGCAACGGATAAGACAAAGTTCTGCCGTTTGATCCACCAACCCTCTGCAATATCACCAATGTCTAACAAAGAAACCCAAGTCTCATCAGAAGAGCTACCTATAGTCCTCGTTCATCGTCTACCATCATTCAAGTTGCCTTCCAAGCCTTCTTTCAATGACCATTTACTTTCTGACTTCCATCTCCTGGACCCTCATGACTCGCCTGAGCCTTATGACTCCTTTATGTCCCGTCACGCTCCCTCCATCAGGGCTCTCATCATTGTTGGCCCCACCCCAATTACCGCCGAGTTTCTCAAGCTTCTGCCTTGTTTGGAGCTTATAGTGGGAACTAGTGCTGGTCTTGATCATATAGACCTCCCGGCTTGTTGGAGCCGAGGCATCACTGTTACTGATTCTGGCCTTGCCTTCTCAGAGGATGTGGCGGATTGTGCTGTTGGGTTGTTGATTGATGTTCTTAGAAGAATTTCTGCTGCTGACAGATTTGTTCGTGGCCGGATGTGGCCTGTTAAGAAAGAGTACCCTCTTGGTTTTAAGGTAAATGATTTCTTTCTTAGTTACTGCTTTTTGATATGGTTTTTCTTTGAATAACAGATGGTACTTATAGTATGAAATCGGGATAAGTATAAACGATGTCGAATTGATGGGTGAAAGCGATTCTTACTTGAGGTTGCTAAACTGATAATGTCTTGTCATGGAAATGGAAATTTGACTTGTTCCAAAGTGATTACTGTAAGGGCTGATTTATGGGGAAGAATTGTTTGTCTCTAGGTGAAGTCTGCTATGGTCAAAAGCTATTCAGATTATAGCACCAAGACTAAATCCACATAAGTCAAGGAATCCAGTTGAGGAATTTTAAGATCTTTACTTACGACTTTTTGATCTTGCTGATTGCTGAACGTAGTTGAATCAAACCTTTGACATTTTAAGGCTCATACTTATAGGATAAGTAACAATTGAAGCAGCTACTACTGATACAGAAATCAATTTACATATGTGATTGAGTTTATTGAAAAAAGAAGCAATGATATGAAACTCTTTGCTATTGCTGGTATGTTAGATCTTCCTTGTTACTAGCACAAACAACTGGAGGGGGTGTCTCCCCAGGGAAATCGAACTCGTGGACTTTAAAAAGGCTAACTTTGTCATTAACTTAGGATCAGAGTGTATTGTTTGGAGCTGTATGAGCACCTTTTGATGCGTAAGGTCTAACAAATTAAGGGTGAGAGGAGGGGGGGGGGGGGGGGGACGACGTGTAAATGCCAACCTTCTGTAGTTTTTTTTCATTGCTGACCATGTATAACTTCAGGGGCCTTTTTTCTTTGTTTTTCCTTTTGCTGACCAAAAGCTCAAATAGAAAACTAAACTCAACAGTATGATGCCAAGACACTTCGAGTAAGTCATTCAATATATTGCAAGAGATTAATTCCATTCAGGGGACATCAAAAAGTTGGAAGGGACTTTTTATTCATTATTTAACGAACAATGAACATTGGCCGATCTTTGGTGGTGTATGATTGACTAAAAATATTTAATAATATTTACATAAATATAATTGGATTGATCAAATCTAATTAAAAACTCTCTTTCTTGATCAAAAATGGGCTTTTCTTTTGGGTTTATTGTGTAATGCAAGCTTAGATCCTCTTCACAATGGGTATCTGCAATGAACTCAGAGTCGCATGAAACATGATATGACGTTGGTGCAATATATTATGCAATGCTATACTTTATGATCTTTTGGAAAAATGTTGATTCAAATGCCTTATTCTTCATAACAATTTATAACTAGCATTTAGAGCCTTCTGTCTAATACTCTAATGTATAGCATTCTAAAACAGCTCTGGCTTGGCCAAAAAATGGAAACTGCATTAACTACCAAAATCTATCCTCATTTTGATCAGAATTGAGCAGGACTGCTGTTTCCTGTGCTTTTCTGTTTCATCATGAGCATGACTCTTACATTTCAACAAAGGCATTAGATTATCCTATTTGGTCCTTATAAAATTACTGTTCCAAACTTCCAATTGCAGTTAGGAGGAAAGCAAGTTGGGATTGTGGGCCTGGGAAGCATTGGTTCTGAAGTTGCAAAGAGGCTTTCAGCCTTTCGCTGCAGCATTGCCTACACCTCAAGGAAGAAGAAGCAATCTGTTCCATTTCCATTCTATGCTAATGTCTGCGACCTTGCAGCAAACAGTGATGTTCTCATACTTTGTTGTGCACTTACAGAGGAAACTTACCACATTATCACGAAGGATGTCATGGTAGCATTAGGAAAGACAGGAGTGATAATCAATGTTGGGCGTGGCTCTCTTATTGATGAGAAGGAATTAGTGCAGTGTTTGGTGCGAGGAGAAATTGATGGTGCAGGTCTTGATGTGTTTGAAAATGAGCCTAATGTGCCAAAGGAGCTATTTGGACTTGATAATGTTGTGTTGTCTCCACATTGCGCTGTCATGACTCCACAATCCTTTGAAGCATTGCTCCAGTTGATTAGTGCTAACTTAAAAGCCTTCTTTTCAAACAAACCTTTGTTATCAGTAGTCTCAAATGAATGAACCATTCATTCTTTTGCTGTAACTGTAAGGCCAATCTTTGCATCTTTTGAACTTTAATATTCCAATAAATGCTTCGCGAAGATCTTTTATCATTTGGTTAAATGTCAAATGTACCAAAAAACAAGATGGTTCATACAATATTAAAACAGAGGTTCTCTAGCAAAACTATTTTGTTCTTTGTGAATTTTGTTTTCTTGGTTAAAACTCTGTTACGGTGTGCTTACCATAGTAAAACAGAACACTGAATGACCCCTCTAAACTGGAGTAAACTCGTGTAACTTAGCATTCTTTAGGGCAGCCATGGCCATTGACCTGCCACCATTTTATGGGGTGTTATGAAAGGCAGCAATCATTTTAAATATGATAAGAGAACGGCGGTTATCTACCAAAGATGAAATGACAGTGATACTATAGTTGATGCTCTTAGTACGATATTATTTCACATCTAACAAGTATCTAATTTTTTATAATTTTATATTCATGATAAATTTTTTTATTTGCAGTAAATTAATTTTAAATTAAATGCTTAACATAATATTAAAATAAAAAAAAAATTTTACTGTTTTTTTTAAATTTATCGCGTGATATGCTTCTTTTATATTTACTTACATGTGATAGAGGTCTATTAATGAAATGTTATCCCACATCTAATAAATATTTAATTTTTTAAAATTTTATAATCAAATTTAATCTTTCTATTTACTATTGATTTTAAGTTGAATATTAATAAAATTAGTTTCTAGCGGTTTTTCAAAGCATTAAATTGCTAATTTGGTAGAGTGGACTAGTAGAGTTTGACAAGATCAAAAGGTGCATAGATTGTGTTGCGCACTAGTTAGCTTTACAGGAAAATCAAGATGCTTCACTACTCTGCCATGTGATTGATACTTTTGTTTACCTTCTCAAATGGTGGAGTAGTTGCTTGGCGTAGGCTAAGCAGAGCTGTTGTTTTTGTCTGTCATTTCCCTTCTGTTTCCCATTCTGGTCTTTTTGTATAGAACTCCCATTGACCCCTAACGTTAAAAAAGAAATGTTTGCTCCAGGAATGGAGTATCAATTTCAAGTGAATCCCGGGAGTACTCCATTGTTGGAATTTTCCACACAGATATGGATTGTGGAATTACTTTGGCTTGTCCAAAAATACTTTTTGTTTCTTATTTGCTTGTTTAGCTTTTATGGCATCTCATTGGACCACTGAAGCACCATTTTGGTCATGCTTTTATGCTACATGATGCATGTATCATCGGGAACTAATTTGAGTTGCCTTTTAAGCAGGAACGGATCTACAATGGCAGCTATCCCCACTAAGATTTTAGTATCCCTTAAAAATTATTACAAAATTTTTTAAAATTTTAATTCTTTTATAATTTGCCCCCACTAAAAATGACAAAGAATAAAATATATATGACAACTTCTATAAATGTTTAAAAGAACAAAACTATAATTACAATATAAATTATTTATTTTACAAAAATAATAGGATCACATGTATAAATATAAATAAAATAAACATTTTATAAATAATTTTTTATATTCAAGGACCATCATTTTATTTAAAAAACAATAAAAGTAAATAAAAAATGATCTTCTTTCCACTCCAATTATAATTTTTTTCCTTCGTCCAAACTCATAAAAATTACAGTAGATAGAAAATAAAAATAAAAAAATAACAAAAAGACAAAAAAAAAAAAAGCCAATAAACCAAAGAAACAAATTAAAGAGTGAACATTTTTTTCTTTCCATCAACATATATAAGTAAATAATTACTTTTTTTTAGATTTTTTATTTATATTTATTATCATTTTTATGTGATAGAATATTTGTATACTATTTAAATTTTTTTATATTGGTAAAATAATTTGATTTGAAGCTTAATTTATGATTTATTTATATTTATTTTTATATTATAAGTGGATTAAGATCGAAGAATATTGTACTTTCTTAAGTTAATCAATGAAATAATTTAATTTTTATGAAATTATTTTTTAAATATAAAATTATATAATTTAATTAAAATTTAAAATACATAATAAAATATGCATGTTGATTTTGTTTGCATAATTACATTTCAATATCTAATATAAACTACAACATTATCTTCTTATTTTTTTAGAATTATATAAATTAAATTATTTGATTTAATTAGTTGTAAAAAATTATCTTATTAAAAAAATTAATTTTAAAGTAATCATATGAAATCAATAATAATAACACATAACATTTTACAAAAATAAATTCATATTTAATTAGATCTAAATCTGTAGAGACCTACACCTAAGGTATTGTCCGTTTTGACCCGAAGATTTTACGATTTTATCCTACAAAAAGTATCTCACAAATTTGGGAGTAAGTCTCTACATATATATCATTTCTTATCCACACATCCTCCTGATGTGAGATTAAAGTCGTTACAATCTCTCTACCTTTAATGCTTGACATCCCTGTCAAGTCGAGTCTATCCACAGGACCAAGATCACACCAGACCATCGTGTAACAATTAGTGACTCCCACGACTACGGACTGTAATGCTTGACATCCCTGTCAAACCGAGTCTATCCACAAGACCAAGATCACACCAGACTATCGTGTAACACTTAGTGACTCTCACGATTGCGGACTGATGATCGCTCTGATACTATTTGTAGAGATCTACACACAACCTGCGAGGTATTGTTCGCTTTGACCCGAAGGTCTCACGATTTTATTTTACAAAAAACACCTCACAAGTTTGGGATTAAGTCTTTACATATATATCATTCATTATCCACGCATCCTCCTAATGTGAGATTGGGGACGTTATAAAATCATTTTTAATTGATCCAAAATTATGAAAAATTATTTTAAATTATCATCCCAATTAAAAAGATAATGTTTAAAAAATATGTTTTCGTACTGAATAATCTATAAAAAAATAATTATAATATATTATCTTTGTATATAAACAAAATAACTTTCTATATATTTGAATTAATTTATATTTTTATATTTTTATATTTAACATTATCTATTTTAATTGTTCTCACTTAATATAAATCTTGAATTCGCCACGGTTGTTGAAACTTGAAAGAAAGGGCAGTACGTCGATGTTATGGTTTTCAATGTTTCCTTTTTTTCTATGAAGAAGTATGGTCTCGAAATTTGAATGGTTGATGGGATACACCGCACACAGATGCCAGAACCAATTCAATTTAAATTGCCATGCCAGAAAAAATATTTCATTCACAGTGAACGGTCTATTATTAATTTTTTGGTGCAAATGCACAACAGTGTTTTGTTTGGAAGACAAAGCTATGTCACGATTGTATTGACGCGACACCAGTGAAAGTTCTATAGTCTACCGCTGAAGAAGCGGTTGGGTGAGCCACCGCACCTTCTTTTGGACTTTTTTATGCCCTTGATATCCTTTTATTACATTTTATCAAAAAAAAGTTAGAGAATTCACAATATATATATATTAAAAAACCATTTTATATATTATTATTATTTATTAAAATTTTGTTATTTAAAATAAAAATAATTTTAATAATTTTAAATTATTTTCATAAATATCAAATAATTAAAATTTTTTATTATAAATAAATTTTAGTCAATATCATTAATAATTATTTTTCTTTTCATTATAATTTACCTTATCGAATCATTGCATTTACATACGAATGCATATTCACGCTATTGATTTTAACCTCCTAAGTAACCGAATAGCAAGCAGGAATGAATTCAAATCATGCCTAAAACAATTTCAACGTCAGAAATACTAATACCAGCCTTTTTTTTTTTTTTTTAACTTGTAAGAAGAGAAGTGCGGAAAGGAAAAAATTTTGTTGAAGACATATTAAGACGTTCATTTTATCCGTTTGTTAATTTTAAATTGAATTATTTAAAATTAAATTAATTAAATTATTTTATTTTATTTTTATTTATTGAATTGAAATATTAATTTTTAGAATTAATCAATTAAATTTAATTAGATGGATTAATTTTAATTAAATAATAAATACATTCAAACTAAATTATATCTTAAATCTTAAATGATTTTCAATAATTAATTAAAATTAATTTGATTAATAAAATTAAATCAATTAAATCTATTAATTCCATTAAAATTGAATTTTGAATGCCCTCAAACAGAGACATAAATTACGGAAGAAAATGTAAACAAAGGACATTAATTCACAAACAGTGCAAATGAGTCGCTCATTATTCAACAAAGCAGGTAAAGAGATGCTAAGGATTGACAGACGGACAACATACTAGCGTCAATCTACCACAACCAAGGCTTTAACCAAAGAAAATATAGCGTCAACAGTCTGATTTAATGACATTGAAAATAACAAGATATTTTTTAATATAGCTAAAGACTGGTCTCAATTAGACAGACCATCCTGGGTCTTCCTGAACAGCTTGTGCTGGATATGCTGAGCAAAGGTGCGAGGAGGGAACAATGGAGGCTCTGTCTCGGACACTGTTTCTGGCAGTGGTTTGAGAATGATCTTCTCCTTTGGCGGCTCACAGAAAACTGCCCATGAGATCCTAACCTTCTCCTTGTTAACCAGCCCCCTGTGGAGAATGCTCTTGTACTTTCCATTGCTGAGGATCTCGATGGTGTCGCCAATGTGCATGATTATGGAGTTTGGAACACACTTTGCGGTCACCCACTTGCCTTCGTAGAAGAGTTGCAGGCCAGGAACCATGTTGTGGAGGATAAAAGTGAGTGCACTTACATCTGTGTGGGCTTCGACACCGAGAGCGAGTTCTGGTTGAGGGCATTTGGGGTAGTAATTGATTTTCATTTGAAGGAGGAGCTCTTCCAAGCCACCAACTTCCTTCTCTAGCCTTCCTTCTTCCAATCCCAAGCAAAGTGATAGTGCCGAAAGAATTTTGCTTGCTAGGCCTCGGAGTTGCCTTGCATACTCACTTGTGACTTCACTGCATACATGGTAACCAATTAACATTAGTGATCAAATTGTCCCGACCACAGTAATCCATTTCATATAATAGAAACATTGTCCTGAGTCCTGACTATATCAATGATCAATATATACTGAAAATATAAGGAAAAGTTTCTACCTAATCAGGCAGACAAATAATTCTCAAAACTGTTAGATATTTTGATTAAATGTAAAAGTCGTTAATGAATCCTGTGGAGAAATATAGCGTGTTCTGACATGATGCTTTCAAAAGATTATTACGAATCTAGTTGCAAAAGAATATAAATCAGAAATCAACCATTTTTAAATGTAAACAAGCTAAACTCACGTGTAGTCGCTTGGTGTTTTAGGCCAGATTGACAAGTCTCTCTTCTCCTCAGGATACACAAGATGGAAGAAGTAGTCCTCCCACTCAAGCTGCCCACTAGCATTGTTAGCAAGCTTGCTGCCATACCCCTGAATCTTTCCTGAAGCCTGGTCGTTTGCATACTTCTCTTTCTCCTCAATAGGAAGCTCAAAGAACTTCTGTCCAGCTTTCTTGACACGATCCGTTAGTTCGTCCGAGATTCCATGGTTAACAAGGTGCATCACACCCCACTCCATGGCAGCTTTCTTCAACTGCTGGTGACATCTCTCACGTACCTCCTTGTCCTCAGACTCAATTTCCTTTAAATCAATGGTTGGAACCTGGGGCCCTTCCTCTTTTTTCTCTTCTTCAAATACATTACCTATGCTTGTCAGCTCTTCCTGCGGTCTAATATACTCTTTCGGGATTGATTGAATCCCACTGCTTGCCAAGCTCTCCACTCTGGATCCCACTGAAGTCACCATTCTAGCTGTCTAAACTTGTTCTAAAAGTTTGTTGTTTCCACTCAGTAAACACACAATTTTTTTTTTTGGGCAATGCAGTATCAGAAATATGCTTTAATGCTGATAGTTGCTGGGGTTTTTATAGAGCTATAGTTGAAGAAAAATGTTAAGCAGAAGATGAAGAAAACAATGGAAAATTAAGCAATGAGTTGCATGAGCGAACATGCAAAGGGGTAGAGCTACCAACTCAAGAGAAGGAAAATAAAACACTATTGACGAAGAAAAATAGATGGTAAGATGTACACGTGAGTGAGTAGCCACGGTCAAAGTGTCCTCAACTGAGTGGACCGGAAGATTGGAGCAAATCGGGGACCGGAGCCTGCCAATCCCTGTTCTAGAGTCTCTTGTACCATACTGAAATAGAAAAGTGCTACTCTCAATCCTCAATTCTCAACCACACATGCTTTGTGACGTGAAAATCTCACTCTCATATAATTATTCTAATACTAAAATTATTTTTAAAAAAAAGTACATAATCAAATATGCAACAACGAATTTTATTGGGTCATGCTATATATATAGATAATATTTTTGTTAATAATTTAATTTCATATAATTATATGATAAAATCATGCATGCTTAGAAAGTAGTTACCAATTTTCAAAAAATTTAAACTAAATTTATTTTTTATTAAAAACAAAATACATCACTTTTTAAAATCATGACAAATTAATAAATAATTTTATTTAATTAAAAATTCATATATACTCTTTAATATATCTTATTTATCCATTTTTTATAAAAAAATAAAAAATAAAAATATTTAAATTTAAATATTTAATATTATCTCATAAAATAACTATATAAATCAATTAAATTAATTATAAAATTAATTTTTTCAACTATTTACGTCATCACAATGAAACACTTTTGTTAAATTATAAAATTTAACTTTACCACCTGAACCAAGCAATTCAATAATACCCAATACACAAGCAAATAGAATAGCTAAAGCAAATGTGAATTTTGCTTTAGAGGAGGGCATCTAACTAATTAGTGAATAAATAACGACGAAATATATTGACTTGGAGTGTCCAACTACCAAGCCACTACTGCACGTTTCATCTAACCCATTTTCGGAATAAAGTTTTTTGGATTTTAGCCGAATGGACCGCACAAGCAATTCAAAATGATTTAAACAGTATCTGTATATAAATCTCGATTTTTTTAGTACAGTCAAACATCATCACTCTTTAAAACTAAATAAATAAATAAATAAAATTCGTGTGTTTGGTAATGGCTGTCATGAGTTAAAAGTTTTCAACGACATTGACAAGCTGCAAAGGCACTGAGCATCGAAATTAAATAATAGTTATCTAGGCCTGAGCAAATTTTGGACACTCCCATTGGCATATGAGATGGCGACAGTTGCTTCTGGAAGGAATGAGGTAGTTGGTGGCTCGTGTTTCATTCTATGAGCTTTCCGTCAGCCCTAGCCTGAGTCTCAGCCTATCCTATCCACCTGTAGCTACAAATTTTATATAATTAATTGCTAGGCTTTTTATATTTTTTACCATATATTATATTTTTTTATTTATGTTTTTACTTTTTTTTTTTTTTTCAAACGAAGTTAGGTCTTTTAAATAAGAAAACGATTATAGTTGTTTAAATTTAAATATTAAATTTATTGAATATTAATTTTTAAAAATTATTATATAAAATTTTTAAATTAAATTTGATAAAAATAATAAAAAATTTAGACTTTATAACATTATTTATATAAATCTTTATATTTTTATTAATTCAAACAAACTCTTAATCTTTAATTTATATTCAATTGAATTTTTAATTTTTAATTTATATTTAAATTAGTATTTTAATTTTTAATTTATATTTAAATAAATTCTTAACATAAATAATTTTTCATTTAAAATAAAAATTTATTTCAATATAAATTAAAGTATAAAATTTAATTTAAATATAATAAAATATAAAAATTTATTTTTAAAAATAAAATAATTCAAGAGTTTTTAATGTTTTATCCATTAAATTTTGAATTTTACTTTTTTTTTTCTTTTTACTTTTTGTTTCTTGTGTTTTTTTTTTTTATCATTAAGGGGATAGAACCCGAAAAAGAAAAAAATTAAGGTTCGAACCTTGATTTTGATATCTTTTTTAAAGTTATTTTAACCACTAAATCAAACAGATGAAGATTTTGTTTCTTATTTTTTTCCCAAATCAAAGTGATTTTTATTTGAAATTCAATTTACAAGACAACAAGCTATAAAAACACAAAGACATAAAAAAAAAAAAAAGAAGGTAACAAATAATTTTGTTTCTTTTTTTTTTTTTTCCCGTTCCTTGCCTAGGAGAGTAATCCCACAATTTGTATAATAAATAGTATTTGATTTGAGGATATCTTAAAATTTAAAATTATATTTGATATATAAAATGATTTATAGATAAGATAATAATTATCTTATATTATATTTAATTTTTATTTAAAAATAGATAAAATTATAAAATAAATTTAATTATTATTTTAATATAGGATGATTTAATTCTTCTAAAGTGAAGAAGATTATTTTTAATTTATGACATTAAATTTACATATTCTATTATACCCTTAAAAATGATATCAATAATTTAAATTATATAAATTTTAAGAAAATATAAATTTGACTAATAAATAAATTATTTTATCTTAATCATTATACGCATCAAATACAATATAAAATAATATTATTTAATTTAATTATATTCATAATATCATTTTATTTTATTATAATTTTGTGTATCAAATATATTTTTAAAGTGTTAGGCTTAAATTTCATTGTGTGAATTTGATTGTTTAGTTTAATTATAGTGTGTGGATTTGATTATTTAATTAAATTATAATTTATAACTTTATGATTTAATAATGTAATTATTGATTATACATATGTAATAATTAATTATAAGTGTAATAAAAAAAAGAAATTAAGCTGATTTGAATGCATTAAAGGTGTAATTGAGTTGAGTGAAACTTATATACTAATATGCTTGAGCTTATATACTAATATGCTTGAGCTTAAGCTTGACTTAAAAATTAAAACTTGAAACTCGACTTAAACTTGATCGAATAATATTTTTCAAGTTCAAACTCAACTTAAAGTAAATCTTGAGACAAGCTAAAGTCAAGCTCAATTAAGCTTGAATCATAATAAAAAAAATTTTAAAATTTAATTAATATGTTACATAATCAAATAAAAATAAAAGAAATTCATAATACAAAATGAATAAGATTTAAAAAAAAATCTTCATATGATGGCTTAAAAAACAATCGGACCAATTACTTTCTTTAAATTTGCTAAAATATAATTTGTTGATTTGTAAAAACAACCTGGTATAACCAATAGAACTCAAATCTTTACAAACAAAAACCATGTAGCTCATGAAATATAAACTCATAAGACATGTAAACAATTAGCTAATAGCAAAACAGAGAGAAGAAAATCCTAACATCGTCCATGCTTCATTTAAAAAAAAAAGAAAAAGAACCTAAATAGCATTAAGTTAAGGATCTAAACAAAAATAAATAAAACAAAGGGAAATGAGAAACAGCGACATGTCAAGGGTAACTTTGCCAAAATCCCAATAACAGTATACTCAAATCACCTCACACATCTCTTGTCGAATTGTTAGTGTTTGCAGTGACGAGGGTTGTAAGTATGTGTAGGTGAAGAAGACTTAAAGATGTGATTGCAATGATGAAGGTTGAGAGTAAGGGTTGTTAAAGAGTGAAGAAGACTGAAAAATAGATGAAGGAGGTGAAAGAGTGAAGGTTTGAGAGAAAACGACGTGACATAAAGTAGGAGAGAGTAAGGTTAATTTTAATATAGGTTTAGGGTTTTTTTGTTAAGTATATATAGTTTTAAGGATAAAAATATAATTTTATAATTAAAATAATAAAAAATATATTAAAATATAAAACTCAAACAAAGCTATTGAACCAAATGGTGATATGTTTAAATTCGATTTATATGATAAATTAAATTATTTAAATTTAAATTTGATTCGAAAATAATTTAATAAAATTAAATAATTTAAGAATATTGATCTATCATCTATACTTTGAGAAAAGTTGAGTAGAGTCTTAGGTTTGTAACTCGTAAAGACCAAACAAAAACCTAGGGTAGGTGAGTAGCTCAAAATCGGTGGACAGGTAGACATTGTTTTCAATGCATTAATCGCTATTATTTACATCCTTCCGTCGTCCAGCGTAGTCTCAAACTCAAAGGGTATTTCTTTCGTATTGTCATTTTTGAGCTCCCATTTTACATGTTCAAAAGCAGACTATCTGATTCAATGACCTAGGCCCAATTCATCTAATTTTTAATAAAAAATTTCAAACACAAACCAATTTGAATTATTATTTAATTAACAAAAATTTTTATTAAACTTTAAATTTAAAATATATTTAAAAAACTCAAATATTTACTATTTTAATATTAATATTTAATGTTTTAGCAATTTAAAAAAAAAAAATCCTCAAAACCCGATGTAGAACGAGTGCAAGGAAAAAGGACTAATGTTTGTAGACATATCAATTGCAAGCAGACGCATGAATGCCCTGGTTGATAAAAGGGCATCTGATCTCTTTATATCTAAACGAGCAAGAAAGAAATTTGGATTCAAGATCGAAATATAATTATGCAATTTATGCTGATATTAATTTTTCGGGCCTAGAATATGTTAGGATATTCACGAAAAAAGTGTCTAAATATGATGCTAACCAAGAAAATACATCAACGAGAGAAGAAGATATTTTTTAATTTTAATTATAATAGCTTGGATGTCTCCGATTTAGGAAAAAGCTTCCAGTTTAATACCCTATTGAAATTGTGCCAAAATTTAAGTTCTTTTTTTTTTTTTTTTAATTTCATTCATTCCTTGTACTTCGAGCAGGAAAATAATTAAATAATTTTATAATATTTATCTGCGATGGAACAAAGTACAAAGAATCTGACATATAGTAGTTTTTTATACGCTTCTGGCATGCGTATTTTAGCATAAGTCATATTATCCAAAGCGAGTTTAGTCAGACAAATTTTTTTTTTTTAAGTTAATATTATTAAAATTAAATTTGATAATTAAAATTAAAAGTTTGACGATCATATAATTATTAACTTTTATCAAGCAAGCTGAAGATAATATTGAATTATTAAAACAGTATTTTTTTTTTCATATTTTTCTCAATTTTATTGTGTTTTGAATACTTTTGATTCAAGTGATTAATTATTTATAAATAAAAGGAATGATAACACCAAACCCATTTTTAATTGCATCCTTAAATAAGATCATATGTACCTAAACTTATCTGGACATTCTTTTTCTATATAAAAATTCTATATGCTAAAAGCCCTATAAAATAATCTGAAATACCTTCTTCACATTTTTTTTATTTTTTTATTATTCTATGATCAAATTAATTACTACAAATTGAATTTCTACATATATTTCCATTTATTTTTCCAAGAAAAGAGGAGGCCAGTACAGTGGGCTCCAAAAGACTAGATGAAACCCAAAGCTATTAGCTTGGGCTAGCCCAGACCGAGAAAATGATGTCCAAGAACCAAACAGGGCCCATAAGATCTGTCCACTAACGGCCCAATGGACTGACGTGGACAGGAAAAGGCAACCACATGTCGACCTCAGGGCAACATCCTAGAAAACGACAATCGCAGATGATGACATGGCAGATTTTGTACGATAAAAAAATGGGTTATCTTTTGAAGCAGGACAAAAGAGGAGAGACCATTGCATTTCCCTCCACACGTTCCTCGGTTGCCTTATCTTTGAGCCGTCTCTCTTTTCCCTCCAATAACAATGCTCCACCACCATGATCAGCTTGATTCTTCCACCTGAAACCAGCAAAAACCAAATAGCACCATAGCTTTAACAGATTGAGTTCCTGGCTCACCAATGGCTAGCAAATTGGCCTTGACTTTGACACCCCCTCGTTTGTTCACTGCTCCTATTCAAAAATCCTTGATTACTTTTTCTTCATCTTCTCCTACCAGGGTTCAATCCAATGGAAAGCAGCTATGTTTTCGACGCAGATTGTTCTTACTTCCTATCAAGGCTACTGCTGATCAACAAGGTTTGAATCATCTTTTCAAGACCAAAAATTAAGTTTTTTTGTATATGCATAACTATTGGGTGCTTAGGGGGAGCACCCAGGATTTATCTATGTAAGTGGGGCTCATTTCAATTTGGAGTTGTGGGAGAATCCTTGAGGTGACTCTAGCATTATTTGCAGACCAGGTCGAAGAAGATAAGGTTGTTGATAGTAAAATTCTGCCATACTGTAGCATAGACAAGAAAGAGAAGAAGTCATTGGGTGAAATGGAGCAAGAGTTTCTTCAGGCCCTCCAAGTACGGAAGCACAATTCTGTTTTCTATTAATTTGTTTTCCCTTGATTGCAGATATTTAGCACATATCAATTCTATAAAAGAATGGAGCGGTGGCTTAACTAAGAAAACTGCCAGACCACATAACTTAACCTGGCTGTTAAGTATGCGTGTAACAATGTTCTTCCTGTTCATTTTCCGCAGGCATTCTATTATGAGGGAAAAGCTATCATGTCAAATGAGGAATTCGATAATCTTAAGGAAGAACTAATGTGGGAAGGAAGCAGTGTTGTCATGCTAAGTACAGTCCAACTTTAATTCTTATCAAGCCTTGTTCAAGCAATATGGTCACATGAATCATGACATTATCCTTGAAGAGGTTGTAACTTCTTGGTTTCCTCTATTTGCAGGTTCTGATGAGCAGAAATTTCTAGAAGCCTCAATGGCTTATGTATCTGGGAAACCAATTCTGAGTGATGAAGAATTTGATGAATTGAAACTAAGGCTAAAGGTTTGTCAGCATTTGTCTCTTTTAGATATGATGTATGAATTTAACTGTAACTGATTTATGAATTTAATCTAATGAGGATAGGAGAATTCTACCGATACAAAGTAAGCAGCCATATTGTCAGCTCCATGTCTACCGTTTTTCCAGCCTAAAATGCCTGTAGTATGGATGGAGATAAGCCATCAGCTTTATTAGTTTAATGCAGAATTTCCTTCTAATGTTGTTTATTTTTCTATAACTGTTGTCTAGATGGAAGGAAGTGAAATTGTGGTTGAGGGTCCAAGATGTAGTCTCCGTAGTAGAAAGGTATATAGTCTTCTGTTTTTAGTGTGATTGTGCATACCATGAATAATTCTGAATTAAGCATGCTGCATAGGTGAGCACTGCATATATTCCCTCATTATTCCATTCCATTAAATCAAAGCACAAGGAATCTCCTTTTTAAGCCTAGTAAATGGTTCAATTCATACTCATTTGATCATCTTTCTTCTCATAGGTGTACAGTGACCTATCTGTTGACTATTTGAAGATGTTCCTCTTAAACGTCCCAGCGACTGTGGTTGCCCTAGGATTGTAAGTTATTATTATTTTTTTCCTTTTGTACTAATACTGTTTTTAGCTGAAAATGACAAGATGCGAACTACTTAATAGTAATCTGCATCCTAAGCCTCTTATCCTGAATGCTAGCTAGTTTGTTATGCTTTTCATCTGTACTTATGATATTATTTAACCCTATAAATCATTCATCTATGTTCTGGTTTTCCAGGTTTTTCTTCCTAGATGATCTGACTGGATTTGAAATCACATATCTTTTGGAGGTAAACTGTTATTACCGCTGTTATGCTTCTGAAGCTAATGAATGCAAAGGCTGATATATTACCCTGGTTCTTTGCCCTTTCCCAATGGTTGCATTTGAATGATCCTTGTATTGGCTGAATTGATCATCCAAATTTGAAATCTCTCATGGACAACACTTTCCCCTTTGGGTTTCTAGTACCTTGTCTCAAAATCAGAATCTCTTCCTATATTCTCTCTCTTCATTTAAGAAAGCCCAAATAGCTTTGTCATCAAGTATGATGCCAATGATATAGCCATGCTCACGACCTTTTGTACACTGTCATTAAACTAGTGTCCTACATTTGTTCTTCTACTTACTTTTCTGTGAAATTGTTCAATTGCAGCTTCCAGAACCATTCAGTTTCATTTTCACTTGGTTTGCTGCCGTGCCCTTGATAGTTTGGTTAGCTCAAGCCCTCACAAAAGTGATTGTGAAAGACTTTCTGATCCTAAAAGTAAACATCTGTTTCATCCTTTCCAATGTTACTCTCAACAGCTCCATAATCTTTCTATGAACTATGAAACTAATTTGTAACTTTACCTTCTAGGGCCCTTGCCCGAACTGTGGTACTGAGAATGTCTCCTTCTTTGGCACTATACTATCGATTTCTAGTGGTGGAACCACCAACACTCTTAAATGTTCCAAGTAAGTTGATCATTTGTTTTCCTTCAAAAAGAAAAATGAAAATGTCGACCATTTGTTTACTAACCACATTCACTAATAAAATTTTTAACTGCCATCATTCACACTGCATCAAAACTTTAACTTCCTAACTCTTTTTTTTTTTTTTTTTCACTTCAGTTGTGAAACCCCATTGGAATATAATTCAAAAACGCGGTTGATTACATTGCCAGAAGGAAGTCAAGCTTGATTGGAGGTATATACCATGCTTACCCTAGAATCCCTCCCTAGAACTTCAAATTTGGACTTGCCTTACCTGTGCTTGAGTTACTCAGAGACAGAGAAATGATACTAGTAATTTACTTTGCATCTCTTTTCTCGAGCAGTGTTATTACCGGTTTTTAACAGACACGGCCATGGCTGCAGGATGAATTACTTCCAGGGAACCACATCAAGCCTGCTACTAACTCAGAAAGTTGGAGTGAAGAGTTTCATATGTTCTAAACCTGGTGGGTCATCACTTGCAGCACAGTATGAGATTTTGATATGTGCTGCACTGTAGAATGTATACCAGTTGTATGTTATGTCGAATATGGTATTTGTAAGTAACATGTAATATATTTATACCTAAACAGGCACATTGACAGGAAAAGCGGAGAGCAAAATTGCTGTGAAAATCTTTAATTCAGTAAAAATCATGTTCTATGCAATGCTCTAAATGAGCTTTAATTCATATATTTCATTCTCACCAATGTAGCTCATAGTGGTTGCACATTTAATTAAAATGAGATAATTGAATAGACTCATTGCATTGAGGAATTAATCACGAAGGTGAACCATCAATTACTAAAAAAAATAAAAATGCTGCAGTAGTAAATAAACAAATAGAAAAACTTCTGGTAGATATAAGCTAGAAATATGCTGCCTGGGACAAGAACAGGGTACAAAAAATGCAGTGATATCTGTTCCAGCACCCAAAGGCATTCAATGATAGGCAAAATGAAAACCGAAACATACCTTAGTAAAAACTCGAAGAAGCAAAGGGCAAGTCTGCAAATTTGATCCAAGTAAGTAAATAAAATTAACATAAGAGAGGGACAGAAGGACTTTTTGAACAAGAACCCAAGGCATTAAAGATTATACCTTTTCAATAACATAAAATTCTTTATTCACTCTATTATGGTAACAAGTAATTATTTAATTTTTCACATCTTAATTAAAGTTGATAATTGATGATCAAATTGTGTTTTGCAAGGTTGACATATATCAGCATGCTCCCAATATTGAACTGAATATATTAGTACTAATTTTGTTGAACCTTAAAAAAGAAATTAAGATAATTAATGGGTGTCATTTATTGATTTCACAAATAATTAATAATCCGGTTATTTTTAATAAATGAACAAAAAAATCAAGTCAATAATAAATGTGTTTTTTTTTGTTAAATTTTCAATTTCACCTAGTGGTATATACTTTTCACTTTTTTTACTAATTGAGAATTAGAGTTACCAAAAATCCAACCCTAAAATTAAAAGTCTAATATTTTATGAACAAATCGCATGAAAATTGGCATATACTATAAATTTTTATGAATGAAAGACTCTTAATGATATAATTCCTAAGTCTTCGTCTACTTAATTATCAACCATAGGGAGAAAAAAAAAACTTATGAACCGACCAATATTGGAAAAATAATTACCACTTAAAAAATACTATCAAACTAGTAAACTACAAACATTAACCAACTTAAAATTGACAAAAGAAAAATGTAATGTCCTCAAATTTTTAAGAGTAAAGAGCAAAAATTAAAACAATAAAACGTTAATAGTTCTTCCCTTCTTCAATATTTTAATTTAGTTTAACTAAATAAGTTGCACGAATAGAACCTGCACCCACGTTGACAAATCACAAAAAATATGTGTGATAAACAATTATATTCAATGATTGAAGAAGCATTGCATCCGATCCATTTCCAAAAACTTTTGAGTTTGACTTGATCGAATTTCTTTTAATCTTCGTGAGTGTCACGAAGGCATGAAATTTGCTTTTGATCCTTCTTCGAAAGGTTGGTAGTTTGCAAACTATATATAAAAGAAACATGTACAAGTCAAGAGGTATTGTTCTAATTTGTCTGGAAGATCTCGAAAGGAAGAATAAACCATGGCTACTTCTTTTAATTCATGGAGCTTTAGGTTCTTTTCGATGACATTTATTACAACATTGGCTATCATCAGCAAACCTTCCGTTGCAGTTCCAGTACTGTTTCAGCCAAGCCCTTGGGCCCTTGCCCATGCCACCTTTTATGGCGACGAAACCGCTTCCGAGACTATGGGTATGTTTGTCATATAAGCACCTTCATATAGCTGGTCATTCTTTGAGGTTAAGCTTTTGCATTGGTATACAACTGCTCATTCTTTGACCATTGAACCATTTTTTAATCTAATACCATTTCTGGTCCATCCTTAGTAACCTGTTTTCTGTATGAGCTTACAGGAGGAGCTTGTGGGTATGGGAATTTGTTTAGCAATGGTTATGGTACGGACACAGCTGCTCTGATCACAACATTGTTCAACAATGGGTTTGCTTGCGGAACTTGTTTCCAAATAAAGTGTGTTCAGTCATCTTGGTGCTACAGTGCGGATCCATTCACCACAGTTACTGCAACCAACCTTTGCCCTCCAAATTGGGCCGAAGACTCCAACAATGGTGGCTGGTGCAACCCTCCTCGAGTCCACTTTGACATGTCCAAGCCCGCTTTCATGAAAATTGCTCAGTGGAAGGCTGGCATTGTCCCTGTCATGTACCGAAGGCATATACCGGGCTCATTGCTAACACTCAAATTCAAAATTTGTTGGATAGTGATACTAAACTCTCCTCTTCAACTTTCACCTAATAGGTTAAAATTTCAGGTTGACTAAGTCTTTCATCTGGTATCAGCTGTCTTTAACACAAAAATTCAACATGATTTTGCCTATGGAGGAGGATGTTTAAAGTTTAAACCGTTTTTTGAGCTATGATCAACTTGGCTTCTTAAATTGTTCTTGAATTTTATTATTGAAATATATATGCTATCCTAAATGGTCAATGATTCCAATCCTGGCAGGGTACCGTGCGTAAGGCCAGGCGGGCTTAGATTTTCTTTCCAAGGAAATGGGTACTGGTTGTTGGTGTATGTGATGAATGTGGGAGGAGGTGGTGACATTGCAAGCATGTGGGTTAAAGGAAGCAAAACAGGGTGGATTAGCATGAGTCATAACTGGGGAGCTTCATACCAGGCATTTGCAACTCTTGGAGGCCAGTCTCTTTCCTTCAAGATCACTTCATACACATCCAAGGAGACTGTCATAGCCTGGAATGTTGCACCTGAAGATTGGAATGTAGGATTGACTTACAATTCAAATGTGAACTTCCATTAATCAACAAGTTCACAATAGCTCTTCTTTTTTCCTTTTACTTTTCCCCTTTTTAAAGCCCTAGGCCCATGCATTATTGCTTTCCTTTTCTTGGAGATATTTTCCTTTGTACTTTGTAGAGCATAGGCAACTGGGCAGCTGCATGGTTCAACCCTGTTTGAATGGCCAGGAGAAATTATTGCCTTCTCTTCTTTTGGTTATTTCACTGTAGTTTTCTTCCCTTCTGTTTCTCTTTTTTCTTTGCTTTTCCTATTCCTTACAAGTAATTGCTTGAACAAGACATGGGTAGGAGTACTGAAATATGAACTTGCTTCTCTTTTGCAATAGTATTATCTACAGCTTCTTAAATTATCCAAAACAAAGTTGACTTTTAAATGTTAGTGGTTTGCACTTTACCACACCATCAGAAACATTTCAAACATTGATTTTGGAAGGGGATATTCCAAGCTAAAATACTCAACAGGAAGACAATGAATCTGTCCTTATATGTGATGATTTTGTAGAAAAATCATCTAGAGAACAAGGATTTTGGCCTTCAAATTTTGCGAAAGATTTGCAATATTGATATCAACAGAATATTGAAATACAGAAAACGGAACTGATAATTATATAATAATTCATGCCTTAGGCCTTTGCCAAAACCCTAAACCAAGAATAAAGATGCCAGTTGGCACTAATTAAAAAGAATACTACTATTTCTTTTGATTTTATTGTACAAAGGCCATGTGTATTTGGGGACCAAATCAAAGGGATTTAAAGAGAATTGGGATGGGGTGCCATATCATGAGACCCATAAATTTGTTAAAAGTGGGGAACAAGTTAAAAACACAATCTGAGTACTGAGTCCCCAAGGCGATATCTGCCCTTATTTCAATCCCTTAGCACGCCAGCTTCCTTTTCATTTCCTTTTTTATATAGGGGGTCATCATCAGGCCACGCCCCAAATCATTTCTGCCAACCTTAACCTCCCCTTTACCTAGCTTGTCAAAGTTTCTTTCCATGCCACAAAGCAAAAGGCTTCATGTTTTAGAAGTCAAGGCAATTATTAATGTATATACCAAATCACTAGTTGCCAGTCTAAAAGCAAATTATGTAGTAGTGCCTGTTTCTTGCTATAAACTCCAAAATCCTCTTAAAATCATATAGCATTCATTAATTTTCTGCGTAGATGATATATGAAAATATGGTTGATAGCAAAGAAAAAGGAGAATCTCATTGATACAAAATGAGAGTAATTCACCAACGTGGCAAATTGTTATTGGATTGAACCATTGGAGAACTGCAGATAAATTGCCTGATGCCCCACATCATCCAAAACAGGCAATCGTTTTTAGCTACACTGTTACAGCCATCTCGCATAGATTCTGCCTGGGACACCATTCAATGAAAAGGGAACATGAACTTCCCTTTCTCTTCAATTCAAAGCCTCTATCATCTATAAACTTCCCCAAACAGTCAAACTTTCCTCTTTGCTACTTTAAACCTGTCACATCTAGAAGAGGAACAAGAAACTGATCTAGAGTATACCTTTCAAAGAAGTCAAGTTCCTTCCATACACCAACCAAGAAAAATTAGAAAAAGACCACTCAACAGTTCTATCCAACATCTTTTAGCCAACCTAAGCTCCTCTCATGGGCTCTCTTTTCTCTCTCACATTGATAATGCTTTCATGGGCGTCATTACTCTCAATGAAAGCTGAAGCTGAAGGGATCAGATCAGCTCGCCTTCTGGACCTTCTCATTAGGGACTACACGGTAAAGTCCTTTGAAATTCAATTGAGAACAGGTATTGTACACACTGTACATTTACCTGCGAACTTATCTGGCATCAAAGTCGATACAGCAAGGTTTAGATGTGGAAGTCTCCGCAGATATGGTGCTCAAGTTAAGGAATTTCATTTGGGAAGTGGTGTGGCCGTGCAGCCTTGTGCAGAAAGAGTCATGGTAGTTAGACAAAGCTTGGGTTATAATTGGTCATCCATATACTATGCTAACTATAATCTTTCAGGTTACCAGCTTGTGTCACCTGTATTAGGCCTCCTCGCTTATAATGATGGCAGTGACGTGAGTTTTGGTAGCCCTTTTGAGCTTGGAATTCTTGCCAGGGAAGAACCAATTAAAATAGATTTCAGCAACATTACAAAGGCATTCAACATGACAGGAATCAGGCCATTGTGTGCTTGTTTCGAAGGAGATGGCAATGTAACATTGAAAAACCAAGTATCACCCAATGTTTGTGTTGCAACCAGGCATGGCCATTTCGGTTTGGTCATTGAGTCACTGCCATCTTTGCCTGTGAGGAAGAAGATTAGCGGATGGAAAGTGACGGTTGGAAGCTCAATCGGAGCTGCTTTGGGTGCTTTCCTCTTGGGGTTGCTTTTGGTGGCAATGTTTGTTAAGGTGAAGAAGAAAGCAAGAATGGAGGAGTTGGAGCGGAGAGCATATGAAGAGGAAGCTCTTCAGGTTTCCATGGTTGGACATATCAGGGCTCCGACAGCATCTGTAACTCGAACAACGCCTACAATCGAACATGAGTACATACCTTACCCCTCTTGAAATGTAAGCAATGCGATTTTTTTTTCTTTTTTATGTATGATCATTCTTTTTGTGATATTAGCTCTATTTGTTTTTGAAATAGAAAACAAATCCAACCAAATATTCTTATGTCCAACGTCTTGGAACAGAACAACTCTATTTTTCAAGGATATATGTTGGTTCATTATTCTCTTTTCTTTCAATTCTGACGAAAAGGATGCAACTTAGTTATTTCTTCCACTAAGGTTTCAAGGATTTTTCAAAATAGATAGGCAAACTGAATTTAGATCTAAATTCTTTGTTCTATATGTTTCAGAATTTCATATTTTCAAGCACATATGGGAACAAATATCAGAATATCAGATTCGTGATTGTTTATTTGAAATTTCAGATTTCAAATTACATTTGAAAAAGCTTTTCCGTTCTTTCTTTCTGGCCTACATCAGTCAAAAAGCCATGAGCGTGAGCTTTAAACATTTTCTAAAAGTGATTGCAACTTTTGCTGACAATTGAGGACACAAGAAATAACATCAGAATGGTTAAAGAAAATCAAGTTACCCCTCATCCACATTCTCCTCCAACATGAGTTTAGGTATTTGAAATCAGATAAAAAAACTAAGAGATTTTGCATGTAAAATTTTGGGTACTGTTTTTTTCACCATCATCATATATAACAACAAAATGTAGGCTGAAAACATGCAAGTTTGCTACCAACATCATGGAAAGAAGACTCTGATCAACACTTTATAGTTCAGTGAAAAAGTGTGGCACGCTTGAACGCAAAGACTACATGCTTTACAAGTTGTTTTCTGCTTTGTGGGTAAAACATAATTATCAGCCTACGACCCTTGGAATTTGAGTTTGTTTAGGGGTGAAAAAAGTTGGTGGCCACCTCTTCTGATGGTCTATGCATGGGCCACAATGCGTTGGCTCCAGATTATAACCAGAGTTTTTCAGCTTCAGATGTTAGATATAACAGATTGGAATCAGAATAATTAAGAAATATATACTTTGATGAAATATAAAAAAGGCAAATGTTTTCTCTTAGTAAATTATTCTGTAGAAGATGGAAATAGGCGTTGGCTATGCCAGCCAAAGTGGGGGACCTTATAATTCAAGGATGTTATTATATTTTAACCTTCAATTATTTCTTACAATAATATTAGCTTTAATACCTCCATCAACTTCCTCCTCTCTCATTCGCAGCCAATCTGCCATGATTTTTATGCTGCAGCTCTCCTCCATGACTTTGTTTTCGAGGCGCAGCAATTGTCATGGAGCCAATATGGCACAATCAACCCGTTTCTCAAGTTGGAGTACAAGAGGACCATCGATACCGTACCAATACTCCCTTTGCAAAAGAAATATTATTAATTCTGAAATAAAAAACTTCAATGGAAGAAGGTTTAAGAGAGAGAGGGTGAAAGAGAGAAATGAGTTGGGCCGGTTCCTATCGGATGACCCATCCCAACTACAAAATACGGCTAATTGGTATGCCCAATCCAACTGCCTAATCTAACGCTCCTCCTGTCATCGGAATCTCTGCTAACCTGCCTTTACCAAAATCAAATCCTTCCCTTTCTTTCGCGCAATAACGCTTCAGTACTGATTGTTACTGTTACCAAGATTTCCCGGGAAGAAACTGACGTTAACCAAATGCTGTTAAAAATCTCACTTAAAAATAAAAACTACGAATGTATTTAAAAAACACTTTTAACGTTTTCCGTCACCAAAAAGGAAACCAAAAGAGAAAATCTTCCCCCAAGCAATAACTTGTCTTCAACCTCTCGTTCATTCGCCATTGATTATCAATAGTTATCTATGGACGATCCCACGTTAAGCAATCAACGTAACCAATCTACTCGGTCAACTCCTCGTCTCAACCTCCCGTCGAGAATGTCCGACTATTCCCTCCATCTCGAAAACCTTCCGGCTTGGACAATGCACATCAACCGTATGATCAACTCCAACTACAACCGCTCTCCGTCGCGCACAATATTCTCCGATAGGTTCATCCCCAGCAGATCTGGCTCTAATTTCGCCCTATTCGACATCTCAAATTCTCCCACGTCAGCCGAAGGAAAAGAAGACGGTCCCGGTACTTATAACAGCCTTTTACGCGCCGCACTGTTCGGGCCCAATACGCCGGACAAGAAGGACCCATCGGGCCTACCGGCCTTTCGGAACATTTTCCGGTACAAAACTGAAACTAAACGGTCATTACATTCGCTGTCACCTTTCGGGCTCGACGAGTCGGTCCACGGGATTAGCCATAGCCCCGTTAAAGCTCCCAGGAAAGTTCCCAGGTCACCTTACAAGGTGAGGGTTTTTATGGTTTTATGGTAAATTTGGTTGAAATTTGAAATTTTGTTTTTTGGGTTAATTTTTATTCTTCTGTTCTTATAGGTTTTGGATGCACCTGCATTGCAAGATGATTTTTATTTGAATTTGGTGGATTGGTCTTCGAATAATGTGTTGGCGGTGGGGTTGGGGAACTGTGTTTATTTGTGGAATGCTTGTAGTAGTAAGGTTACAAAGTTGTGTGATTTGGGCATTGATAATAGTGTATGTTCAGTTGGTTGGGCTCAACGCGGAACTCATCTTGCTGTTGGGACTACCAACGGCAAAGTTCAGGTTTGATTTTATTAGTATTGGATGATAAAAATCTTTATGTTGCCAACTTATTACAAGTGTCTGCGTGTATATGCTTGCTTTCTGATGTTGAATGTGTTACTTTAAGGCTGCTATAATTAGATGGTGTAAGTACGCGGTGGATAATGCGTGAATCCAAACAAGTATTATTAAGAATCAAGGCAGTACTTCTTAACAAATGTAATAATGTTTTCAAAGTCTCTTATAAACAGGGGTGGCGGCAGAATGCATGCAAAGTGTGAAAGCTTTGTCTCCCAAATAAAAGACATTGCCAAATCCTACTATTATGAATAGTGCAAATTTATTGTCACTCATTTGATTTATCTGGCAATTTTTTCATTTATTTTTCTATGGAATTGTTCTTGACTTTACTGATGCTTCTTTATGTTGTTTGCCTTTTCGAGATTATTGAGCTATCACACCATGTTCAAATTGCAATTGACAACAATAGTTTGCTTGTATGATGTAGTTAGAAAGCTCTAAAACTGTAGATAATTTTTGGGAGAAATAGGAGGGTATGAAAAAGCCTTAAATTTGTTAGGAATCTGCTTCGTTGGTCATATAAGGTCTGACTATAAAGTGAAAGCTTCTATCCATAATTTTTGGATTCAGACTAGAGATAAACTAGAAAATTGTTTACTGGTTTACTGGTCTTGTCAAATGCAAGCGTGGTACCTTTTATAGATATGTACAAACTGGAAGAATTTCTGGGCATTGTAAGACGTAAAATTTTTTCTATTTTGTTACCAAATTGAAACCTCATTTTAACTTCCTCATGTAAGGAAAATACATTCTTTAATAGCTACTATGAATTTCATTACTTTAATTTTTTAAGTTAGCTTTGACTCTTCATCTATTTGCTTGAATCTTTGGGCTTTATTAAACTTTGACATAAGCTAGTAACTTAATACTTCTATCATAATCAGGGAAGGTGACCACATTGAATCTTCTAACCTCTGTCTATATTTGGCTTCTTCCAGCATTTTACTTGTAGGATAATGTGGTTAGTTAATGGCTATCAATTTTTGTATGTAGATTTGGGATGCATCTCGCTGCCTGAGGGTAAGAACAATGGAGGGGCATTGTTTACGTGTTGGGGCCTTAGCTTGGAGCTCTTCTTTATTAACTTCTGGTAGTCGTGATAAGAGCATTCTTCAAAGAGATATACGTGCTCAGGTTGATTTTGTTAGTAAACTCTCTGGACACAAGTCAGAGGTTTGACTCTTATTCATCTTCTGTTTGATTAATGTGATTAAATATGTATATTTTTGGTCCTAAAAATTGTATATATGTAGATATACATATTATTACATTTGGATATTAATTTATTTTTTCTAACATGTATCTCTTCTGATTTCATAAATGCCACTTGTCCTTCTTGTTTTGTCGTGGATGCATCATCCAACGCCTGTCATTATTTATCTTTGGAAATGCATGTTCTGCCAATCATGCTTGTGTCCTTTCACCTCTAAGAACATGTTGCCAAACTCTGAGTCTGAATCTTTATTGGCCATTATATAGGTTTGTGGACTGAAGTGGTCTTATGATAACCGTGAACTAGCATCAGGCGGGAATGACAACAAAGTATGTAATAACAATTCTTTTGCCTTTCTAACTTATTCTGTTGCTTAGTATACATTTGACTTTTCAACTGATTAAATGGCTAAACTCTCATCCATATACAGCTTTTTGTTTGGAATCAACATTCCACTCAACCTTTCCTGAAATACTGTGAGCATACCGCTGCTGTAAAAGCAATTGCATGGTCTCCCCATCTGTATGGGCTACTTGCATCTGGAGGTGGTACAGCTGATCAATGTATTCGATTCTGGAATACAACCACTAACACACACTTGAGTTGCATGCACACTGGCAGTCAGGTGATTTTTCATTTTTGTATTTTTTATCATATCATGCCCCTTTAATATGGCCTTAAATGTGCATGGAATGAAAAAACTTTTTGGTGCATACAGCTGCTTCCTTGTCTGCATTGATATAATTGATCTTTTTCCAATTGGTTTGAAATGATGAAACATGCTGTCATTTGCATGGTAGTCAAATTTATTCTCCTGTCAATCTAAAATGCATTGGCCTTGTTAACAATAACAAGATAAGAGTGACCGAAAATTTTAATCTACATATTTTAATTTCAAGTTCTCCTATAAGTTCTTGAAATGTGTCCACGGTAAAGTTTTATTATAGAAATTAACAGATATATAGTCACTAGTTTCTTTTGGCCTCAGTGATGCTTCTTAATACTAGAGTTACAAATTCTAGACGGTGCTAATGTCCACTTTATGAATGACAGGTATGCAATCTTGTGTGGTCTAAGAATGTCAATGAACTCGTCAGCACTCATGGATACTCCCAAAACCAGATAATTGTTTGGAGATACCCTACAATGTCAAAGGTAAAGAAAGCTTAAAGAAAACAGTGTCTAACTGTCTATATGATGATAATCTCCCATTATCCACTTTTTCCTCTCTAAAATTTTATTCTACTAATGCAGTTGGCTACTCTTACGGGCCACACATACAGAGTTCTTTATCTTGCAATCTCACCTGATGGACAGGTAGCTCACTTTCACAAACTGTATAGTTCCCTGTCTTCTACTTCTATAGTTTGATGATGATAAAGATAAAAAAGAATATATATGAGAAAAGTTACACAACTTTATTTTCTCTTTATTTGTACATGCATGCTCTTCCATGGCTGAATGACTTTTTCTTGCAGACGATAGTTACTGGAGCTGGAGATGAGACGCTAAGGTTTTGGAATGTGTTCCCTTCCCCTAAATCTCAGGTAATGACACTTGGATTCCAGGCTATCTGGACTGGATATCTTTATCTTTTCCACAAATTGTATAGTCTTACTTTTTTTCTGATCATTTTAGTTTGACATTGGTTTTATGTCAATCTAACTTTTTTCTTGATACCCATTCTCTGGATTTTCCCTCCAGTATATAAATTTACTACTATTTATTTGTTGGGAGTTTAAATAGTTTCATGTTGAGGAAAGTGAAGTATAGTACTACTTTTTTTGGTCAAAAAGCTAGTTCCTATTGAGTACTGTTGAATGCTTAGTTTCAGTGAAAAGACATTGCTGCATCATTCTGTGGTTTGCCTCCAACTATTGCATCAAGTTCTTTCAAGATTCTCTTCTTTCTGGTTTCTATACAACTGTCTGCCAAGCATAGGTCTATAAAACAACTCATTTCTTTTTGGGCATGATCTTTAATGCAGAACACTGATACCGATATAGGAGCATCATCTTTTGGAAGAACAACAATTCGGTGAGTCCATGAAGAGAATATGCTGCTGTAAGCATTCTCGTCCTTTGAATTATCAGACTTCAACAAGAAAATACGCTCTTTGAGCATTCTCATGCTCTGAATTATCAAATTTGTTGCGTGAACCAAACCACAACGTTGTAAAAAAAAAAAAAATTGCAGCAGGTGCAAGAGCTAAGATATTGCTAGTTTCTTGCAAATCATTGATTTTGAGGCCCAATTTTCCTTTTGCTTTGAAATAGATTTGATTGATATATAGCGGGAGGTGCTATCAGTTGTTCGTGGCTACTCCCTTCCCTTCCATTGTATATTAAAGAAGTCCGAGAGGTCCTAGAACTTATTGTACCACGTTTATTTCTGTGTTTGTAAATAAATGGCCAAGTGTCAAAAAAATCTTTGAACTGTAATTAAAAATTTTATTTAAATATTTAACATTTTATTGCAATCAGCCTTTTAATATTTTATTTCGATTTAATTGAATCTTTAATTAGACAAAATTGGACCAATCTCTTAATTTTTTGGGGAGATCTTAGAAAGAGAAAGAAAAAGAAAAGAAAATAAAAAAAATTATTTTATTTAATTTTTATATATATTAATTATATCACATATCAAAATTTTATATGAAATTTTATTTTAATGGACAAAAAATATAAAGATGTTAATTTTTTTCATTCAAATAAAAATTTAATTAGATGTAATTAAATATTAAAAGGGTTAATTAATTATAATAAAAAAATTTAAATAATTTTTTAATTATAACTAAGAGATTTTTTAAACCTTTTAACCTAAAAAAATGCATACTTGGTTTTCCACTTATATTTTCCATCTCTACTGTTTCCAATCAACAAGGTTCATGGTAAAATTCGGCAGCCTGTTCCTCAACATGTTAAGCTGTGGGTATCATTTTACCAAAAAAAAAAGAAAAAGATCCATGGGTATCCTAGACGAACCATTCTTCATATTTATACATTATCGACTTAATTACAGCATGTTGACAGCATGAAAGAATTACAAACTGTACTTTTCTTTCTGGGCCCTTAAATCAGATGTATGGTTCATATTTGAACACATCCTTACACCGACTGTAATCGCATCCTGGAAAAAAAAATCCGATTACAGGTCTTTGAACCCCCAGCACTTTTTGTTTTAAGTCGTACTATTTCTTGGAGGGGAAGTAATTTCGGACACCCACTTTGTATTTGCATCATTTCTTTCATCACAGACAAAAGAGTACAAATTACTATGAATGATCAACGATAATTAATTAATTAAATATTCATTCATTCTATAGTTTCCAGATTTGGTAGAGGCAACTGCTGCTGCTGCTGGGTCCCATGTTTTTCATTTTCATGGGGAATCTTTAGTGACCATGGGATCAAGCTCATTGGTGGAAAACAACAGTTACAGTTCTCTTGGCATGGCTCTGGCAATTTCCAGTCACTTACCGAAGTTTCTTGTTTTTTCTCTTGTTGTGTCACAACATCATCAGCCTCTCTAAAAGAAGGTGCTCCAGCTTCCACCAGCGGACCCCAGCACTCTACTCTGTTGAATTCTGGAGTGTTTGAATGAAAATAAACCCAAACCAAAGACTCCTGTAATTCTGGGTAGTTTTTCAGCAAATTGCCATCTCCATGGACAAAAGCCTTCAGTACCTTTTTTTTTTTTATACAATATAATTAAGAGGTTAATTTTCCAGAAGATTAATACCAAGAAATAGTAGTAATCATTTGTCAAAGAAATTGATTAATTACCACGGGGAGTTCTTTGCAGAAGATGAAGTATCTAAGTCTAGCACACAAGTCTAAGAGGAAATGGCCTCCGCTTATGTGACAATGGACATGCAAAGACATCTTTCCCTGCACTTTCTTCCATTCTGCCACCACTTCGTCTCTGTATAATTTGTTTGACCAACCCTGCAACTGCAAGCAACCACCAATTTCTCTTCTTCTTTCAGTTTTACATGTGGTAAATATTGTGATCAGGACTTGATAGTGAATAGCTACGGTCAATATTCATCATATTCATTCCGCAGCCCACGAAATGACCCAACATAATATTTAAGAAAAATGAAAAAAAAAATTATATGCATCAAAAACACTATTTAGCAATAGATTCCTTGTCATATCGACTTTTCCATCTTCCCATGTTTTCCTCACATTAATTCGTCTTGGTTTTCATTGATCAAACCATTCGTCAGCTGACAACATAGATCTATTTTGACTTTTTATCATACAAATCCCCACTTTGGCCTGTTTTCTTCACAGTGACAAATAATACTGTAGTACAAATTCTAACACAAAAATAACAATAATAATACTAATAAAAAAATTCCCAGCAGCGAAATGAATAAGGAAACAATTTTATGATAAAATGGATTACGAAATGAAAGGATAACCTGAGAGTTGTTTATGGTCTGTGAGATTGCAAGAGTAAGTTTAGAGGTTATATCACTGTGTGTAAGGGTGTAAGTTCTAGGAAGCTTCCCTGGGTGCTTCTTCTCATCAACTCCTAAAAACAGAACCTTAAGCTTTGATGCCTCGAATATAGCTGGCCCAAACAACCTTGCTACCTGACCCAATCCAATCCATCAAATCAGTATTAATCTTCCTAATTCCAAAAATAAAATTGTAATGAAAAGGACAAAAAAAAAGATTACGGGAACAATAGCTTGGTTCTTCTTCTTGGATCTTCTTCTGGAAATAAAAAGAGATCCGTTTTGTTCAAACACAGAAGGTCTTGGATTTGAAGGGAGAACAGGAGCAAAAGTCAAAGTTCCCATAGCTAATATCCAAGCTCCAAGTTTGATGGAGAGAAGCACCCAAATAAAGAGGAAAAAAAAACTATTCAATAATGAAATGTTAAGCTATAATAGTTATAGCAAAAGAAAATAGCGGAAACTTTGGAGGGGAAGAAATAGGGAGAATATTGGAGGAAGAGCAGACTGAGACTTTGAAACTCTTCTGGGAACTTTTGTTCCTTTTGTTCTTGCTTTTACTTAAGAGTCGCTTAGCTTAAACTTTTGCCTTTACTTAACTTGTCTGTTGAGCTTAAGCTGAAAACTTTGAAAATACTAGACGCTAGCGTTTGGAATTGCGTTTGGGGAGAGTTTGAATTGAATAGATAGAGTGTCCGTATGGTAGTTCGAGTTAGCGGCAAGTTAGAGAAAGAGAAAGATAAAAGAGGTTGCTTGAAGCTCCAAACTACGTTGACACTTGGGCTTTAACATGTTATTAACACGTTGCGCTCACATCTTCAAACATGCAGATCTCTTTACGTGGCACCCTTTTGTTGACTCCCATAGCTTTGTATACTCAAATACCCTACTCTCACCCGCCCGGACAAGATCAACTTTGTTAATTACTTCTAACTTTTTTTTTTCTTTTACATTGAATATGGCAATATTAGAATATAGAAAAAAATTTCATGTATTAGAGTTTAAATTTAAAATTATTTTATATTATTTTTAAAAATAAATATATAAATAAGTTAAATTAATTTTCGGATCCTAAAACCCTTAGCATATATCCGGTATGGTCAAAAACATGTGTACTTCATGTTTCCTTATATAACCAACAAAAAAAAATGAAAGTGAACTCATTCGGGCAGCAAAACGTGGAAATTAAGAACAGAACAAGTGGGGGATGAAGACGAGGTACGTATACGTATCATGATCCATATGGGTGGCTAAGAACAACTTCATGTCTTGATTTAATAAAAATAGCTTCCCCTTTTTTTCATGTGCACAATAAGGTCAACTGATAAAATCGAAATTAAACTATTTACAAATAATTTTTACCAAATTTCTTTAAATAATCATGTGTATAGATAAATATATATATATATATCGCCAAAATTAACGAGATCTTTTCAAAATAAAATTTTGACTTTTTTTTAACTAAATGTCCTATTTTGTTGCCGTATGGGAAAAACTATTTTGGGTATAAAATCTCCCTCATAGTCAATAGAATATGACTTTATTAATTTTATGAACAATATTTTGAGGAAATTCTTGAATTAATGTTAATGTTGATATCGAGCTTCGATGTGGGGGTGTTCTTGGAAAAACAAAAGAAAAAAACGATTAGAGACAAAATAAAGAGTGTTCTCTACATTTGTGTTTCAATGTGCATATTAGAGAAGAAGTCGAAAAGAGAGAAAAATAAAGAACTAGGATAAGAAAAAACTTGCTATAATAATGCCCAAATGTTTGTATTTATAGACGAGAGGCATGGGACCAACGGGGGACAATAATGATGTAATCGAGCTAATGTGACACTGAGCATGTCAGGCTAACACAAATGTTTGTTATACCCTTGACTATGTGTCAAGGATTCCTAATGAAAAAAAAGACCATCATATCTTTTTGACCATTAAATGCCTCCAACATTTTGTCCATTCACTAAGCAGTCAGAATATCAGATTATTAGATAGCATTTAATCTATTTTTTGATTGAGTGAAAAGAAATGACATGAGATCCAATCTCTCATAATATACGTCGATGTAAAAGTCAATGTTGGGGTAATTGACCACAAACAATGATCTGATCTAATAGGAATCTGATCTTGCACACATGTTTTTGGTTGAGTGCATAGCTAGCTCGAAGGTGGCCGAGATGCCCTTTGTTCATGATGATTTGGGATAGGAGTTTGTTTTGAATTCTGGTGATGAACATGGTATCATTAAATTTCGTTTTTATTTATCCCGAACCCTAAACTTTATATATCTAATATTTATTTTTGATTCGATTCAGTATTAAAATATTATTTTTAAACTCAAACCTGATTCATATATATATATATATATGAAATCATAATCAATCTAATTTGATTTAAAATTAATAAAATATTATTTTCAAATATAAATATAAAATTATTATATAATTAAATAAATAATAAAAAATATTTTATATATAAACTAGATCAAGAAGAGGCAGATTTATTTAAAATCCAACTAGACTAAAAACCCTTTTTTCTCTTTTAAATGACTCTATGGAGTCGGATTGTTTGGACTGCCTTCCCTAATTCCGGTACGATAAGTGATCACCCCAACGCCACTTTATCTAGATTTTACGGCATGCATAGGAGTTTTGGTTACTGGTCTTTAATCATCTAGCTAGCTAGCTAGCTTGGCCTTACCTGGCCAAGTAGTATAGTATTGTTAGTATTAAAGTGATTTCGTTATAGGAGCCGTATCTACCTAAAGGAAACTAGTAAGGGTGTTATTCGATAGTTTGATTAATTATGAATGGAATTATTTAAAATCAAATTATTTAAATTATTTTATTTTATTTTTATTAGTTAAATTGAATTTATGAATTTTAAAAATTAATTGATTGAATTTATAAATTTGGTGAGCTTGATTAATTTTTTTGGTTAATTAAAAATAAAAATATTTAAATTAAATTATATTTTAAACTCTTAATTTTTTATATTTTAAATAAATTAAATAAAATTCTTCAATAAAATATTTAAATACCAAAATATTATGTTAAAAACTTAATAATTATGAAATTAAATTATTTATTTCATATATTTTTTATTTTATATTTAGATTATGTTATATTTTGATTAATTTGATTTTCGAATCGAATTAATCAAAAATCAAAATATCAATCAAAATTAATTTAATAATTGATCAATTAATTAAATTAAATTAATTCGATTAATTAATTTAATTAAAATCAAATTATGAATGCCCTAAAAATGAGTAACAGATAAGAAAAATATATGTTGATGGCGGAGTTGCAGTTTTCGTGGCCTGGGCCATGAATACAATCTCCCAGGGCAAGGAGTAAATAGACGGGACCTTGGTTACCTAAAGGAAGAGCTGAGAAATCTTAATTATATGGACCAAACAGATAAAATAAAAACAATGGTATAATGTCTTAATTATATGTTGTTTCCCTCTAAGTTGTGGACATGATCCACAGATGAGATGAGAAAGGGGGGGAATTGAACGAAGCAAACAGGTGTGTACTGATATTCATCTTCACATTGATTTAAAAAAAAAAAAAAGGATGCTTTCAGTACCTGAATTAGGCTCTGCATATTATGTTGGTTAAGAGTTGTCAAGATTCATGGCCTATTAAAGCAGAATCGGAATTGCTTTGCCTGCTGCCACGTATTTATTAGGCGAAAACTGCAATAAACTAATCATCCATTACCCAAACAGGTGAAAACATAATGGAACAAGTTAACGTAGTTGATATTTAACTTACATTTAGGAATGAGAGAAAATATTAATTAATTATAAAAAATTACAAACATGTCAATAATCAATAAATAATCACCGCTCAAAGCTTCGCTCAAACATTAAACCGTAAAACCTAAAACAAACAAAAATTAATATACATTACATGAAAAAATACCCGTATTACATGTAAAAAATATTTTTTTAAAAATTTATCTTCTAAAGCGAAATTTTGATTTTTTTATTTTATTTTACGTATAATCACTTATCTTAAATTATTAAATACGATATATATTATCATAATCTAAAAGATTGAATAATTTATCTATTCTCAAATTTTAAAAAAAATCTAAATTCATTAAATGTCAATGTCCAGTTCAGCAGTCAACATTTGAATGCTTTTGGGATTCTTTTAATAGGGTTGTTAAATTCAGAAAGGCAGATATGATCGAGTCGGAGAAGATGACTGATATTGATACGATAGTATAAAGAAAATACAATAGCAGCAGTAGTATTTTGAAAATCTCAGCAGCCATCGCTTGTTTATTTGTTGGCTGCTACTGCAAAACTTATTGACTTTGCATTGGCCCTACTCATTTTTAAGTTCATCACGCTTCAACAATTGTCCTGCCAAACACTACAAGCAATTTTCATATCATTGAATTCTTGAATTTCATTTTCATTTTCTCTTTACAATAATTATTCATAAATAAATATCATACGAAACCTTGTTTTTCAATTGAAAGTTGATTCTAGTAAGCTTGAAATTCGTTTCCCAATATTTGTAAATTCCTTTTTTTTTATTCAATTCTCTAGGTTTTATTTTTTAAAAATAACATAGAAACAAATATATTTAATATAAAATACATATTTTTATTTTAATTAGTCTCAATAAAACTCATACAAAAGTAAATATTATATAGGGTCGCAGGAACCATATATCACTCAAAGAGTAATCCCTGAACCCGATAGGCCGAGGCCCAAATCTTGTGTTTTAGGTAGGAAGACCTGAAACTGGGCTTGAAATAGCTGAGAAAAGGGCCTTATATGTAGAGGCCCAAGGAGGGCAATGACACAAATGAAAAGCTTCGCATTTTGCACCTGATTATGGAATTGGTTTTGCACTTATAAATGGATACGGTCCACTAATATTATATTCGCCAGTAAGATGATATTTAATTAAAATATGTACATAGAAATTCCTCATATATGTTTTTTTTAATATATAATAGTATTTACTGACAGTCCCCAAATATTAAAAGAAAAAACCAAATTCATTTCAGGAGAATATTTTCTTTATTTATTTAAAATTAAATATCACTGTACTCTAACCATAAAAAAAATGTAATTTATTTTTGGTACTCACGCCAATTTTAACTACTCCTTTTTTTTTTTTTTACATTTATATACTCTTTATTTATACTAAATTTATTGTACTATGGGGTGAAAAAAAGTTAAAAAAATATAAATGAAAAAAAATAAGTGAAATAAAAGAAGTTAAAATTTATGTTACCTATAAAAGTACTGGATAATTTTTCAATTGCATGTTTGAATATATTAAAAAAAATTAATTAAAAAATATTTAAATTTACGTTAAATGACATTTTTATATTTTATTTTATATATACATACTATGACATGATTTGGGTTTTATGTCAGTTTACGACTAAATTGATATATCACTTACAATTATTATAATATAATTAATTAATAATAATTTAATATTATATAATGTTCATAAAAAAATTATGTAAAATTCGCTTTTAAGTAATAAACTTTTACATAATTATTTATTATGATTGATTAAATATAATATTATAATATAAAGAATTACGAATTAGTTGTTACCTTTTAGTATAAATTTACTTTATTAGTAGCATAAAAGGCGGCAGTGGTAGAAATAGAAGTGCATAATTTATGAGAAGGCTTTGGTTAATTTTAGTTTGTTTTACCGTCATGAATTAATTCTTTACCCACCTAGCACAGGATCCAAATCAACCAAAAATAAAAATTAAAAAAAAAAAAGAATAACATGAACACTTGAAAAAATATTGAAAAAATAAAGTTCCGGTCATGGAGTATCATATATCATCAAATTTGCAGTGAACTAATAGTAAAAATAAGGATAAATTTCCCAGTATGTTACATAACTCTTTCACACACGAAATCGTACAATAACTCACAACTTATATACTTCCATCTTTCTTACCTTTTAACAACTAAATATTTATATTCACAATTTATTTTTCATCACAACCCAAGATGGAAAAACACGAAAAAAAACAAAAAAGCTGCTTTGAACCTTCAGAAAGTTTTGAAGCTTCAATATAATCTATTAAAATCATAAATTACTAGTTAGCACACTCGGGTTTTTGGATACTTCTTATCTCTGGTGGTCCAATAAATAATTCTGTCTCCACCTCCACCTCCACCTCCATGCTAGGGTTTTGGAGTTCATCCGATAGGCTTGCTGACCAGTGTCTCGGTTTCATCTCACACTAATGTAATAATAAAATTAATGTTGAATTCAATTGCTATAGTTAATGCCTTTTATCTTATTACGTTTAAGGAACATACATATACCTCTTCTCGCAGCTTTGCATTTTCTTCCACAAGGCGTTTCTCCTGAATGTTTAACAAGGAAATGGAATTCAAAGCACTCAAAAAATCAAATTTCCAAATCAAGAAAATTTTATGCATTAATTACCTCTTCCTTTAGCTTCTCAATCTGCTCAAAAAATAACAGATTCTGAACACAAAATAATTCATGTCTTAAACGTGTCAGTAATAATGTTTCAATGAAATAATTAGAACATGCATGTGAATTTTTTTTTTTTATGTACCTTTCTTGCCCTAATTCTGCTTAAGCTTCGATCCAGTTGGTTTTCTAACAGTTGTAGATCACTAAGAGAACATGGTTCCAATCCATATCCCAATAGTTTTCTGTTATAAATTGAAAATTTAGAAGATTAATATGCAGATGAAGAAAAGAGTGTACGGATTAACAGGTATACAACCGTGTATACAAGTTTCAAGCTAAGGATTTAACCGTTTAGAATCTTCGAGTAATTCAATCTTCTTTGCCATGCTTTCAGCGTCATCCTGATTTTTCATGCAAAAGTTCAATAGTTGCAATTTTTCAGGCAAGCCAGCTTAATGAACAGATGTATCATCAGAAATATATAGAAAATACATGAATCTCCTATTTTTCAAGTCCATAAGATTACTATTTTCTGCATTAATTGGTTCATTTATTTTCACAAAAAACTTGAGGATTTTGGTGGATTCCATAGCTGCTAATTAATTAAGTTCAAACTTCCTATTGACTAGTAGAGCAAAATATAGTGGAGAGACTTAGAACAATCAATGGGATGCAAAAGGATTGCCAGAGCTACCTGCATATTTCCTTCTACTGCTTTGCTGATGATTCCAAGATCCTTCTCTCTCTTCTGATACCGGTCTATGGTTTTGTTCATACTGAAGCATCCCCAAACACATGCAAATTAATGAACAAGAATGAGTGCACGTCAATTTTCATTAGTCTTTAAGTAGCGTCATGAAATGATAATTATTCCTTTGGAAGGCAAAAGTTAAATAATATTTCAAGAAATTAAAGCTCTTACAAAGCCCCCAAGACATGTTAAGGCAAAAACACAGTTATATAAAACAGTTCACTACCCATGAGATAAAAGGCACTAAATCATCAATTGAAACTGCATCCACGCTCACAGTGGACTCGACAAATTGTTTTATATATCCATCTCACCGTGGCTTTTGCTAACCCATGAATGATGAACTTACAAAGATCAGACATTAAACTAGCTTAGCTAACCTGGCTTGCCATTATTTTCTAATGTTTTGGGGCACTGTTAATATTCACTGTGCATCTTGTTCTTGGATTTTGACTGTTTTAAAGAGAAATAACAATCATAAAGCCATACCTAAGCCATTCAACTTGATTGTTTGAACTTCATTAACGCTGTTCTTCATGTACAAATCTTGCTAAATTAGCTATTACAAGTCCTATGGAACTGTGGCTTCTAACAGACTACGCTTAGGTTCAGTTTCAAACAACCAGCTTTCTTCGAGTGTCCTCAAATAATAAAATCAAATGTTCAGGAGCTGAAAAGCGTGAAATTATAAGAGATATATAGCCAATCAAAGCACTTCTCTTTCCAGATGGAAGATTAAAAAAAAATGTGAGTCAGATATATTGACGGTTAATTCTCATAAGTCCAAAATCCTCCATTTTCAAAGATAGACCTCCGAGTCCACCACACACTAGTTGAATTGTGGAAAAACCACATTTCTTCCTAGAATTATGTTAATCACAGTTTGGACCAAAAAATGTTTTCAAACTAAGAAATGATATTGAGGAATCATGTTGCTACTGTCCTACGTATATCGGAAACAACATAAAAGGCTAAATACTTCGGATTTAGAAAAGAAAAGCACTGCATTCACTTCAAACAGTCTTATCAATTAACAAAATTTATATGAAGTTTTTTAGATGAAGTTTGTAAATTTTTTTCTTAAAAATGATTTAATAAAAATTTTAATAAAAAATTTAAACTGATAAATTAATAAATTTTAATATAAAGATTAATAATATATAAATAATTATTAAAAATATTATTTATAATTCAAATTTAATTAATACTTTTTTAATAATAAAAATTATATCAACATTTTTATTAAAAAAAAATATATAATTTTTTCAAATTTTGTACACTTAATCTATATAACAAAATCTTTCAATCTATCGATTTTATTTTTCAATTTTAATTTTTATTTAATCAATTATAGTAAGAAACTTTACGAATTTTACTTAAAAAACTTCATTAAAGTCTTTCCCCCTTTCTAGTTAAGATCCCCTTGTTTTCTCAAAACATTCCTTCCGGACCACATCTTCCTGGGTTTTTCCTGATTTTTTCCTCGGCACAACTTCCTGGAATTACTGAGGAGTGTTTTGTTATATACGTCAAACTTGGTGCTAACCGCCAGTTGACTGTCGTGGATTTTCTTTCTTAAGGAGGATGGGGGGTCGGGCACCATTACCATGGCAGATGTTGTTGTGACTAAGTTTGACATGTATGAGCTAAACTAATGGCTCGGCTATATCAACCAAAGGCCATAAATAGAACACACAAAAGTAAGGCCTGCATGCTTCTTTCTTTGCATTAAAACTATCTGAGTCAAAGATCATATATAGGTGGGGGAAAATAAGAAATATGTGGCTCCCAAAAACCTTCTTTACCAGTCCTTTTCCCCCAAAGCAATAATCAACTTGTGCAAAATTTTATATGGTAGATTTACAGTTTATTTCCTTATCATGCTGTACAAAGATCTCATTCATGGAGAAAGACCAGAAAATTAGCCTTTTCTCTGTTTATACAAAAACGAAGACGAAGCCCATACATAACAACGTTAACAAATAACAACATGATAATGGGGATTAGGTCTTACGGAGGCATGAAGATATAGAGGGTAATAATATATAATGTTCTAAGCTAGGTTTCAGCTATAACAACGACCATTTATCCAAGCACCAGAATGGAAGAAATTCAAGATTAGTTCAGACTTCAGACCAGATGGTGGTTTAATATGTGTATATTTTTATGTTGGTTCAGACCAGAATGATTAATATTGTAATTATGATTGAAACCCAATTTTCCAAATCACCAATTTAGGCAACCAGCTAATCAGCTAATGAATGAACCTAGTGGTATTCACTATCACAAATATAGAATATAGAGGCTTCACTAAATTACTTTTAAGCATAAACAAAGACATTTCCTTAACTATTGCTCAATTAATAGAATGTATGCTTTACAATTTACATAGACATCAGAAATGAACTAATCTACCTTCAATGCTGTACTCCTTGTCTATAAACTTTAACAAAGAATGTGGAAATGTTTGAAGCTTTCTTCATGCAACCAAAACGATCTTCCTTAATTCCAATTGTTTACAAAATTGTTTGAAGTCCAAAGAGATGCATACAGCTGGATGCATGATGCAACCAAATTCCCATTCATGCATGTTAATGATGATAGTAGTTGAATTGAAGGGTTTAAAGCCAAAATCTGTTGTTTAGAAAAAGAAAGAACAAAGTTAAGGCAAGCGGATAACGCAATGCCAAACAATTGATAACATTTAGAACACAAATAGTATTTTCAAATGTTTAAGACTGAAAGTTAAAAACACCTAAATATTTAAGACTAATAGTATAATTATTCTTTTATATATATAACATGACATGTAATGTCACCTAGACACCATTAATTCATATATGCATTTCATTATAAAATCCCTTTGGTAATTAACATTAAAACTAACTGTATGTTATAATCAATTATAACTTTTAGGACTGAAATAACAATTTTTCAACATTAATGAAAGCAAAAAACATGTGCAATTATCCATGATATTAAATAATAAAATATAATGGTGTTTTTAGGTTGCCAAGGTCACCAAGATTTTCGATTTTCGATGGAGAGTTTTCAATCACAAGTGTCATGCAATCAAACAACATAGTTCTTATTTATTTTCCTTTTCATACACTTATTAGGCACAAAATATCATGAAAAGCAAAACATGAAACAAGTTTCCCTGCTACCTAAAGCTTGTAGCTCAACTAAATCTTAGCTAGTCTCAAACTAACTCGGATATGGAAGAGTCTATATATGACTCATTTAATATAGTTAAACATGATCAATCTCACTTTTAACAGTTCAAAGATGAGTAAGATTTTCTCTAGGATGAGTTAAAGGCTATAAAATCTTTAACTACCAGATGAACAAGACCCTTGGCATCTTGAATTCTTTTGCAACTGCAGCCTAACACACATAAGGATCAATGCTTACTAAAGGGAACATTGTTGTTTAACTTTGAAGGTTCTACAAAAAAATCCTTTGAAGCTACCATGTTAATCCAACTCTTCATTTTTCTTAATGTACTTGTATCAGATATATACCCTCAACACTTAAAATGGTTATGGAAAAAAGACATAACTCTTTCACCCTACATGAAAATATAACTGTTTTATATATACCTACATATCCAATAATCGAAGTTTGAGTCCAAGCAACAATCAACAGTCACAGAACTAGCTATATAAGACAAGTTTCAAGCTCTAAGAATAATGATTACATGTACAATGGTGAATGCTAGAACCATCTATGAATCATCTTCATTAAGGCTCCAACAGGATGAGAATTAATCCTTTTGTAATGTTAGAATATCTCCAGGAAGCCATGTGCGAGATCCATCTTAAAAGACATAAACCCCTTGAGATTATCGGATGTTCTCAAGCTAGGAATCCATGTAACTATGAAACCTCAATTAAAGATGAGTAATAATCTGTTTATTATTTGTATATTAATTAATCATGAGGTCTTAAAACAAACACAATTGTCACTAACACAAACACTAAAAACAAGATAGTGGGGGTAACTTGAAAAAGCAAATTATTTCTCCAATTTTATCTAATTAATATCTATGTGAAAAAAAAAAAAAAACCATTTAAACTAGAAATGTCAAGGACAAACTCGGGTCTTGCTCAGAGGCCCCCTTAAACAGTCATCAGGTTCCACTTATTAATTTCTTTTTTTTTCTTTATTTTTTGTTCAAACTAAATAAAACTCAAAGTTTTTATCACCTGTTTAGTTCATATAAGAAATGTTTAGAATAAATCAAGATTTTATTGACAGAATCAAACTAGAAATATTCTCATTAAATGAGCAGATATACTGCTGCTCCATGCTTATTGTTATTAACCTCTATAACTGTTTCAAAGCTAGCTAGCTAGCTAGCTAACTAGGATAAGACTGTTTCCAAATTACTAAACACCTAAAATTTAGTGACCAATCCCAGTATATTTTACCCAAAACATTAACCCTAAAGACCATGATAAATCTCCCCCTTTCTTTTTCTCTCTCAGTATTTAAAGGTTGAAGGAGGACAGAAATCTGCAAGATCACTTGGAACATCAACTAACAAGGAAACCAAACAGAACCAAATCACCTGGTTAGAGATTTGATCTCTAAAGAAAAATAAAGAAGACAGAAAGAGATCATAGATCAGACCCCTTCTGACAGAGATAAAGCCTGAGATCATCAGTGAACTCTAGTACTTGCCTATCTACATCCAAGTTTAATTACCTAAACTTATTCATATATATATATATATATATATATATCTTCCCCAAAAAAAAAAAAGACAATAAAAGCAAAAAAGAACTTGGTTTTAGTCTCCGTGTATGTGAAGATGAAAGATGTATAAAAAGATAATGAGAAAACGCACCTAGAACTAGAAAACTCATATAGTTTCCCTCTGGTAGAGAAGATGATAAGTGCAACTTCAGCATCGCAAAGAACTGATAACTCAAAGGCCTTTTTAAGCAGCCCATTTCTTCGCTTTGAAAACGTTACTTGCCTGTTTGATGCATTTTCTATTCTCTTCATCTGAGTTTTCCCTCTCACCATATTCTCACCAGCAGTACTTATCCTACAACCAAAATAAAAAATGAATCCTGAAAGACAAACCCAGAAAAAGGTCAACTGGTTGAATCCTAGGAATTACTATGTATTTGTCTGAACTACTGAAACTGATTTTGATGGTCCCAAAGACCCAGATGAGAAAAAAGTTTCCAAAAATAGAAAGGGAGTAACTGAAAAAATTAACTCAAATTAGGAAAAAAAAAGTATTGCTAAAATGAAACCCGAAAAATGAAAATCTTTCTTGGCATGAGAAAGCTCAAGTTGATGTGAAGAGAATAACAAGATTCACTGGGAAAATTTTTTGAAACCAAATATCAAACAGAAACCCTAGATTTTGCAGATGAGAAGAAATGCCTTAACCAATTTGTTCCCTATCACACCCTCAAGCTCTCCTATAACCCTAGACTGGAAGGAATGTGAATGAAAAACAAAATTAAAAAGGATATAATCATAGACAAAGTCTAAGGAAGTGAAGAACCTAATCCCTTTCTTCTTTTGGTAAAATTGAAGGGAGAAAAAAATCAGGCACATCCAAAAAAAGAAAAACAGAGAATAAATACCAAAATATGTAATTCCACAATGAAGGGAGAAGTGGATGCACCAAAATGTATGCCCATAGTGCAAACCCATGACACCTGTCCGGTTTTACCGACAACCTCCACGCCCGGTATCCTCCGAAAGAAGCAAAGCCAGCGTGTGAGGTGAAAAACACGGAGCATTTCTGTCGGTTGCGTGCAAATATTGGACACTCACCGGACACGATTAAAAAATTTCACATTGTATGTCCGTACACTGGGCTGGGAATGGATCTGACCTGTCCGTACAAGGGCATAAGGAAAGAGCCAATGGGAGTTTTCCACGTAATTCACTCGAGTGATCATGACCACGCTGGGTTTCACGTGGCGTTTCCGGATTTGGTTGGTGGGGTTTTGGCTTTTGGGGGCCTCCTTTCCCTTCACCTGCTTTCACTTCTCTCTATTTTTATTTTATTTTTACTTTTTTTAAGGGTTTTTTTTCTTGTGAGTTGGGTCAAGTGGTGGCGCACTATTGGACCCTAGATTTTCTCAAAAAAAATATCTGCTTCTGTTGATGAATTATTTAGTTTTTTAATGCCAGCTATGTCTTAGGGGACCACTTTTGGGACATGTGCCCTACAACTTTGAAGGTGTGACATGGATACTTTTGATGCCTCTATATTAATGCCCTAACATCACGTAGTTAACAAAGATTAGAGTCTAAATCCTTTAGACATATAGGCAATATGATGTGTTTTGTTTTAAGAAAAAATGAATGATGCTTCAATGTCTTATTTGTTGATTTACTTCAAGATTGGTTAAACCTTAATATCAAATCAAATGCTTGTTAGTAGTGATCAAGCCTAACAACTATGATTAATTTGACACAAAATTTTTATCCCTTTTTATTAAATAAAATTTTACTGTTAAAAGTTTTTTATTTCACCAAAAAAATAAGGTATTATGGGATTGCATAGTCATAGGTGTTTTATCAATAAAATAAGGGGGCCTGGATTGGACTTGTTTGGTGGCTGAGCTTTGGACCGGTTAAAGCTTCCTAAGACTTGCAAAATGGAGGACGCCAGAGGATCTTTGATGATTCCTTCTCTGATGCTTTAGTTTGTTTTTTATATCCTTGAAAGAAAGACAAGAAAGAAGAAGGAAATGGACAAAGAGAAAGAGATCTCATGAGATTGTGTGTGTTAGCCACGTGGTGGAGAGAGCATAGCTACACCATTACATTACATGTTCCTTTACACAAATATTAAATTATAATTCATACTGTCTTCAGCAATTTAATCTAATTTTAAAAAATACATCAAAGTTGAAGTTGGAACTCCTATCTCTCTCTCTGTCTCCTTAACGTAAGATTTTATTTCTCTTGAATGACAAAAAAATATATATATATAATTTATATTATACACAAAATAATGTTACTTATTTAATATAAATATATATATACACACAAATTTTAGTTTTTTAAAATTATATTTAAAATTTTAAAATTCATAGCATATATAAATTTTGTATATATTAATTTGTTATTACAAAATAAATTTTTTGTAAACAATAAAAAAATTATATTTTTCGTTTGGATATTTTTATTTACACTAATATTTATACACTTATAAGATTATATCAAATAAAAATAAATTATACATTTCTTAAAAAATATATATTATTAAACGATAAATTAAATAATAAAATAAGTATTAACATACTTTAACTTTAGTAATTTTAACTAAATTTTTATGCAAAAACTGAAAAATGTTAAAAAATATGTGAAAAATAAAATAAATTAAAAAATATTATTTTTCATAAGAATAAAACTGTAATAGCATTAAAATATAGCTTGAAAAAAAGTTATAAATAAATAAAATAAAACAAATTGCAATAGTAATAAAATATATCTTAAAAAAAGTTACTGAAAAAATAAAAAATTGATGTATAACATATTGCATTGTAGTTTTAAATTTGTAGAAAAATTTTTTAGTGGCAATTACAATTAAATGGATATTTTTTAAATTAATTTTTTAAAATTTAAAATAGATATAATAAGTGATAAAGATAATATTAAATTTTTTACATTTATTTGAAATATAAATTTGATAATTAGAGTTCAAATGGATATAATCATTTTGATAATCTTATTATTTAAAAAATTAAAATTAAAACTTTTTGAATTTTTAAAATCTTACATAAAGTTATTTGAATTTTTAATATCTCACATAAATTTTTTAAATCAAACTAAAAAAGATTGTTGAAAGATTTGGATAAACTTAATTTTTATAATTTTTACACATATTTGAAAGATTTTGATAATTACATAATTTTTAAATAAGGTTATTTTGTAAATAACTAAAATTATTTATTAAAAAAATAAAATCCATATTTTATATATTTATTTTTAAAAAATATATCTTTAAATTGATTTAATTTTTAATTATAATTTGAATATTTAAATAAATTTAAATTTATATAATTTGTAATTAAAATAAATTATCTTATTTTTTAAAATATATATTATGTGTCATAAACGTTCACATGGCAAACTTATTTATATATATATATTATTATATAATATATATTAGATAAATTTGACTATTTCAATATTTATATCATATTTATATTATAAATTAATTATTTTTATGTCGTATTTATCATTCTATATTAATGTGACAACAGTCAAAGATTGTAGGGATTTCTGGTCTTCCTTGTTTGACCTGGAGGTCAGTCATGGTTTGAACGGATTGCTTCCATTCTAAGGAGCCACGTTAGCGCAGCTGCGGACTCAACGGATCTGACGAAGTTTTGAGCCTTAGCTTGATATAACGAAGGGTAAATAACAATATGCATTTTCTTTAAATTACGTGGATATATCGAAGAATAAATTTGATGAAGCTATTTCATTTGTTAAGGAAAAGTTAGAATAAAAGGAAGACAAAAGGGGACATAAGAGAACATTATATTTATATTCAATCCAAGTTTGATTTGTAATAAAGTGAATAATGAATGCTTTTGCTTTTGGTCCATAAAATGACTCAACGTCATTAATTTTCTAGTTTTATGGGACAGTTTCTTCTTTTTGGACGACGAAAAGAGAGTGCGTGGATGTTGGGGAGGGACGGGCCATGCCACTAAAGTGAGATTTAATAATATGCGTATTTATATTTTATAAAATTTTAATAATTTATATATATTATATTTTATATAAAAATTATATGTAATAATTTGTATTGTTATAAAAGTATGAAATATATTTTTTGATTTTATTAAATTTATTTATAATTTTTATTAAAATTTTTAATTATATTATTTTATATTATATTGACATATATATATATATATATATATTACAGATTTGACTGCCGATAAGCCCAGTCCTGAAAACAAGGACAATGCCTGGCTCTGGCTCTGGCTCTGCCTCCTCTTACTCTTACCTCTGAGAAGCCCATGACCTTCTTACCCTAGTTCTGACGTCTTCCGTACAATAATCAGTCTGTATTCTGGGACACCCCCCCCCCAACTCCACGTGGTAAATGGAAACCACCCCAACCCCTCTTGGAATGATTTTCATTCGGACAAAATGAACAGTGAAAATGACCATCCAACAGGCACTCTCTGTCCTACAGTTTTAATTTTACCAGCTTGTGGTCCATCAATTTCACCACACATTTTCTCACCAGACAGCACGCCTTCTCGGCCGACCCATGATTATTGGCCTAAGATTGTGGACCAACCCCAACTTTCTTTCCGCTCTATGAGTTAAGGGCTAGAAGGCTGGAAATGGCGACTATGGAAGCCTGAATCACAAATTCAAAAACCCAATCAAGAGTCCTTTTTTTTTTTTCGGGAAGCCTCCAATAAGGTCGAAAACTTAACCCCCAATTATGCTGCTATGGGTAACTACAACTGCTTGACTATCTTCATTTTCTTAGTTGATAGGATAAATTCTGTTAACTTTGCCGTACACTTGTCTACGAGTCTAGTTATTCATTCGGTTTATAGGTTTGGCTCGACTTAAATAGGTTCTTTGATGGGGATTTTCGCATCTGAGCTTGGTCTAAACCATTCCAAGATATTAATTTATTAAAAAATAAGTTAAATTTAATTTTAATTTTAAATAATATTAAAATATTGAAATTTAATAATTTAATATATATTTTGACAATTTTAAACCATTTGAATTAAAAAAGCAAGACAAAAACTCTAAAAGATTGATCGATTCTGTCTCAATCATATCCATAAACACTTTTATTTTGTTAATTTGCCCGCTTCTAAGAAACTTTGTATTACCATCGGCTCTATAGCTAATTGAACTTCAAGCCCCAAGATATAAGATAAATGAAAATCAAATTCAATTAATCCAAAAATAGTTCAAAGTCAAAACCATTCATTATTAATAAATCTTTTCATACAAATAAATAAATAAATTAAGATATAAAATGATACAATTAAGATGTATAATTTAAAATTCGGTATCATAATAAATTTTAACTAAAATCAAAATCCAATTATTTTATCTGAAATTACATAAATATAATAAAATAATAAAAAATATATTTTTAAAAAAATTTTAATTTAATAATTAAAGATTGAAGAGATATCCAAAATTTAATTTCGAATTAAACATTTTTTTATACTAAGATTTTATCCTTTAATGTAAAAAAAAAAAGTAAAAATATTTATCATTGATACTTATAAAATAAAATGAAATGGAAACTTTGGTGTTGCCATCAAAATTAAAAGCCTTTCCATTTTCTACCCTTGCTTTTGTGATTTTCTCTCCATAAAGTTTTAACACTCTCCAGAAAAGCAAGTCCTTTTTAGTTGGAAAAAACCATTATTGTTGTTTATTTTATCATTTAGTAGTAATATATTATCCGTGATCATATTGTTTCTAAGCAAAACTGGAAAGGAGAAATGTGCGCTGCTGTTGCTGATGCATCTTCTTCCTCTTCGCCTTTTGCGGGATGTGAATCGAAGGAAGAAGCAGCGAAAGAAGGACAGAATCATGAAACAACAACAACAACAAAAGCAAGAGGCAATTAAAGAGTGCATGCACAAGACTAAGCCAATCCAGTTCTTAGGTCGTACTACGCCTATTATTCTCCAAAACGACAATGGACCTTGTCCGCTTCTCGCCATCTGTAACTCCTCTCCCTCTCTCTCTCTCTCTCTCTCTCTCTCTTTAGCCATTTCTAGGGTTTAAATTGATTCTTTGTAATTGTCTTTTGTCTTTATATCCTTGCTTAGGACATTTGGATGGAAAATTATTTACCTTTTCAGTTTAGTGTTTGGTTAAGGTCTTATGTTTCTAATTGTAGTCAAAGAAAGTTGGAGAATTTCGATTCAATTTTGTATTGATTGTTTTGGGAAGCGATCAAGAATCGATCTTTTTGAATATTTCGAATGTCTGATTATGTTTAGGGTTTATTTTTTAATTCTTTATTGTTCCTCCTTTTTGCTAGTGAAAAGACCATAGACCGTGAATATAGAAGACAAAGGAACGAAATTTTGTCAGTAAATTGGATTAGATACATGATCAAATTTCTAATTGGTCGATATGGTAATATAATTATTTATGGAAATTAGAGTTGGAGCTAATTAAGTTTTGAAAATGAACATATTTTGGGGGATGTGGCAGGTAATGTTCTCCTTTTAAGGAACAATTTGAACCTGAGTCCCGATATAGCCGAAGTTTCACAGGAGAAATTGCTTTCACTGGTGGCAGAGCGCCTCATTGATACCAACAGCAATGTTAATGTAATTTCTTTCCTTTTTTATGCTTATTTCATTTGGGTGTTTTTGGTGTAGTATGATGATACTGATAAATCCTTTTGGCATGTAGAATAAAGATGCAGGATATGTCGAAAATCAACAGCAGAATATTGCAGATGCAATTGATTTACTTCCACACCTTGCTACCGGGATTGATGTAAACATTAAATTTAGGAGGTTAGCTTTTCCGTTCTTTCTCTCTTTATTTTTCTCCTATAAATTGCCTCTTTATATGGTCCTTATTGAATTATGTATTCAGTTTGCAGAATAGATGATTTTGAGTCTCTATTTTTCTCCTACAAATTGCCTCTTTATGCAGTCCTTATCGAATTATGTGTGCAATTTGCAGAATAGATGATTTTGAGTTCACTCCTGAATGTGCCATATTTGATCTGCTTGATATTCCTCTCTATCATGGTTGGATAGTTGATTCCCAGGTATGCTCTTTTTAGCCACCTATAACTAATGTACAAGTTGGGTCTGTAGCTTGTTTGGCCGGGCATTCATTTTATGATGTTAGTTGCACTGGTCTTTAGACTTTGTCATGTATCAAATTTCTAAGGTTTGGGATAGAATTAGCCCCTGTATAGATATGTAACATGTATTGGCTAATGATTATGGGTTCAACAAACAGTGTTTTTTGGTTGAAAGTGTGGCTCGGAGAATTTTGGGGTTTAAGTAATATCAGATTTTGAGATGAATTTAGTTGGAGCATGACTGGGTGGGTACCATTAACATACTTTTTTTCTAAAAAAACTAAGGCGATAAATCAGGAAAGTCATGTTAAATTCAAGGGAACAAATTTTACTTTCATACTTTGAATTGAATTCAATATGGCGGGTTTTTTTTTGTTTTTGTTGGAGATTTTTGGTGAAGCTATGCAATTTCTGATGATGCCTGCTAAGTTATTAATCATTATGATATTCATTTATTATCAGATTGTTTTGCTTATATTTCTAGATTATGACAATTTTTTTTTTTTTTGTAGTATAAATTTTGTTTCTAGTTAGTGTTTCTATTATTAGGGTTCTTTTATTTTTCTAAGATGTCCATTCCTGTATTGTCTAGGTTTCAGGTTTACAAGGTTTGGACCTGCAATCCTGAACTTAGTTTAATCACATATTGTGTAATACATATTAATTGCACCAGGACTTTTATGGTTTATTTTCACGGTGCACATGTGCCAGGACTATGAAACTGCTAGTGCCATTGGGTCAAAATCCTACAATGCAATTATGGAGGAGCTTGTTGCATTGGAAACACGAAATTTGGAGGTTTCATGTAAAAGTAATTCTGAAGATTGCGTGGATTTTGCTGCTGCAACAACTGCCACTTTAGGAGTTCCCTCTCCTAGCCTGTCAAAAACCAAATCTTTTGATGATTCTCCTCATTCTGTGACTGGTCAGCTAATATTAGGAAAAGGGGATCTGGAGGAGGAAGCAGAGCTATCGAGAGTCTTGAAATTATCAGAGGCCGAATTACCAACCTTGTTTGATGATCCTGGCAATTTGGATGAAAGATCATGTTCAAAGAACCTTGTTTTTGTTGATACTGTTGATACACAAGAGAGGGATAAAGGTGTTGAACATCAGAACTTGCAATGGCACAAACCATCCTTTTCAGATAATAGCACTTCTTTGAGCAATGATAGTGGTAGTCAGACATTTTTTGAGACCCTCACAAGGGAAGAGTCCCGAAGGACTGATGGGATTAATCAGGATCATTTATCTTATGTTAAATCTGTAGAGATTACCCTTTCTAATAATGTGGTTGAGAAGAGTAATATTGAGGCAATGGTTGTTAAGACGAGTGGGGCCGAACATTTGCTCCAGATTGAAGGTGCAGTTCCCGTTTCTCTGGCAAAGTATACTGCTTCTATAGATGGAATCAACACTGAAAATTCACAAGGGAGTGAAAAGATTCAATTTGCTTCCGCAACTGATGCTTATGACACTCCAGATAATGTGAATGGGTGTGACACGACAGAGGTATCATCTGTGTCTTTACAAAATGCCGGTTCAGATTCATCTAGTGACAGAATACATCATGCAGATGTGCCTGATGCGTTTACTTCTAGTCTTGATGGAAGTGAACCTATATATGAAGGTGAAGAATGCATATTAGATTCAGCAACAACAACATATGAAGATCAGGAGCCTATATATGAAGGTGAGGTAATTCTTGCAAAACAAGCTGACAAAAGAGTTTTAGAGGACTGCAATGTGAGGTCTACAGATGAAATCACTCCACGACAAGGTTAGTAGTGCACCTTATAGAAAATGTTAATCTATATCCTCCTAGAGTGTGTATATCATTCTTTCATTGATTTGAGCTCCATTCTTTGTTGCTTTTGCTAGTTGCTCTTGCTTCCTCAAGAATTATTATTAAGGAAACTCAATGTATTTTCTTATCCTTTTTTTATCCAAATGAACTTTCTTGTCGTACTATTTTCATTTGTTTATTTAAGATAACCTACCATTCATTTTCTTAATGCTACTCAGGCGAACTGATTGGAAACTTCTTGAAGAACAGTGCCAGTCAATTGACCTTTTATGGGTATTTTAAGTAGCTTTTTAACTGTTTAAAGATCTAATTTATTCTTCTATAGCATCATATATCTTTATGGCATGAGGAAGCTTGTTGTTTACTGACTATTAATATATTTTGCAGGCTTTTTTGCTTACAAGATGGTCTTAAAGAACGTGAGCTTTGTGTTTTTTTTCGTAATAATCATTTCAGCACCATGTTTAAGGTTAGAAACTGGAATTACTTTTTCTGTTAATTATTGGCTGTTGCTGTCTATGAACTGCCAATTATGCTTTCTCTTGAACAACTTGACTAAATTAATAAGCTGAATTGAGAACCATTTTTCTTTATTTTCTCTACTGCAAATAAACTCTACTTTGATTGTTCTCATTTTATTTGCAGTATGACGGTGAACTCTATCTTTTAGCTACTGATCAAGGCTATCTAAATCAGCCTGATTTGGTTTGGGAGAAACTAAATGAGGTAAAATTGTTACCTTGAAATCTTCTTTACCAAAATCACTCCATTGAGTTTTTGGTGTCATTTATAATTTTAGCCAAAATTGGTAAGTTGTGTTATTTACATCGTTGTTAATATTAAAGTCTCAAAGTATATTGAAGTTATTAAGAAAGATCCCTAGCCAACAGTGTACTGGCCACTGCATCATGGGAATTTATTGAAGTATGTCATGATATTTAACTGGGATGATTACTTGCTTTTTTGCTTTAACGTTAGTATCAGAGGTTCTAGCTATAGCTGTGGCCTGTAGGTGTTCCTATTTGTTGATGGTAACAACTATGATTATGAGCGGGGAGCAGAATATCACTCCTGAAATCAATATATAATGCTTTGAGGAAAGCTATATCTTTCTCCATGCTGTGCCTTAAAAAAGTTTGTAGTTAAACAACTATGCATAATGGCAAGAAAATAGAAAACTTCTTCTGAGATATATATTTTTCCTTGTCTGATCCAGAATAGTAGTACCTTTTAAATGCTCTTCATTTGATGATTTGTTTTCTCCAATTCTTTTATTGTTAATTGTTTTTGTCCCTTTCAACTTCCTAATGAAAGAAAAAAAAAGGGGAGAAAATGTTGCTAAAGATCTTAAAATTTTAAATTCGAACCTTCTAACTGTTTTAAACCTGTTGTTTCTGTTATTGGTTCTTTTTTGATGTTTTGTATCCTAAATTTAACTCCTCATGCTTTCAGGTTAATGGAGACACACTGTTTATGACTTGCAACTTCAAGGAATTCAAGGTGGATAGTCATGCCACTGGTACTTGGGATGAACAAAATGCTGTGGCAAGTACTGCTGTACGTATTTCCATTTGGCAAGAAAATTTTGACAGTTGGTTTGAATGACTTTAATGAAACTTACCATCTAAGATTTACATGATGCAGGACTACATTGCCAGTGTAGACAGTGCAGCACAAGCAGGATTGGACATAACGTAACTATCCCAACTTTTGGTGATGTGTATTTATATTATTTGTTCTATAGTCAATAGGTTCTAATGAATCTCAATAGCTGCTTAATACTCGGAATATTTGTTCTATAGTCAATAGGTTCTAATGAATCTCAATAGCTGCTTAATACTCGGAAGCCATTATTCTGTCGATTTTAAAACATTCATCAGAAAATATTTCTGAAATGTTGCTGCATCTTATAGAAAAGTGGTCAAGCTAAAATATCTTTTCAATATTTATTGAATGAATTAAAATTTTCTAAAAGAGTTCTTAATTGTTCTCAATTATGCTCAGAGAGGACAATTTTTATTAATTCTATGATGTTATCATCACAGCTCGGATTTACAGCTTGCAATAGCTCTACAGCAACAAGAGTTTGAACAACAGCCACAGCGTCAGAATGTGCAGCAACCAACTTTTGTTGGTGGTTCAAGATTAGTAACAGGTCCCCAGGTAATTTGTTCTGTCGTCCTTCTAGATATTCTTAAATAACTGTCATCTTAAGTTATGTTTGGTGCATAGGATAATGGATAGAATAAGATAGGATGATGATCGTTCTATATTATATTTTGTTTATATCTGAAGAAAGGGATAAGATTAGAAGGAGGATTAATCATCCTCTTGGTATAGGATGATTCGGTCCTCTCAAAGTGGAGAGGATTATTTTTAATCCATAGGATTGAATTTACATGTTCTATTATACTCTTAAATATTATATTAATAATTTAAATTGTATAAATTTTGAGAAAGATAATTTTGAACAATAAATAAATTATACTATCTTAATCCTCACACACATCAAACACAAGATAAAATGATATTATTTAATCTAATCCTATTCATAATATCATTTTATCCAATCCAATCATAATCTTGTATACCAAATACATCCTTAGTGTCTGAACACTGATTCTTGAATCCTACACCCAGGTGTGTGCACTAGTTTGTGCTGTCATGGGCTTCTTTCAATCTCAGCTGGGCATACCTGGGCCCCTCTATGTGACTTGATAAATTATTGTTGTATAAAAATAATCATTTGTTTAGAATGGAAGCTATTTAGATGGAAGAGTTATATGCCTTGTAGTAAGGATTGGATATGAAGTAGGTACTTTCTATCAGTAGCAGACAGCAGTATGGAATAATGGAATAATAAAGGATAAACTGTTATACTAGAAAGAAAAGTTTTATAAAATGATCTGAAACAGTTGTAAAATGTTTTAGACTAAATTGGGCTGTCCCATTATTACCCTAAATGCAGCCATGGCTTAGACTCTGCATTGATGATCTATTGGTTGACTGAAAGACGGGAGAGTGGCTGGTGTGACTTAACTTCAATAAGCTCATTAGCAGTCTAGCACTAACAACAACTAATTAATAATCTGTTAATATTATTATTATTATTGTTAAGCACTCATCTTGTTAGACATGGTGACTTAAATTCATAGATTGACTTTGTATGGCGACTTGCGGAACATTAAATTCTGAATGACAGAAGTGGCATTTTGCAGGCGCCGAGCAGCAGTGGAAGGAACTCTTCATCTTCATCGTCAAAGCAAGATGCAAAATCAAAAGAAAAGTGTATTGTGATGTGAGTTTCGCATTAATTGGGTAGTCCTTGTACTGTAAGTGCCTTGTGTCTTGGTCCAATTTTATTTCAACACTAATAAAAACCCTGATTAAACCATATAATATGTCATGTTAGATGAAGTTTTTGACTATATATATATATATAATGAAGTATATAGTTTAATCCATTCAAAGCCTATAAGCAACTTGTCCATGGTAGCAGCTTTTAAATTTATTCAAGTGTCTGTGTCTGGGAAATTGCAATTTGTGGTCCCAATCAATTCATTAGGAAGGTTGGAGCATGGTGGAAATTTGAACAACTGCACTTGGTTGGTTTCTAATGGATGTGAAAGCGTAGGCCATGGTGTGGAAATTAGAAAAGTCGTGGGGAAGGGGAACAATACATTGTTATCAACGATTTGGGACACGGGTTGATGGTGATGTAGCATAAGAAAATTGACAAGGGCAGCATGGGAAGGTTAATTTTTCTTCTTTTTTTCTTGGAAGTCATTTTTATGGCATAGGGTTTCTTCTCTCTGGTCAATTCTCGATTGCCTTCTTCAACTGTTCAACATCAATTGCCATGTTGTGGTGTCAACATCGACCAAGGTTTTGGGCCTTATCCTTTTACTTAACGGGTTTTTGAGTAGTACTTTCAATTTGAAAATTTTTTTTCGTGAAAAAGATATTAAAATGTGTCATAACTCTCTTTATTTTTTAGTTTTTAAAAATTTAGTCTTTTTAATATAATTTAAAAGAATTTAATCTTTATAATATTATTTATAAAGATTTCAATTTGATCATTAAAAACCTACAGATATTAAATTTTTTAAGAAATAATATAACAAGAACTAAAATTTTTTAAATAATACCATATGAAATATATTCCTAAAAATCAAAATGTATAGGGGTTTAGTGACACATTTTAACAAAAAAAAAAAATTTAAGTAAGAGGAATTATATTTTTAAAGTCATAATAAATAGTTAATTTATTAAAAAGTTTATGAATTTTGTTTTTTTTTTTTTTTCCGAAAGGTCCAATTTGAAAATTGAAAAGTAAGAAATGTAGCCAACAAAATCTAGGACAAAATTTGACCGTTGCACACTTTACTGCATCTTTGCCCCTTCAATTAGACATCTACAATTTAACACTTTCTCTCTCATCCGTTTGCAATGCCAAAACCCTTTGAATTTTGTACCATAAAATTTGGTTTTTCTTCTTCACCTAATTGACAAGACATATTTATGTTAGTGCTTAAGACCGCATTTTAATATGATTTGAAAAAAAAAATAAAACTAGATAAAATTCGAAAATAATATTTTACTAAGTTAAAAAAAGAAAATAATACTTACTAATTAAAACTAAATAATATATCCAAGTAGTATCATATTTTACAATACATTTTTTTTGGTACTTAATATTGCTCGAAATTAATCTTTTATCATTTAAATTAAAAATACATTACTTTAAATCATACATTATCAACCCACTCGATTTCCAACTTTTTTTTCTAGGACCAAAACGCCCATAACAGCCACAGTCAGAGACGTGCAATAACATACAACTTCCGACTAAGCACGGGCAACAACTGATATTCCAATACGATGTTTAATATAAACATAAAATTATTATTCTATGTATTAGTGCCGAAATATTTTAATTTTACAAACAAATTATACGATTATTGCATATTTATTTAATGATTAAATATTCATTTTAAAAATATATCTAAATAGACACATAAAATTTAAAAAAAAAAATTCAACAACCGTGTGATTTTATATAGCAAACAATATAATATTTAGAAAGCATTATTACATTATTGTTTAATTGGATGGTTGGATAATAATTTATTTTATGTGGGTTATCCTCAAAATCATGACTATTGACTTTGAAGGTTCGTGTACTTTGTGAGGTTAGAGAAGAATCAAGCAGAAAAGAAAAGAAAAACACTAAAACAGATGAAAGGATGTATTGTGGGGTAGATGATTTTGACAACACCCACATCAATCTATAAATTAAAGTATACGTATATCTACGTGTATTTTCATGTATACATGTATATATAATTAGTTTATAAATAAATTAGTCTTTTTTTATTTAATATATAACAATATAAGTCGGGATACTTTAATTGATGGGAGGGAAGGGACCACTATTTTTTTTAAGAGTTGTTTAATTAGTAGATATAAATAAATAAATAAAATAAAACAAAGTAGGGTGGTCCCTGCCTTGAGGTTGTCGCAATCTTAGGTTTGGGAATAGGACAAAGCTACAGCTGTGACGGTGACCCCACTTCTACTTCCACCACCACCATCATCAGCCTCCCCCAACGCCGATCCTGCCTGCCCTTCCCTTCTTTTTTTTATTCTACGGGAATTACGTCTTTAACCTTCCAACTCTTTCTTTTTCTTTTTTTTTTTAACACCAAAGTTTATAGTAATTCAATTTGATCCATTTGGATATGAGCTTATATTCGATTCCTTTCTTCCGATGCAAACATTTCCACCAAAAATACAAAAAGAGTAAAAACCCAAAGCAAGCCACAACATTTTTCCCTTGTTTTTTTATTGCTTGAATCCCCGAATTCAGTAGGACCCACTGCCTAAAATTGTACTAAAATGGGCCCACCACCATCAGTCCGAAACATCCAAGATTTTGTCTTGTTAAGATTTACCGGGTGCCGACCATGATAGTTGAAAAAAAAAACAAAACATGCTTAAATTATCCAATTGCATTGCTTCCTTTTTTTTTTTTTTTATTTGAGATAAATAAAATTTTAAATTTTAAATTAAGATAAAATATATCTATTTGATAATTTTAAAATAAATAATTATTTTATTTTAAAATAAATATAATTTATTATTATTTATTTTAAATTATCATATACGATATATTTTATTTTAATTTAAAATTAAAAAATTTATTATAAATTCTATCTAATAATTTAAAATAAAATTCAAACTTAAAATTTTTAAAAAATAAATTTTAATTAATTGAATCAATCGTTCATTAGTAAGCGGACTGCTTTCAAATAAATACCTACCCACTTCTTTTAGTGGAAAATGAATAATAAAAATTTGATGGCTGCTAAGTACCAATGATGTTTGCAACTCTTTTATTTCATTTTCTACAACATACTATTACATAGTCAAGGGGAGATTACATGGGAAAAAAGGGTCATAGAAATTGTTTAATTTTAATTGTGTTTTACTTTTAAATATATAAATAAAATAGGTAACAATAATATGTATTGTTTGTTAATTAAAACTTTGAGTGCTTTTACTTTTTATTTTTTAATAAAAAATAAAAAAAATAAAAAAAACAAAACAAAACACCAACGAAATGGATTCTAATTCAATCGGATATATCAATTACTTAAAATCTTGGATTATTGTTCAAGCCATTGTTCACCATTTTTTAATGTTTTATATCAAGAAAATGGTCGAAGAAGACAACAAAAAAAAAACTTTTTTGAGTTTTTTTTTTTTTTTCATTATGATTGTAAATTGAGTTAAGATTTCTATAATTTTTGAATAAGATAATTTATTAAAAAAAATTCATTTTCATTGAGGAATGAGGAGTTTATTCTAATCAGATGCAATTATTATTAGTTTATTGAGAAGCTTTCACTAATAAAAAACAATTAGAAATGAGCAATCGAGTTGTTGGAAAATAGGCCTTCATAAAAGCTTTTCAATATTAATGATTCCCCAATCATATAGAATTGTGACAGAATTATTTTTTTAACAATGATAATAGTGGGTTCATTTTTAACTTATTAATAGTAAATTTTTTTTATTTTACTAACTAAGAGACTGTCAAATGGTTTTATATTTTTAATTATATTCTTAAATGTATGTAGTATTCTACTAATTATACTTGCAAAATCTAAAATTTTAAATAATTTTTTATTATGATTAACTAATTTTAATTAAAAAAAATTATAAGTCATATAAATCCATATAAATTACTTTCAAATGTATCTAGGTATTTTAAAAAAATTATATTCAAACTATAAATTAAAACTTTTCAAATAAATATGAAATAATAATTACAATTTTTATGTGATTAAACGGTTATTATTATCCCATCAGAGGTCAATGTCCAACCCCTTCTGGTGGACTGTCCACTCGGATTTTAATACTGATAACGAAAAAACATTAATTGAATAATTAGTACTTAACTTGATATACAAACAAAAATAAAAAAAGTTTAGAAAAATAAGTATTTAATAAGTAATAGTAGAATAAAAGAGAAAATATTGAAAAGGGCCAAAAAAAAAAAAAAAAAGAACCTGAAAAGCATGCACCAACAAAGTGGAGGCGAACACTGACAACTGACATGCTAAACCTCAACCGACTTTCTTAAATAACAAAAATTAAGTTAATTAAAAGTCGGTGATTTTAAATGTTTTATAATCAAAAGTTCAAATTATAATACTTTGAATCACCCTACAAATCACCATTTTAAAATTTTTTTTTCTATTTTTATTTAAAAAATTAAAAATTTTGTATATATATATATAAATAAAAGAAATTATCACATCTTTCGTTACAAAACATGACATAATAACATATACTTTTTAAAATATAATAACAAATAATTAAAATAACAAACTTTTAACTATTTTATAAAAGTAAAATATTTTATTATTAATATATAAAAATAAATTTTTTATGTAAAGGGCGGTCAAATTAGCAGTTGAAGCAATTGTTGTTTGAAGTTAAAGAAATGAAGTAAATATTTCGGAGAATCTTTTTATTGAGATGTTGAATCCATGAAATGAAATTAAAAATAATAGTATTATAAATATTTTATGCAAAAAGGAAAATAAAAAGTGAAATTACAGTTGTTAGGGATGTAGACTAGTGAACCTAAAACTATACGTGTAACAGTGATGTTGGCAAATGAAGTGGACCTTTTTGCTAAAAGTAGGCCGACCTTTACTACAGTGACCACCAAAATTGTCCTCTCCATGTTTTAGTAATCAAATGCGACTTCCCCTCGATTTTCACCAATACTGCATCAACAACTGTACAAACATGCATGTAGGAACTTTTTACAGTCAAGGCTAAATAAGGAAAAATAAACCCTTGAAGGCAAAATTTACATAAAATTTTTAGATGAAATTTATAAATTAAAAAAAATAATTTAGTAAAATTTTAAATTAATAAAATTTAATATAAAAATTAATAATATGAAAAAATTTTATTAAAAATATTATTTATAATTTAAATTCGATCGATTTTTATTTAATGATAAAAATTTTATTAATATTTTTATTAAAAAAGTCTATATATAAATATATATCAAAATTTATTTAAAATTTGCACATTTAATTTATATAATAAAATTTTTTAATTTTGATTTTTAAATTTAATTTTGATTTCATTGTTTTTAGTAAAAACCTTTAAGAATCTTATGTAAAAGTTTTATTTAAGTTTTTATTCAAAATTAAAGAGAAAAAGTTATTATTTATGAGGTAAAAAAATTTCTGAATGATTTTTTTTATTATAAATATTCTTGATGCTAACAAATTATACACATGAGTCAATATGCTACTAATAGAATCCTTAACTTTTTAATTTAGTGATTAAAATTTAATTAGATACATGATAGACAGAAGAGATCATTGGATACAGACATCTTAACATTTGATTAGATTGATTAATATATGATTTGTTGGTTAAAAACATGGATTTCAAATTTTTTATATCCAAATAATAATAAAAAAAAAGTAGGTTGCAGTTTTGCTAATATTTGAGGTGAATTTTATAATTCATCTAAAATTTGGTGATAAATAATATAGAAGAAGAAAACCTTGATAATTAACATTGAATTAACTCAGCTAATCCAATTCTATTTGAAATTTCAAGGTTGATTAATAATTACTTAATGCACCAAACTCCAATCAACCCCCCACTTGCCACACTTGCTTATTTGCTTAAATACAAATATATCTTAAAATAAAAGTAAAAAAAAACCCAAAATTAGTTTTTTTTTTTTTATAAATTTATATATATAAAAAGAAAAACAAAAAGCAATCAAATTGTCAGGCCATAGAACCAGCTTTATCTATTGGCTGTTTTTTTTCCCTTTGCTTTATCAGAGCTCTCTTCTACCAGACACCCTTTCATAGTAATGATTCCATAGCATGCCTCCTCCCCACTCCTCCTATCTTTTCCTCTGATAAAACTCTTTTCTCAAAGACTTCAAAACCAAACAAAAAATTTGAAAAATCCACCCCATATATCTGTTTTTCTTTTTAACATATATATATTTGATTATTTTCATGCTTTTGCTTCTTTAACTTTCCCTGTATATGTAAGAGTAAAGCCCTGCAACATATAGCAGAGGGGAAGGTGGTACAGAAAGTCTTGTGTCTCAGATCCCGATATACTGATCAATCATCTCTCTTACACCATTAACGAGAAAAGAAAAACTGTCTTTGTTTTCCCTCTATTTCTCTCTCTTTCTTCCTGCTTAAGCTCCCAGCTTAGTTCCCTCTCAAGCACAAGGGTCTTTCTTCGTGGTCCTTTACTACTTCGTCATCATTTCTTTATATATATTATATATCAAAATCTTTTTTTTCCTCTTTAGAAAAAACCCTTTTTTGGTTCTTCAGTCCTTATACACTTTCCCTTTAGTACTTTGTAGATAAACTTGGGTCTGTACTCTTTAGTGGTTCAAAGAAATGCAAGAACCAGGGTTAGGCATGATGAGTAGTGGTGGGAATGGTGCAATTGGAGGGTTAAGCAGTGGTGAAGTGTCTGTTTCCGGTGACCAGAACCGTCAGCTGAAGGCTGAGATAGCTACTCATCCACTTTATGAGCAGCTATTAGCAGCTCATGTTTCTTGTCTCCGTGTTGCTACACCAATTGATCAGTTGCCTTTGATTGATGCACAGTTAGCACAGTCGCATAATCTTCTTAGGTCGTATGCTTCACAGAATCACCAACTTGGACACTCCTTATCACCCCATGAAAGACAGGAGCTTGACAACTTCTTGGTCAGTTCTTCTTCTTCTTCAAACTCTAATTAATTTCCCCTCCACCTAGGCCATAGTCTTTGCAAGACTTTCCTTGTTTTGTTTTATGATTTGAGATTTTCTCTTTTTTGTCTGTTATTTTTTCGGGGAATTTAACATGGGAAAGTATTTTGTTGTTTATGGTGGTTTTTATTTTTTACCTGGTTGATGCAGGCACAATATTTGATATTGCTATGTACTTTCAAAGAACAGCTTCAACAACATGTCAGAGTCCATGCCGTTGAAGCTGTCATGGCTTGCCGTGAAATCGAAAATAACTTACAAGCTCTCACTGGTTTGTCCTCTCTCTCTCTCTTCTCTCCCTCTCCCCCTATTATTATTCTCAAATAATCATCATTAGCTGGTTAATTAATGATGTGATAAATCAAAAAAGAAATTAAAAAATTTTTGCTCTTTATTTTGTTTGCCAGGGATAAATATATATAATATATATAATACTACTATATAATAACTTGATAAATTAATCATCCTTATATTCTAATGAGAAGTGCATAGAATTATATAAATAATAACCACATCTCCATCCTTGGCTGGTTTTGGATTAGAATCCTAGTACTTTTATTTCTTTGTTTGAAGATATTAATAATATTTTCTTTCTCTTCTTCTTCTCTTCTTGTTTTGGTGTTTTGATGCGGTTGGTAGCTAGGCAGGAGGGATAACGATTGACATTTGGGTTTCTTGCAAGCTTAAGAGTCGTACCAAGAAGTGGGTGTGTAGGACCTACCAATAAAAAATCGTACTACTAGCTTATATCTAGGTTATAGTTAGGGTGGCTTTAGGGGTAGTTAGTTTGGTGGAAGAGGGTACTCTCATCCTCCCACCACCACCATAGCCAACAATTGATTTCTAAGGTTGCATTGGAATATTTGGATTCTTTGGTTTAATAAAGATGATTTAATAAAAAGATAATGTTTCACATACTTTTAATTATGAAGCTATGTAAAACCAAAGTCTACTTTCTAGAGTCTATAAATGAAGCTATCTAGCTTATATGATTTGTGTTGTTAAGAATTGACAAGAGATTGAGAGAAGGAAACAACATTATCCCAATGAGTTAAGTGGCTAATTTTTGTTAAGTTAATGTAATGTTATTAATATTTTTTGAATCTTGATTTGAGTCTTTCATTTGGTGCTAAATTCTGTCAGAGATGTACAAAAAGTGAGCAGTTGTATCTTGATGCTTTTAGGGTTTGGGATAGTTTGGCAGCTAATTGTCATGCTTGCATTGTTTAGACCTTTCTGACAATGGGCATCTCAAGCGTTGAGCAGTTCGTTTTCTTAGCTCTCTGCCTGCTTCTGCCTACAATTTTGATTGAGATAACATTTATCCTAACATTAACATCAGCTGGCCTACGGGGAAAGGCTCAAACCTGAAACAGTTGTTTCTAAAATGACAGTTCTTGTCTTCTCGACGACTGCAGGCTACTAACAAGCTACCACTGTTTATATCACGACTGTGGTAGTACATATATAAAAAACTTTGAAGTACTTTTGGCTACTCCGTAGATACAACTTAATTAATAATGAGGAAATTTACTGTTGAATTAGCATTCCAGCATTCTTTTCTTGAAAAAAATGCTAAAAAATTTATTTATTTTTTTAATCTATTTTTGTTTGGTAGGCTTGGGCTGTGTCATGAATTTTCTTTTATTATATATATGATCAAACAATTAATTTGAACCACCTGCCACTTAAGCACACAAAAAAAATAACATGCTTATTCCTTGCATCAGGTTAGGCTTAATTTTTCTGGACTAAACTCCAGGCTCCAGCTTGAAATGCATTAATCTGACTTGTTAGTTGTAACCACCATACATATACTAAACCTTTTAGATAAAAAATGATAAGATTAAAGAGAAAAAGCTTGAAAATTATTTGTGATGGATTCAATCGTTCTATCAGAAATATGTGATAGTTGCATAACATTTGTGGAATGTGGATGAAAGAGCAAAGGGTCAATCATGGTGGTCCTGAGTGTTTGAGATCATGACATGTTTGTACAAATAAAAGATGAATTTATCATAGTGTAATTTTGTCACATGTCATGATCATCTGGTAATAGGGACATCATGTTCTGGGATCTACCCTAGTTATTATGTTTAGCAGGAAAGGAATAATCTTTTTCTTGCCTCATTTAAGAAGTGGGACAATTGTCCCCCTCAATTTAAATTTTTAAAATCTAAAAAAAATACACTTTAATCTTAGAAAATATTTGAAAATAAATTTTTTATTATTGGAACATATCTAAACTGTAGGCTTGTAATAATCTAATCCAGGCCCAACAAAATAAAGTTGAATTTGTATTGGGCTTGTAGGATAAGACAGCTTAGCCCAACGAAAATATAGGATAAGCTTGCTTCCAAGCCTAGTAATTATAGTCCAACAACGAATTTTTTGTTTCCAAAAAAAAAAAAAGAACCTTGTCTGTTGATGTGGGTGTTGAAAGTTGACAAATTTTCAATTCCTCTTCAAATATCGACGAGGACAGCATCGGCTAAAATAATTAGTCAATGATATTTATTCAAATCTTAATTAAGCGAAAAACATTGCAACCCTTTAGGTCCTAACGAACTATGATGATTGCTTGGTTCTTCCTGACTAGCTACATTCACTTTCACTTTTCCAGGAGTAACCTTGGGTGAAGGTACAGGTGCAACAATGTCAGATGACGAGGATGATCTGCCGATGGACTTCTCTTTGGATCAATCTGGCATTGATGGGCATGACTTAATGGGTTTTGGTCCCCTACTTCCCACGGAATCTGAAAGGTCTTTGATGGAGAGGGTTCGTCAGGAACTGAAGATTGAACTGAAACAGGTGCTTGTTTTAAATCTTTGTTGCTATAGGATGTTGTTAACATTTCTTGGTTTCATTTGAAAATATTAAACATGTTTTTGCAAAGGTAAGAGGTTAATTGGAGACTTAAAAGTGAAAAAATATATATGTTCCTTGGTTGGTTTTCCATGAAAAGGTTTCCTACGTTTGAAATCGAGATTTTAAGCTACTTTTGTCATAGAAGCGACAGAGTTACTTATGATCATCACAGCAAATAACAGTAACACAATCTATTATGTCCCTACAGGGTTTCAAATCAAGAATTGAAGATGTGAGGGAGGAAATTTTACGAAAAAGAAGGGCTGGAAAATTACCAGGTGACACAACTACAGTGCTGAAGAACTGGTGGCAGCAACACTCAAAGTGGCCATACCCAACTGTAAGCAGCTAACTTCTATTCCAATACTGATGAAAATTTTGTTAGATTCCATTGGCACCAATTACTTGTCTTATTTGAGGTTCACTTTTGCCAATACCATGCCTTTGTTAATTTCATTTAAACTTTAAACAATAAGGAGAGGACGGCTCGAGGATGATACAAGAATATGACTGTTCATTAGGGCTGTTTCCACAGAATGCAAATTCAGTGATCATAATTTCATTTAATTTCTCGACATTCACATGGTTGTATATAAATATGATAATTATAGGAAGATGACAAGGCCAAACTTGTGGAGGAGACAGGATTGCAGCTAAAGCAAATCAACAACTGGTTCATCAACCAAAGGAAGCGCAACTGGCATAGCAACTCTCAATCTGTCACCTCCTTGAAGTCCAAGCGGAAAAGGTAGACAATAAACTCCATAAGCAATGGAGAAGAAGAAACTTTCAACATGTTGATGTGACCTCTTGGGGTAAATAGCTGTGGTCTAACATTTTGTGAAGGCACTGAAAAGAATCTGGGAAGTTAGATGATTTCAAAAACCAAGTACAGGTTGTAATAGATTGACTTTTATATGGCTTACATGTAAGTGTGTAGATTCAAGTTTCTAACAAAGTAAACATATTTCCTGTCAGAATATTCTTTTCTTTTGAGATCTCTCTAATTTCTAATATTCATATATTGAAAATTTAATAGTTGAGATGCGAGTCATTGCTACAATTCCAAACCCGAAACAGGGAACAATGCATGAATGAGGCCCAAAAATTGATTTTCCTTTCGAAATGAGAAAATTTTGCAGAGTTAAATTGTGGTCAGTTATAAGTTCAGAGATCGAAATGTCCAGAATTATACTCACTAAGTGAACTCAACTACTATGATGGGACTTATCCCTGCTTGTTTGTAGACAAATTAAACTTGGAGAGTCCAAGTAATTATATTCAAACCAGCAAGGTCACCTACACCCTTCAAAATTTTCTGTTTGTGAACCTATTAAACACAAAATCCGTAGCTTTTGCCAAGTAAGCGAAACGATCTCTTTCAGTACTTTGAGTTACCCTTTTACGGATTTTTGCAGTGGAGCTCAGCTCATGACCTTACAAAGCAGAACATCGAGAAAACTATAGTCTCCCAACCATACAAATTAGTCACCTTTCATCACCTGGTTGGCGGTAATCGGTGCACCTTTTTGGCGTCAATAGGGAAGATGATTGTAGGACCCTTCGGCAGGCTTATTCGGGCCCAGAGTTCCTTGATTAAACTAGGGTATTCCTTTATTTTTCTAGGTACGTTTTCCTAAAATGAAAACCAGTTTACGGCAAGGCTAATGGCTTGACTTTGGGAATCAACTAAATTACACGTATCATATTTTTTTTTTCTGTTAATAATTGACATCGTATTGAAGAAACATGGGGGAGTTGAAATGTCGTACTTTACCGTGTCTTGGCTGGCTGCTGATGTTCAAAATAGACGACGACAGGTTTTTCCTTGACGAAGTAAACCATCCCTACAATGTGAATGGTAGTGTTTACCAAAACCTAGACATGAGAAGGAACTTTCTACGCAAAATCCTAACTAAAATTTATCTCTCTTCAAGCCTCTTTGGCTTTGCCCTGTACACAACTTTACAAGCATCGGAATTCCCATCTCGATGGTCTTACACTAACACAGTTTTTGCCTGTTGATTATTCCATTCCAAGAAATATGCAAATCGCTCCCCTTTTGACTATTTTTATATTGGATACTCGTAAATTTTCTTCTTCATTCACCTATGCAGTTCAATTTCTTGATTGTTTATTATATATTCTTACTTATCAACCTCCATTACCTGATTTTTCAAAGCTTATCTTCTTCTTTGCTTTCCAACTTTCCTTCACTCAATTCGTTTTTCTCTTTCATATATTTACCCTCAAACCTCCTTGAAGACCCCCCCCCCCCTTTTTTTTTCCTCTTATCTTCTCTCCGGTCCTTTGTCTTTCATTTTTAACAGCTATCCATATTTATTCCAGTGCCAGTTTTGGATATTGATCAGATTCTGAATTAGGATTATATTCTTCATTGGTCCTTTGACAATTTTCAAGGTCCAATTTTTCCCTTGATATTCATTCAGTTTTAGTGCCTCAACCAAAATAAACCGGTCTTGTTTAATTTTCGATGGCTAATAGACTTTTCCATGAAACGCTTTCCTTTGGAGGCTCAAGCCATGGTCAGGGCCAAGAAGTTCTGCCATTTAAGACAAGTAAAGGGTCCTTGAAGGTTTTGCTGTTACATGGCAATTTAGATATTTGGATCAAGGAAGCTAAAAACCTTCCTAACATGGATATGTTCCACAAGAAGTTAGGTGACGTACTTGGGAAGTTCAATTTGAAAGTTGGTAGCAAAATTGAAGGCCATATGCCTCATAAGATAACCAGTGATCCTTATGTTACAGTCTCTGTGGCTCGTGCTGTAATTGGGAGGACTTTTGTTATTAGTAATACCGAGAACCCGGTTTGGATGCAGCATTTCAACGTTCCTGTTGCACATTATGCCGCAGAAGTTCACTTCGTTGTCAAAGACAGTGATATTGTGGGCTCACAGATCATGGGAGCTGTAGGTATTCCGGTTGAGCACTTATGCTCAGGCACAAAAGTTGAGGGAACCTTCCCAATCCTTGATGCAAATGGGAAGCCTTGTAAGCCTGGAGCTGTATTGACTTTATCAATTCATTACACACCAATTGAGAAAGTGGCGCTTTACCATAGGGGATTAGGTTCAGGTCCTCACTATCATGGGGTCCCAGGTACATACTTTCCTCTTAGGAAAGGTGGCAAAGTTACTTTGTATCAAGATGCTCATGTCCATGATGGTTTCCTTCCCAATTTGAAGGTTGATGGTAATGTTCGATATAAGCATGGGAACTGCTGGCAGGACATCTGTAATGCTATAAGTCAGGCCCGTCGTTTGATATATATTGCAGGCTGGTCTGTCTATCACAATGTCAGACTTGTTCGTGAAACTGATAAGGCAACAAATGCCACATTAGGGGATCTTCTCAAAACTAAATCCCAGGAAGGTGTGCGGGTGCTGCTTCTTGTATGGGATGATCCTACTTCTAGGAGCATTTTGGGATATACAACGGTCAGCAATTAAACAAACTCCTTTTCCTTTATGTTATCTTGTTTTTATGTTCCATAGACTACATAATAGTTCAAACTTAAAACCTCCTGCCATTTTCTATTTAAAGGTTCTGTATTTTTTACTCATAATTGAGGCTACAACAGCTACTTGATACTAATTTTGAAGGGGTTTTCCTTTCTTCCTCCCTGCTCACGCTCCTCATCTTCCCCTGTCAAATTCCTTTTTTCTTTTCATATCCTCACTGTAAGATATCTTATATGCAGCAGCAACGTTTGAAGACTAATAAGTTCATAAAGGAGTAAGACAATTTTGGAGAGCCAATAACAATGTGGTTGAGGGTTTATCTTTTGCCCATTCTCTATAAAGGGGCAAAAATAGTATGCACCACTTGTATCTCTTGAGAGTCCTGTAGTATGGTATGATTTGATGAGTTTTTAAGTACAGCTGATAAATCTTGACCCATGTACTGTTATTTAGTTGCACAAGAAACTAACTGTTATGCAGTTATCATCATGGAACTGAGCATTATTCAATATCAAAATATATTCTTTGTCAGAAATTGTCTTGATTTTATCTGTAATAGCATGCCCTTTTTCCTTGCATCGCCATATGCAGTTCTAAAGTGTGATATGATTAATGTGACTGCGCTTGATTTAACCTTATAACTATTGTACGTTAGAGTATCATTTTTCTACCTTTTGTCCTTTTAGAATCCCCGCTTTGAGTAATTAAGGAGTATTGGTACCATTTGTCATTTAAGAATCAATTCAATAGTTTTGTCCTTAAAGTAGCAATAAGTCATTTTTTGGCTTGAACTTGACACTGACTGGCTTCTCGGATTTGCAGGAAGGAATCATGCACACAAATGATGAAGAGACTCGCCGTTTTTTCAAGCACTCTTCAGTGCAAGTGTTACTTTGCCCTCGATCTGCTGCAAAAGGAAGCTGGGTAAAAAAGCAGGTTGGGTATAACCAGTTACCAGAAATATGTCTATGGTCTACATGCTGTTGGTTCTAGAGTATCAGTAATAAATGCATTTTGTCAAAAGATATCATCGGTATTTGATTGGGGGAAAATTGCAGTCATTGATATTTTGATGCGGGCAAATGTCATTTAGGTGCTATTTACATCTGTACTGCTCTGATTCTGGATTTCGATCTCATTTGACCTTTGCGTACCAGGAAGCTGGAACAATCTATACCCATCATCAGAAAACTGTGATTGTTGATGCTGATGCCGGTAACAACAAAAGAAAGATCACAGCATTTGTTGGAGGTCTTGATTTGTGTAAGGGTCGGTATGATGCTCCAAACCATCCACTTTTCAGAACACTACAAACGGTGCACAGAGATGACTACCGCAACCCTGGCTTCACGGTAACCATTTATTTACGTTTCCTCAATTCTCCTTGTTGTTTGATTTTCTCTATGCAATAGTTGAGAGGAAGCATTTGTGTCCAATATGATTTCTCTGACTCTAGGAAAAAAGCACTACTGGGAATTTGGGAACCCTAAGCAGCTGCTTGATGCAACCTTGTAATGCCATCGGTTGCACCAATAACTATTTTGATACTAATCCATAACTAGATAAAATAAATGCCACTAGCGCATTGTGAGTCATATGGTATTTGATATGAAGTGGAATAATTTTAAAGGAAAATACTAGCCATGGTGTTGAGAAATCAACTATCCCATAAGGTACATTTTTACAAAAACTAGTCTTACATCCTGTGTAGGAACCTGATGCTGGTTGTCCAAGAGAACCATGGCATGATTTGCATTGTCGTATCGATGGTCCAGCTGCTTATGACATACTCACCAATTTTGAGGAACGTTGGTTAAAGGCGTCAAAACCCCATGGGCTTCAAAAATTAAGGACTTCACATGATGATGCTTTACTGAAGATTGAAAGGATTCCTGAAATTGTAGGGATGACAGAAATTCCTTATTTGAGTAAAGATAATGCAGAAACTTGGCATGTTCAGGTATTTTGGATGTCAGTGAGCTGTTGGTGTTCAGTATTTCATTACTACTTTTCTTGTTTCCTATTTTTCTTATTTCCTAATCCTTTTGTCCCTGTTCCTCTGCATTCCCTACCATGAAGGTTTTCCGTTCAATCGATTCCAACTCTGTGAAAGGTTTTCCAGATGACCCAAAAGATGCTACAAGAATGGTGAGAGAAACCTATGGAATTTAGCTGTTCTTATCAACTATTATAGAAGGATTAGTGAAGTTTAACCAACTTGTATTTTTATATTTTGTCTAGAACTTGGTGTGTGGGAAGAATGTTATTATAGACATGAGCATACACACTGCTTATGTGAATGCAATCCGTGCTGCTCAACGCTTCATCTACATTGAGAATCAGTACTTTCTTGGATCATCATATAATTGGGATTCTCACAAAGATTTAGGTAAGAAACTTAACCTTTAAGGTGAAGAATAAAGGAATGAAGATAAATTAGTTGTGTAAAATTAGCTTTGAACTGAATTATCAAACTTAAAGTTTAGATGTCTTTTCTTATTGAGATGTTCATGAGAAAATGGAGACAGTATTCCAAATTATTCAACTTGTCATACCCTTCACATGATCTCTTTCTAGGGGGAGCATTTAAAATTGAAAACTTTCATCATCTGACAGATGGACTGAATACCTACATTTCTCCTGTTCATAACAAATTTTTTGCCCCAGGATTGTATATATATATGGTTTTAAGCATACCTTTTGCTTGCAGGTGCAAACAATTTAATACCAATTGAAATTGCTCTGAAAATTGCTAACAAAATCAGATCAAATGAGAGGTTTTCCGCTTATATTCTCATCCCAATGTGGCCAGAAGGAATCACAACAAGCGTTCCTATCCAAAGGATTCTCTTTTGGCAGGTAGGCTCCACTTACGGTTGGAAAAAAAGTACTTCTATGTCTTAAGCATCAGTTATTTGCATGCTAGATGACATTTCAGGTGGTAATATTCATTTCAAATTCTGCAGAATGCTCCCAAACTGGTTAATTACTTGAGTGCTGCATTTAAAATTCTTTTTAATTCTTTACGCTGAATGTTAAACTTTTTCACTCAGTATAATTGTTGATTTCTGCAGCATAAAACAATGCAAATGATGTATGATATAATTTACAAGGCATTGGTGGAAGTTGGACTTGAGAATAAATATGAGCCTCAAGATTTTTTAAATTTCTTCTGCCTTGGCAATCGAGAGGCTGTACATGGAGGAGGCTCTTTGGATGCTAGAGGTTCCACTGTGTCAAATACTCCTCAGGTACCTCCCTTTCCTACCTAAATAGACCTTTCAGCTTTCTCTTTAACATTTCATCCAGCTCATCCGTAAGAAAATGTACAAAATGTTGGTTATAACGCAGGCACTTGCTCAAAAGAACCGACGCTTTATGATTTACATCCATTCTAAAGGTATGATAGTGGATGATGAGTATGTCATAATAGGATCTGCTAATATTAACCAGCGCTCAATGGAAGGCACTAGAGACACTGAAATAGCAATGGGTGCTTATCAGCCTCACCATACCAGCTCAAGCAAATCATACAATCCACATGGGCAGGTAAGCTTGAGATGATACATCTTAAAGCATTTATCTTGTTCATAGATTGACAGTTTCAAATATATTTCAATATTTCTATGCAGGTTTCACAATCACACATGTACACATTTTGCATTTAGTTTTTTTAGCTTATATGTCACAGTTGGATAGATAGAAATTTCAATGTCAGACTTGTCCATTCGAAGAAATTCACGTGTGCACATGCTCACTAACACCCACAAGCCTCAGATTTAAAATTGAATGTGCTGATTTATGGAGGCCACGTTTTTCCATGGATGTTCACATAAGTAAGCAAAAGTTTGTGCAAAATATAATTTGCATATCAAATTTGAAATGCATTTTACCACCCATTTTTTTCTCAACTTTAATGGGCTTTGGGATGTGCATTCATTTTATCAGCAGGTAAATGGATCAACTTAAGATTATTATTCATGAAGACCTGATCTGAAGACCTGATCTTATGTCCTGTACTTCTGTTAATCCTTGGCATAGTTTCCTGCTACTTTTCCCATCACATTAGGCAACATTTATTATGTTTGTGAGACCTAATAAGCAAAAAATCAAGTAACCAGTAACAGTGCTTGAACAGTGAAGTTTGATTTGTTATACTGATCAAAAGAGATAAGAAATTTGAGGTTGTTAGGCCTCAAGGTCCTTATCATGCAAATGTTATGTCTCTAAGAACTTGAGTCGTCAGTCAAATACCAGTTTTTTATTAACTAAAAGTTCTCTAGTGTTGCTCACGAGTATGATCCTTATTTGCTAAGACCAAAACTTAATATCTTTCACTTAAATGACTGCAGGTTTACGGATATCGGATGTCACTATGGGCAGAGCATATTGGAGGTCTTGAGGAAAGTTTTAAGAAACCTGAGAGTCTAGAATGTGTAAGACGAGTGAGGTCTTTGAGTGAGCATAACTGGAAACAATACATAGCTGATGAGGTGACAGATATGAAGGGTCACCTTCTGAAATACCCGGTCGAAGTTGATCGGATGGGCAAGGTTAAGGCTCTTCCTGGCTGTGAAACATTCCCGGATGTGGGTGGAAAAATTTTGGGTTCATTTACAGCCATTCAAGAAAATCTCACAATCTAAAACTACAAAATAGCTACCATTCTGTGTCCGCAGAAATGATTTTGTTGTGCATAGTTACCATGAACCTTTTTTCCTATTTTGGGGAGAATAGAATTTGATTGTTTCTGTCGGTTAAGGCGTTAGATATGGTTCATTATAAATCATTTGCTGTAATTTGTTTGTAGCCAAAATGTTTTTAGGTGAAAATTTGTTCTTTGTAAGACAATCATTTGTGAATATGTTCTCAAAGCAGCGGCTATTAAAGGGGATTGAGCTTGATGTTGTAGTAGTCAAATCACATGCATTGGCCTTGAGTTTGAGGCATACTCTATTGTAGATAAAATAATTTCAAACATAATACGGTGATACAGTAAAAAAATAATATAAATAAAAAATATAAAAAATAAGAATTAAAAATTTAATAAAAATTTTAAATAAATTTAATAAAATTAAAAATATATTTTATATTTTTATGTTAATATAAATTATGATATATAATTTTTATATAAAATATAACATAAATATATAAATTTTTAATATTTTATCCCGCACAAATATACCAGTTATTATATTTACTTTTTTGTTTCAATATTACTAGCAATTTTAAATTGTAGGAGTTATCCTTGAAAATGTCAAACGCAGGGAGAGGGATCCTTTACCTATTGAAGGTAAGGTGGCTTAGCATCTTGGAAAAGTGGGTGTGGGTCCCAGGTGAACCTGCGGACCCTTTTCATGAATACGGTGAGTGATCTTCCTCGAACCACCCATTCTTTCGGACAAAGTGACTCTGTCCTGATTTCGATCCTAGTTAAGATTCAAGAATAAGAATCAAAGACAAGGGTGGCATTCCCGTGCCATTCAGCTGCACCGAAGCTCATATACTTCAAGAGATCAACGGCTGATAATCATAGTATCAAACGGATCATTATGGAACATGGTATATGATGTCTCCAGACTTCTATGTAATACTGCTGTTCTTTTTGGGTTTTTAAATAATACAAAAAGGGCCATACCCAAAATCAGTACATTATTCATGCATAAGAACAAGAAATAATATTTTTTAAACCCTCCAAAAATTAAGGTTTTATTTGATTTATTTTTTTTTTGTTATTAAATTTTTATTTTTATATATTTTTATTAAAAACAAAAAAACCAATCAAACAAATTTAAAATTTCGTATTCTCTCATCTGTCCCTTAGAAAAGTGTTAAAAGAATTGTTTATTAGTTATTATGTGATCTTACTGTACTCACCACCAATTAAATATTATATTTCGGGGAAACAAAGCTGTTTCTCTTATTTTGCAGAAAATAAAGGTATAATTTTGCTTTTGTTATTAAAAAAACAGAATCTTCTTTCAAACAAAGAACAAAAAGCAACACTATCACTATTTAAAACCTTTCAAAAGAATATGATAAAGATTTTCCCAGCAATTGACAATTTAATTTGCAAGCAACTTCCTTGAACATGTTTTTCTTTATTTTCATGTAATTTTCTCTTTATTCCCAACCCTCAATTTGGGGCACATCCGTATCAAATTATGATATCAGTAGCTTTCAAATCTTTTTCTTCGTAATAACAATAGGGCTAATATTTTTTTTTAGTGATATTTTTTTTGTATTCGATAATTATTTTAAATTTAAATTAATTTGAAATCAAATTAAGTTGAATCTCATAAAAAAATTAATTTTTTTTAAATTAATTTTTTTTATTTACAAGATTTAAAATTAAAATTTTATTTTAAAAAATTAAAATTTTTATTATTCAACTACCGTTAAGGTTATTATTTGCAATTGCAATGGTATGTTATCAAATACATAAATTAATCATAAAATTAGGAAATAAAGGAGCCTTAGCTATAGAAATAGGGATTTCAAAAAAAAAAAAACTTTTTTCTTTTTATCTGTTGATGTTAATTGCTTAATAAAACAAATTTTGGAAGCGAAATTCAAGCAAATGAATTAATCATGAGCCTAACCTCTTTCTAGTGTTTCCGACACGTCACTGTCAATCCCAAATCTTTACAATTAATATTGAACGAAAATAATCAAATAAAATCAAACAAAAATTAAAAAAAATAAGGACCTCAAATTTTTTTTTTGTATATATATCGATGAATCACTCTCTCCCTGAAAATCTAAACCTGCAATCTCCATTTGGTATTTCTCCTTCGAAAACCCAAAATTAAAAATAAATAACTAATGGGGTTTCCGGCAAATGGCTCGTCAGGGAAACCACTTAAGTTTCTGATCTACGGTCGAACTGGTTGGATCGGCGGTTTATTAGGCAAACTCTGCGAATCCAAGGGAATCGACTTCGAGTACGGCTCAGGCCGGCTCGAGAACCGGCCGTCTCTCGAGTCCGACATGGCGGCCGTGAAACCGACTCATGTATTCAATGCCGCCGGAGTCACTGGGCGTCCGAACGTCGACTGGTGTGAATCCCATAAGGTCGAGACCATCAGAACCAATGTGGTCGGGACTCTTACCCTTGCTGACGTGTGCAGAGACAAAGGCCTTGTCTTAATTAATTATGCTACGGGTTGTATCTTTGAGTACGATGCGGCTCATCCGATCCAATCGGGTATCGGGTTTAAGGAAGAGGATACTCCGAATTTCACGGGATCCTTTTATTCTAAGACTAAGGCTATGGTAAGCAAGCAACAACTGAACAAAAAGTTTCAATTTTTTCCTCTAAATTTACGAATTATGTTATTAGATCTGATTATTTGTCTGTTTGATCTGTTTTGCCACGTGTATTCTTAATGTTGTAAATTGTTTCCTCGTAATTGTTAATGCTAAGGCTGTTCAGATCTTGTGATTTCAAGGAAATGTTGTTGGGTTGTTTATGTTAGATTTATGAATTTGGTTGTTTGTTTATTGGTTTATATGGAAGAAAGCTCTAATCTTTATTGAAAATTTCATTATTTTCAGCTAGAAAGTTTTCATTTTTCCTTATTTTTTTAGTCAATAACTTTTTAGTGCACCTATTGGCATTGATCATATTTGGTTTTGGCTGGAAATTCTAGGATTTAGTAAGGATTATTGATTGGAAATGAAGTATAGTAGAGTGGTCCTGAATCTGCTTTGCCTTTCTCTTTGTTGTAGTTTTGTTCATCTAGATCTGAATTGTACTGTGTTCTAATAATGGATCTTTGCTAATGATTGAAAAGGTGGAGGAGTTGCTCAAGAATTATGAGAATGTATGTACGTTGCGTGTTAGGATGCCTATTTCGTCTGATCTAGCCAATCCTCGGAATTTTATTACAAAAATCACTCGATATGATAAGGTGGTCAACATTCCTAACTCGATGACTATCCTGGACGAACTTCTTCCTATTTCAATTGAGATGGCCAAGAGGAACCTTACTGGAATTTGGAACTTTACAAATCCTGGAGTGGTCAGTCACAATGAGATTTTAGAAATGTACCATGACTACATTGACTCCAACTTCACCTGGAAGAACTTCACTCTTGAGGAGCAGGCTAAGGTTATCATTGCCCCCAGGAGCAATAATGAACTTGATGCCAGCAAATTGAAGAAGGAATTCCCTGAACTCTTATCCATTAAGGAGTCTCTTATTAGGTATGTATTTGAGCCAAATAAGAAGACTGTTGGAGCTTGATCCCTGTTAAACTGAAGTAGGAATCCCTGAGGTCTTGTTTGCTAGGGAGTGCCTCAAAAAGTTTGTCTTCAAGGTGAACCAAGAGACTAGTAGAGTTTGAAAATTTAGGTTATGAATTCTTTGATTTTCCTTTTTTTGTTTATTGAATTTGGTTCATGTGGGTTGATGCGAATGTGATAATCTCCGCAATAGGCACGCACCTCTGCCCAGATGACACAAAGGATTGCTGGTTTTGTATTTGAATATTGTATTCATATTAACGTTTGAATAACTCAGTTGAAAATGGTTTATCTAATTATAATATACATTTTGAGTTTACTGGTGTTGCCTCTTGCTTGGCTTGATCAAACCTTTGTCTCATGCTCAATTTCTAGTTTGTTTTCTTTCTCATCAAGTAAAATACGGCACTTTAAATGTAGAAATTTTGGTCGTAACGATTCCTTTTGATTTGAAATGGGGTTTGCAGGATACCCGTTTAGTACTATAAATTTCAGCCGGTCAAAGAAAGTTGTGAAAAATGTTACTATTATTATCTTATTGTAAAATTTTTATTATAGATTTACTTGAATAGTATTATGAGCTATTGCAGATTTGCAGTGCCGCTGGATGTAGTAAGCTTCAAAGGCATATGAATCTTAAATATTTAATCAAGCAACCTAGTTGGTTAGGACAAAGTCTTGTTCAATCCAGCCACAAGGACCAACAACTTGGTGGAAAACAAAGCCTACTTTGCGAAGGATTGTTTGGGCATGGGCATGCCATGGCGCTGGAATTTCAGTTTGTCGAGAGCCGAAGAAGCAAAGAAGATGGAGGTGTCGGTTGGCAGTATTACCAAGGAAGCGTGTTGTTCTACTGGCAGGCAGTCCCTGGTAACGTGGAAATCGGTTCTAAGCCACGAGATTTTCATGGGTGGAGCCTGGACTAGAAGTATAGAACTCAGGCAATGGTGTCAAGCTGGATAATTTTGGGTTTGGAGTTGGACTGGGCTGTTCGGTGGACTGAATAGTTTATTCATGCTCACTAGCAGCAATCTTGGTTAAGTCTCTAGCAATTTGGGCCAGATCTAACTCCTTTAACTTTTTAGATCATTTTAAAATTACATAAAAATGAAAAGCATGTAAATTTTTTTAATCCAATGTTAAGTCGAACGTGGCAACTAATTTGGGCCAGACAGAGGAAATAGACTAGTCATATGATACATCAAATATGGGAGTTAAATATTTGAGAGTTTTTAAATTATTTTTAATAGATTTAGGTTTTTCTACTTTTGTGAAATAATTAATATGATCTGGATTTTGAATGGGAATGTATTTCTTTATATAGTACTGAAATAATTTTTCCATCCGTTCTATTATTTGAATCTTTTTTTTTTTTTTTCATTTTCGACTTTTCAAAAATATAGAAAGCATTTTTTATTTCCTTTTGTTAATACTTTTTGTAAGGAACTTATAAGTTAATACTTTATACACTTCTTCAGTATTTTATATCAGATTTTAAAAAAATTTAGAAAAATTCTTAAATAAAACACATTAAAATCAAAACTCCTCAACCTTTTCTATAACAAGGGGAAGGAAAGAACTCAACAAGACAACCTTCCGAGATTTTGAACATTTGTGAATCAACAGGTCGTCCATCTCTACACTCTATTAAACTTGCTAAAAGATATTGTATATTAGCAAAAATAAAAAATAAATAAAAACTCAACATGGCAACACTTTTAAGAGGTTTTGAACTGCCTGGAAGATAAGAGCAATAAAAGGGGGAAAATTGAAATAAGTTTTGGTAAAAAAAAAAGGGTAACCATCATGTTTATGCATGCAGAAACCTCATTCCATAATTCCATGACCCGCATTCTCAACATCAACCTCTCCCATGCCTGTGTCTTCCTCTTCTTCACTATCTTCATCACCACTGACCTCTTCATTATCATTACGCAACTTAGCCATGTGCTCCGCAAGCAATTTATCATCCCGTTCACTCACCTAAATCAGTAAAAAATTTGAGAATCTCAGGATAAAGATTAAAAATTTCAAATTACGCAATGTACATAAATCCATACTGAGAACCCCCATAGCTAGGACATTAAGACTAAACTAAAGACCAAATCTGTAGTAAGATGGACACTCACTGCTCTAGGTTGTTCCTTGACAACAAGTTTTCCCTTGTGATGCTCTATTGCTTCAGTACAAGCTGCAATTGCTTTATTCAGAATAGCTATCCCTTGCTCCTGAACAACACAACAAAGTATTACATAATTTAGAACAAAAATCGTTAAACAGCCATGCAAATATGCAATGGCAATATCAATGTATGAATACGACGTGATCAAGTGAAAAATGATGACAGTCACCGGAATTAACAGAAGAAAAAACTATAAGACCATAGCATCATCTTCCAAATGCTTTCAGAAATAAAAGCTGTGGATTGGCACTTCAGAGGTGAGTTAGAAGAAAAAATTCACTACAGATGGGTGAAAAGAGACATTAAGCTAACCTTGTCAAGAGTTTGAGTGGTAAGAACATAAAGTGGAGGAGCAACAAGCTTGATTTTAACAGGACAATCATCATTCCCGGCAGCCTCAGCTTTGCGCATGGCCTCCTGCAAATTCAAAATGCATATCTGTTAACCAACAAGCAAAGCACAGGTAGAGAGAGAGAGAGAGAGAGAGAGAGAGAGAGAGAGAGAGAGTTTCTCCAAATAATACCTTTATGTGAAGAACACCATCAAACTGGAAACATTTCATTTCAATATCAGCCCGAATCTTCAGAGGTTGTGGAGTCATTCTTCTCCTAATGTTTTTTACCAAAGCATCTTTAACTTCCTCAGTCACAGCAGGAACCACCTCAGTCACCTAAACGAAGAAATGGTTAAAGACTTAAACCAGCTGAAGAAATAATGATGTTTCATGCATCTTACAAAAAAAAATTTCACCTCCTGTCCATCAGGGCCAGGTTTTTTCACTTCATATGTGAGATTGTTCAAGACAGAATCAGGATCAGTCACAATGATTTTGAAAGCCTGCAAACATAAAAATTAAGGCCATTATAACAATATGTGGAAAAAAAGTGACACTTCGACAGAAAGGCATAACTTCCTACCTCAAAAGCATGACCATATTTCCGGTATAGAGGCCAACCAATTTTCACGTACAATTCCTTCACAAGTAATTAGCATTAGTCTGCTGCATGCTAATGACAGAATCATTTCTAACGCTGGCTATCTGTATATAAATTAAGCATACAGTATGCTCGTTTCTCCTCATTGCACTCTACCTCACACGTATATTAACTTCACCTTAATCCTTGAATTCGCACTGTTTGTATTAAAAAAGCAACCAACCTATAAAGAAACTTAGATAAAACCCATCTGAAAGTCAACAAAAATTAACACATTTTAAACAAAAACTACATCAAGAAAATCACCCAATTCGGTTTGTTTATTGTATTTCTGTCATAAAAACACACCCATTCTCCACATAAGCACTAATTACAAACAATTAGCAACTATCCCTTATTCTCACTTAGCAAAATTCCAAACCAAAAACCCATAAAACAGTGATCAAAATCCCCTCAATCAACCAAAAATAAAACCCAATTTTACTTCCAAACAAAGCATGGCTAAAAATATTCATCATATCCAAATGAAGAAAACTTAAAGGTCCCATAAACCAAATATAGAAATAAAAATATCTCTCAATTTCAAAGATACAGATTAATAAATAAAAAAGAAAATTAACCAAAATTACCTCCAAATCGATATCCAAAGTCTCGGCGACATGTCGCATAATAGAGTGAACAAGCTTACTCTTATTATACCTTTCTTCACAAGCCTGAATATCTTCTTCGCTAACTCTCCTCTTACTCAAATCGATGTAACCCTTTTCCTTGTCGACACGGAGGACCATCACAGGCTCGGTTCGGCCCACCTTGATCAAACTGCTGACGCTACGAATCCGACGGCGGGAGAGCTCCGAGAACAAGATCATGCCTTCAATGTTGTTGTATTCTAGTAGCGAAACGTACGCACCCATGTCGGCGATGTTCTTGACTTGTATCATTACCGCCATGTCCACCTCTGGATACCTCGCTTCATACATACGACATTCAAGGTTCGGCATCTTCGTTCAAGTTATTGATTTTCTTTTCCTTATTCTTTCGATTTGATTCTTTATTTGATTGATTTTGGGGATTTTGTCTTTGTGCTTTAGGGTTTTAAGAAGAACTTTTAGGACTGGTGAGATGGTGAAGAGATTAATAAGAAACGATGTCGGTTCAAGCTCCTTATGCTTCTGTTGGTTTATTCTTATTGTAAGACCAAAAAAAGGAGTTTAAAAAGTTAAAATAACGCCCACCGTGGGGCTCGAACCCACGACCACAAGGTTAAGAGCCTTGCGCTCTACCGACTGAGCTAGACGGGCTTCGATGGTAATCCGACCATCCTCCATTAATCTGGGAGACTTGCAGGAAATATGAGCATTTGTTATGTAAAACATTTTCCATAATTTCTTTTGTTATTTAGGAGGGAGATTTGAACTTAATTATTTGAGATGCCAATATACACGACACCTAATATCAAGTCAAATATTTACAGGCAGATATTTTTCATAATTAGTAAAGACTAAAGAGAGAACAATGAAATTTTCCAGGAGAAAATTTATTTTTATTTTCGGCGATGTTCCATCAACAAGCTATGGCCACAACTAGGGCTGTAAACGAGCCGAGCCGAGCCGAGTAGTGAGAAGCTCGAGCTCGAGCTCGACTCACAACTCGGGGCTCGATACTCGGCTCGAGCTCGATCGAGTTTTATTTTTCAAGCTCGAGCTCGATTCGTGATTGAATTCGAGCTACTCGAGCTCGCTCGATTAAGCTCGATTAATATGTAAAAATAAGCTCGATTTGTATACTCGACAAGAGTTCGATTATTCATGCTCGAACTCGAACTCGAACTCGGATTCAAAATATTTTTTTAATTAAAAAAAATAAAAATATATTTAAATATAAAAGCTCGATTAGGCTCGCGAGCTACTCGAGTCAGATATAAGAATACTCGAATTCGGCTCGATCGATAAATCGAGCTACTCGAGCTCGAGCTCGACTCGACAATAATCGAACCGAATTCGAGTTTTTTTCGAATCGAACCCGAGTAGCTTACGAGTACTAATGTATCATTTACACCCCTAGCCACAACAAAATATTCACAGTATTTTCTCTGCCCTTGTCTTGATCATTGGGTAAAGACAACTGTGATTTCTAATTGTAACCATTCATAGTGAATTTGTAACTTACAAACGTCTATTAAGGACAAAAATACTAAACTGGCATGCCCTTCTTCACCAAATGCACGCAAACATCTCAAATCCTGAAATGGTGCTTAGTTTCGTCCAAGGATTGCATTCTTGTGATACATGGAAGGACGTTGGAATGTTGGTTTCTTTTGAGACGTGTAGTAGTAAGGAGAATAGGGAGTAGGGAGAACATTATAGACCACAACTGGACTTCTCACCACATATTTATTATCCGAATCTTTCCATATTATGTTAACTGATGTGATCGGTTGCTGTGAAATCTTTTGGCCGGAGACCTTCACAGTGAAGGATTTCTTCTCTCCCAAAGCTGAGAATGACAGTATGTTGGGCTCCACAACAATGGTGAAACCAGGTTGGGTGGATGCGAAGCCAGTGTAAGTTGAGGTTGGTGAGCCAACATTGGTCACTGTCCTGGTAAAAACACCATAAATTGGTTGGCCATCTTCCATAGCTAAAGAGAATGAAGGATAGTTGAGATCCCAAGCTGGTCCAGGTTTGGTGCTGGTGCATACACTGCTGTTATCACCTGTGATAAGTCTTACAGTTGTAGTGTTGTAACCTTGCTTGCAAAGGAAGTTAATGTAATCTGTCTCATTTGCATCATAAACAAGTCCGGGGTCTTTTGCTTGTGCTGGGTTGATCTGGCCGGACCCATAAGCGAACTCAAGATCCTCGTGTTTCTTCGGGTCTACAACAGTTGCTGTAAATGACAACACAGGCAGATTACATGTTATTTTGCACTTAGAGAGAGACATCACCATGAAAAGAGACTTCATATGTCATTAGTTTTTACCTGTGGTCATGAGGGCGGATTTGATCGCAGCAGCGGACCATTCAGGGTGGGCTGCCTTAACATAGGCAGCAGCACCACTTGCATGAGGACAAGACATGGATGTACCAGAGATTATGTTATACTCTACGCTCCTAGGATCTTCCCAGTCAATGGAAGGTGGTGCAACAGGAGACCAAGCAGCAATGATGTCAACACCAGGGGCAGTGAGATCAGGCTACACATTAAGCATTCAAGATTTCAAGAGACTAGTTTTGATTTATGAAAGAAAAAATAACATATAATAGAATGTTAAAATTAAAGGCATTCCAGCCTCTAAAGTACCTTGAGAATGTCTGGAGTGATAGGGTTGGGTCCCCTGGAAGAGAATGATACGACATAAGGCGCCATGTAATCTGTCCATGTCTCTCCTAACAGAATAGTTGCAGTCGGATTCCTGAAATTGTTTTCTTATTTTCATTAAAATTGTAAATAGTAAACATGATTTCTTGCTTACAAGCAAGTAATTAATGTAATGGATGCAATTCAAAAAGCATGGGTATTAAGAATTGTTTACTCTGTTGTTCTAATATAGTCCAAAACTTTCTCACCATCGGATGTGCTTATCTGTGTTGCTGGTAATGGGTAATTGAAAGCAAAATCGGTTATTTCATCGTCAGCCATTATGGTGCCCACACCATTTGCTAGAAGAACGCCAGTACCGTCCCAAAGTGTTTCACAATAAACAATCTTGCCTTCCACTTTGTATGAATTTAAGAAACCAGTGAAACAATATCTTGAAAGATCCTGGCTGGCACCTGCAGAGTAGTTGGCAGCGTCTCCTCCCCAGGCCAAGGGATATGATTTTCCAAGAAGTTCAAAGCTGTTAATGGAAATTCCCTTCAAGGATAATGTACAAAAGTCAGGCTTGATTAGTTGAAGGAAAAGGAACAAAGGACTTAAAGTGACTGCAATTGTACTCACAGTGAAAACTTGTCCATCACCAAGTACTGCTTTGGCAACAAATTTTCTGTCAATGGTGCTTGCGGCAACAGTCAATGTCCAAGGAGCATAATTGGAAACCGAATATGGCCATGGTCCGGAATTACCAGCAGAATTTGAGGTCAATATGCCATATTTCATGGCATGGAAAGCACCAATGGCTATAGGGTCTTCATCGTAAGCCAATGGCCAGTCAGAACCAAGGGACACTGATATGATATCAACACCATCTGCTATGGCATCATCAAATGCCGCAAGGATATCTGCAGTTGCACAACCAAAGAGCCAGCAAACTTTGTATATGGCAATCCTTGCACCAGGAGCTCCACCTCTTGCAGTTCCATTAGCTAGCCCATAGTAGCTTGCTCCAGGCACCCTGTCTCCTGCTGCAGTTGACGAAGTATGGGTCCCATGTCCCTCAGAGTCTCTGGGAGACTTGAATTCACCATCATACCAGTCCTCACTATTGTAGTAACGCCCTCCGATGATCTTGCTGTGTTGCCAAATTCATTTTATTAGTTGTCTGAATTGAATAATCAATGCTTTTTACCTAAAAATCTGTATAACCCTTTGTCTTCATAACATCCATGGCCTATATATATATATATATATATTTTCAATTTCTTGATGATAGAACAGATTAGAAAGTTGTGAAGGGAGAAAGGAAGCTCACTTATTGCAGGTGAAGTTGGCTCCTTGACATGTTCCTTTCCATTTGGAAGGTGGAGCACCAAGTTCTTGGCTATTGAAGCTCTCATGTTCAGGCCAGATTCCTAAACACAAAAGGAATTTACAAGTTTCAATATTTATCGACAAACTTGACTTCTGGTAAAACCATAGCAGTTTGTGTGTGATTCATTTACCTGTATCAAGAAGTCCAACGACAACATCTCCTTCAAGTTTCGCTCCAACATTGTCATTGGTAAAACCAATGAAGTCCCATGACCTTGTAGTATGAAGTTTTAGTATATGATTTGGAATCACTCTAATTACACCTTCCATTTCTGCATCGCAGTCATCATTTATTTATTGAGTTTCACTACAGATTATATATAGAGATGAGATTTTATTCTTAGTTATTAAATGTCAGTATTTGATGATCTTACCTGAGAACCTTCGAACTTCTTCATCTGTCAATTTAGCTGCAAATCCGTTGAAGCTTAAGTAGCTATAAATTAGCGATTTCTTGGCTGATGAAGCGCTGCAGATGAAGAAAATTATTAAACGTTAGAGAAGGAATATGTTTACCCTGTTTTCTTGGTTCTAATAGTAATACTATGGTTGTTGTGCATTGAGGCATGGTCTGTTCTTTTTTTTTTTTGACAAAGAATGTTGAAGTCTGAGGGTAAAGAAATGGTTTGCAGGTATGAAAAATTGAATCCAAACCTGCTAGATGGACTAAGCTTTGGGTTGATCTTGCTTAAGTTTCCTGTCATTTTCAAATATTTATACTAGTATTTGATGTATAATCATCCGAGTAACCATGTATTAATTAGAATTTTAAATTTTATTTATAAGGAAAATGAGAATGCATTGACAATATATCTACTCAGACAATGCTTCAAACGTAAATGAATTCCACTTTTAATAGCTTTAGGACTAAGAACCTTCCGAGGACTCCCTGAAGCATGGAATGGTGGGTAGTTGCAGCTGAGAATTCTCCCTTTGGGCGGCCTCCCATGTACACAATGTGAACCTATACAAAAAAGGAAACGGCCCTTTTTAGTGAAAACTTATGCAAAACCATTGCACATGCACAAGAATACTGATTAACTAAAGCAAACAATATCACCTTCCTCTCATTGGCATCGGCTGCATGGCAATTTATGGACAAAAATGCTACAAACAGCAACGAGTAAATAGGCGAAACCAGCCCTTTCTTCGCCATATTGCTGCTAAAACAAAACACAAGCTTAACTTGATGTGAAAAGTTTTAAAAGAAGAGTGGTATTTATAGGAGTACGTTCCGATAATTGTTACGTTGGTATGTACGGCTTTTTTTGTGAGGCACAAGGCCAGCTTCTTTGTTTCGAGTTTTTGCAGTTGTCGCCAAGTTTTTATACAGGAGAACACTTATATGAAATTTTTTAAGTAAAGTTTGAAAAAAAAAATAAAAATTTAAATGGATAGCTTTATTATGAAAATTAATAATATGCATCAAAAAATTATTAAAAATATTTTTTATAATTTAAACTTGATATTTATTCAATTATAAAAATTTTATCAAATTTTTATTAAAAAAATTAATATAAAAATATATATCAAATTTTTTTAAAATTTTATACACTTAATTTATACAACGAAATTTTTTAATTTATCGATTTTAATTTTAATTTAATTATTTTTAATTATAAACTTCATTTAAAAAATTTCATTTAAATCTTTCCCGTAAACAAATCTTTAGAATTTTCAGTTGAGGGAAAATGATAACAGGAAAGTCGATTGTTTTTGTTGTGGTCGTTAATGTCTCCAAAACCAAAACGTTGCTGTCTCTCATGAGGATACAAGAAGGTTCATCAAATTCCATGTTATCTTTTATTAAATTGTTTTGTCATCTCATTGAATTAATTTTCATTTTGGTCACTTGTCTCCGTAGAACTTCTTTGTTGATTCCGTGAATGTCAAGAAACACTATGCTTAATTGATTTTCCTGGAAAGCTGATAATCTTTAAAAAACCCGTCCAAAAATTTTCATCAAATGTTTAAATAAAAAAATTTACTCATGTCGCAATCATTCAGGAATATTATTTGCTACCTTTTATACATCCCAAGACCGGCCTTCGGTATTAGTGTTTTGATTTGAACTACTAGCTAGTAAATAAAAGTATAAAAAAAAAAAAATCATTTGGTAGGACAATACAATATTTTCTTACACAAAAACAATTCAAGTTTAATTTAATAATTAAGGGCAATGCTACATAACACTCATCTCGTACATTTGTTTCACATGCTTACTTCTTATTTGAGGAACCTTAAATGAAAAATACTAAATTTTTTACGTAGGATATAATAGAATTTTTAAAATTTATATACTATGTAAGTGTGTAAAATGAAAATATTAGACAAGTATATATAACCTTTTCTAATAATTAATTATTATTTTTATCATCTGACCACACCTAATCTAAAAGCACATATCTTTTTTAAAATTAAAGTTAAAACTCCGATATTTTATTATTTTATCTTAAACATGTAGCTTTAATTTTAGTTTTTTATACTATAATGAATTTAATTTGTATAATTTTTTGAATCAGTTGACATGTTATTGAAATTGATAATTAAAATTACATGTTTAAAAAAATTTATACACATAATATCATTTTCAATCAGATAAGTAATATGGTAAAAATTATTAAAAAAAAAATCACGTAGTCAAATTTGTTTGTAAACGTTGTTATCAATTGTCCTTGAGGTTAATCCACAAATGTCCTTAATTGTAAAAGGTTCATCTAATTGACAATATTCATTTTGCTACCTGTTATAATTTCAAAGATCGAAATGTTTAGACAGTTTGCATTAATTTGAATTACCGGCGAGTAAACAAAAAATGACAAGGAGGAATGATTTGTTACTAATACATTTGTTAAGACAAAACAATAATGTTCTTACCACAAAATAATTCAAGTTTATTAATTTAGCAATTAAACATAATTATCCATACAAGCTTACAAACCTGTGACGGTTTAAGCTCAATCTTTTCAAGACGATCAACGACAAGAAGAATCTCAACCACAAATGCTTCAATCAAGCCAGGCATACGCCTTTCAACGCGGGGATTATGAAGAAGTGATTTTTTTAGTGCAACAAAGTTCATAATACTTGATCTGAAAGTCCTTTGAGAGCTTAGTTAAGACACATCGATCTACCAACTCCGTTGGCAAAATCCTCAGAACTTCACTTTGCTAAAAGCAAAAGCAGATTCGGACAAATATGAACCAACAAACATGAACCAAGCACAGAGTTGCTGCTGCAAGACATGAGGTCATTGTCGTCTCGTAAAACATACACCTACAAGAATACAAGTAAATCAAGTCTGCAAATCTAAACCTTATGGGAGGATTTTAACCAAACAATCAGAAAGTCCATGTCACTAGTTTCATCCCTAGCTTGTCTGTAAGATTCACAAAAACATGTGTGCACTCCAAAGTTTTTGATCTCAAAGAAAGAGATTTCATCAACTATAACACATGAAAGTCAGAAGTGGACAAGCATTAAAGCTTAAGAGAGCATAAATTAAAGAAAGTTCACAAACTAGCCTTTTAAGAGGATGGGCTTGGATTTTCAAACAAATTACCAAAAAGTCTGAACTTTTACGTTCAACTTTGATCAAATCCCAACTTGGCCATAAAATTTCGCACATCTGAGGAGCTTCACCATATGTGTTTCTCTAACTCATTGCAGACAAATTTTATCATCTATTAAGTTTTTCAAAGTAGTATCTCCTAAAAGCACTAGTGAACTACATTGATTATGATTTTTTTTGTCATTTCCATCAAAACGTCCACTTGCATACACATAAAATCTTCTATTAAGACTTTCAAAGTAACATCTGTAAAACCAACAACTGATTAGGGATTTCACTCTTTTTTTTCTTTTTTTGAATGCCTCATTTATTAATATCAACTAGAGAATATTACAAAGAAGCAATGACTGCTAAACTCATCAAGCACAATTAAAAAAAAGCTCAACTCAATGCCTTAAATTTGGAGTCGGAGGGGTCAATCAGATGAAAAACTAAAACATTGCCAGGAACGAACCCATGATCCCAGAAAATTTCTTCCATCCACTCATTGCAGTTGTTTCTGCAACAATTGTGTTTCGTATTCATTTCCACTTTCATCAACCAATCTTACTTTGGTATCGTTGCTCGGCAAATGCAATTTATAGAATTCCTTTGGTAAATGCTGTCATCAAAGAAATTAGGCATGCAGATCAGTGCCGATCCAAATATACTTATAAAATCATAGGTTTGAAAAGAACTTGAGATTTACCACTGTAAAGTAATCCGAAACATGGGACTCATTCACCATCATCAAAAAGCTAGGGAATTCAGTCACTAGGTTTGCCATAAACTTTTTTGCCTTTTCCATGACACAAGTCTCTTCTACCGTCTTTAAGGAAGATGCATAACTAGAAGGACTGACCCTAGCTCTCTTGCATCTATTGTATTTACCGAAGCCTTTCACTATTTGCGTCCAAAAAAAATCTAAGTTACTATCAATCGAACAAATTGACCAAGCGGAAATATAGAATAAAGCTAAAGCAACAAGAAATTAATAATCTTGGTGGACGAAAAATGTCCCTTTTCATCTCTTGAAAGTTCAAATGATTGGTTTTTCTATATTAAGACTTGATTTTAATTATGCAACAACTTAAAATTTACAAACTCATTAATTCAAACTTGATGGAAGTTAAAAGTTTCGTAACTCTTTGCTAACTTGCTCGAGACATAAGAAGTTGTATAATAATAAGGGTCCATTTGGATCCAACCGGAGTGGCGTTACGGTGAAATTTTAATATATTTTTTGAGCTCAACCATGCTGTAATGGTGTTTGGATTCCGCTGAAGAGGTCCAGTGAGGCAATAGTAACTCCATATTTTCATTAAAACTTTTTTGTCCAGTGTGCTTTTGTGTCTTCCACCGGGCTTCCTTTTTCAATTTTGCCGTTCACTCTTTTTTTTTTTTTCGTTTTTTCCCCTAAAAATATCGTGCCATTGTTTTTTTTTAATTTATTTTTATTTAAAAATATTAAAATAACTTTATTAATTTAATATAATAAATAATTTTTATTATATAATAAGTTAATAAATAAATTTTAATATATAAAAATAAACTATATTAAAAATATTAATATTTTGATTGAGAATAAAATTTTAAGATTTTAAATGTTATAAATAACATAAAATATATATAAAATAATTGATCAATATACTTTTAAAGTAAAGTTTTTAATGATCATTTTTCGTTATCATCATCAATTGTTATCGTTGTTTTTGCATTCAAACATATATTTCATAATTAATTTTAATTTTATCACTACAATAATTAATTTTATTTCGTTATTTTCAAACTCATCAGAACTAATTTCAATATTTATTCAAACGAACTCTTAATAAGACAATCATCGTATTATTTACGTATTTTAATTATGATAGTAAATTGACAAATGAAAATGCCAAATGTAATAAATTATAAATCGAACAATTAATTTATTAAAAAAAAAAGGCAAAGCAAGTAAATCATTATGCAACTGAAAAATATTTAACAGTCTTAAAATTAAAACGAATTCACAATTCTTTGCAACCTAATAAATTCGTAAAAAAAATCAAATTCATTAAAAACTCAACCATCAACTGAAGAATCTATTGGTATTGGTAAAGTGTTTGATTCTTTATTTTAATTATAAGATTTAATTTTTTACAATTTCAAATGTAAAAAAAATCTCAAAACATTTTCCATTTGGTTGGTAATATAATGAAGCACCTAATTTGGGCCAATTACAATATCAACGCTTAAGTAATTGACAACCCTCAATAGATAATGATATATGCATATTCATATATAAATAAATATATATATATATATATATATTCTAAATATATATTTTATATCTTATATAAACATATAAAACTCAAAACTTTTGGCAAAAATGAAAAAATTTTTATATGGATGGCTTAAAATATTGACATATAAACATTTTAAAAAATTATTACGTGACATCTAATAAATATATTTTATTTTATTTAACATATTTTTAATTTAAAAATAATTTAAAAAAACTAAATTGATTATATTTATCTTTTTATTATTAACTTTAAATCACTCTCAATTCAATTCATATTAAAAGTATTAAAATTTTAAAAATTTCTTAATTTGACAAATTAAAT